TTAAAAATTAGACTGTTATATTTGGTCAAACATTTAATTAACTCATCCCTAATGTGATGGCTGGAACTGCTTTGGTGAGGCGTGTGATGTTAGCTGGTATTGATGATGTTGCTACTCGCAGCTGCTTTTCCAGGATTGCTCCTAGATTTATTGAATTTCGAGTCCCTCCTGCGGTTGCCTTGGCAGGGCAGGCAGACCAATATATGGCCCGCGGGCTGGACGTTCCCCACCCCTGGCCTAGAGTGACCACAGTGGCGTCTCTCTTTTTAAATTTTCTTCAGATTTCGAAATATTTTAACCTTTGGCTACTACGTCTGAGAAGAGGAAATTTGGTGCACACAGCAGAAAGTACTTACGAAGTTTGAAATGTGTTTGTTTTTACTTAAATGTTTGTAAAAGTGATGTTGTTACAATGTTTTTTAGGGTTATTTTCATTTATTTTCGCGGTCAATTTTGGGTATTGTTACAGCATATAACGGGTTTCCAGGAATGGAACCCCAATGTATAACATTGCGTTTTGTGCGGGATATGGATTCGACTCACGACGGCTCTCGACTTGCGACCGGTCGTCCATGAACCGATTAGGTCCGTAGGTGCAGGGGTCGTCTGTATTTGTTCAGTTTAAGCACGTGACTTGCAGTACACATGTCCAAGAATAACAATGTATAACTGTTTTTATATTATTAATGTGGGCTGAAGGGAAAGTCCATGAGTTATTAATTTACGTCAAAATCTCGGATGCACGGTTAATCCGCAAATCGGATAAACCGCATGTGGATAATCGAGAGTCTACTGTGTATGTGTTTGTGTGCTGGCTGAAAGCACTTGTCCCAACAGCCTGAGTTTTCTACACAGGGAGATCTTTGTATTCTGTCTTTGGGTATATACTGTATATGTCTCTGTGTGCTTATGGGAAGCAGTGGCGCTTAGCGCACTGCATTATGATCAATAACAGTGGTGAATATTTCAACTGCTCTGGGGCCTCCCATAGGTCAACTCATCCTTAAATGAGTACCCTGTGCAGTGTGTAGTAAACATCAGCACTGGGGAGATAAAGGCGGCAGGGCATGGTGGTACTGGCCACCTACCTCCCACCCCCCCCCCCGTGTGCTGTGCCAGCCTTCATCGGTGGCACTCGGTAACTGCTTTAAGGGGGTTCTTTGTCTTTGTGTGGTAGCTGACAGCACTTTCTCCGACAGCCTGTGCATGCTACATGGGACGTATGCATGTATATTGAACTTTTCATCGTACGCAGCCAACCGTGCAAATCGGAGGTGCAGGCTCTCACTGCACAGAACTTGCTACTGTAATCTATCGGGTGAAATGAAGGGTCTTTGTGTGTACAACACTGTGTAGTGCGTGGAGTGGTGGCATGGTGAAAAGATAACGGTGCTGTGATGCACATCAGTGACATTGCAACATTGGGTTATGGGCCTCCCCTATATCGCCACACCCTGTACGACGAGTATCTGGTACATTGTGTACACCCGACCACTGGAATCGACTTACCCTGTACATTCAGTCGCTCTCCTTAACCTACCTTCCGTGCCTCTCTCCAAACCTCAACTCTTCCTCCAGTGCCCAATCCCCTTCCTCGCCCCCTCCACTCCGTCGCGTTCCTCCCATATCGCACCTTTCGTGAGCCACCACGTGTGCCGCCTCTGTTACGGTCGCTGACTGCTCTGCCCTTGCACTGCGCCTTGAGCGAAGTTGCACGCTATAAATCATCAATCTATATAAAAAGGGAAATTTGTGAATATGTGTGTCTGTTCGAAATGTTTAGCATACTTCCCGACATGCAACAAACTTGAAATTTGCCATGTGGGTACTTTCCAGACTGTACACCATGCACAAATAGACTTTTGAAAAGAAAAATGGGGGGGGGGGGGGGCGCAATAATGCATATATTTTGCACGGCAAGTGAGCTGTGACGTCACATCTGTCATGTCACCCGCGCATGCGGAAGCGTCACGCAGTGTGCCTGCTGACGTCACACACCCCCCCACCCAACCCTCCGCGAGTAAAGTGCCAAACAAATGTGTTGCAGGTCTAAGGCGTTCTTCGCGCAGCTGTTCTTTTTATTCAGTCGTTTACTGCCGTACGCAGCCTGAAAGTTGTGTCTGCAGCAAGCGCGTTTATGTCTTCCTATGGACGCGCGCGCGTGTGTGGGGGGAGCGGTAGTGTAGTGGTTAGCGCGCTGCGCTACGAACCCGGCGACCCGAGTTCGATTCCCGCTCACGGCCACCACCGGTGACGATTATTTGAACCGGTCCTGGGCCCCCTAGGTCGACTCAGCCTCAAACGAGTAACTGGTGTGGTGTGTGAACATCGCCACTGGGGAACAAAGGCGGCCGGGCGTGGTGAATCCAAGTCCCGGGCGAAGCCGGGTAGTAAAGCTAGTATAGAATAAGATAAGATAACATGAGCATGGGTAGCTAGGGACGCGTGGTTGCTGTGGCCACACTACCTCTTCCCCAGCGCTGTGGCGTGTTTGCAATAGGTGATCGCTAACAGCACTGTGGTTCACGCATCTCAAATCGTCATGAGCTTCCGAGGTGGTCAGGCACGTTCCCGAGTGATTACGTCAAATTTTGTCATCGTTTTGCATATTTTTTGCAGTGTTCTACGCTGGATTGTTGGGTCTTAAAGAGATGTAAATGTTGTATTGCGAAGTGCGTTTCTAATGCTGTATATTTTTGACGTTGACCGTTGCATTTTACCACCGGTGATGCACAAAACAAGTTGTTTCACATTTTGAAAGTGGCTTCTTTTTAATATTTTAGGGGCGCAGCAGTTTTCCCCCAGGTTATGCTTATACAAAATTGAATTTCTAACTTCAGCAGAGCATTTTTATATATATAGAAAAAAAATTAAACTAACATTTTTCACAATTTTTGAAGTGTTATGTATTTTTTGGGGGGGGGGGGGGGCGGGGGAATTCAATTCTGGGAAATATTTTCGTGGAATTTTTTTCTTAAGATTGTTTTCTTTCTTTACGTTAGAATTATTATAAGGGCTTTATTAATTTCTGCTCTATAGCTATACACGATTTGTTTTGGGATTGTATCGCTACTGATGTTTAGTCGGTGCTCTGTCCACGTGCTCGGAGCCTCTCAAAGAACTGATTTGGTTCCTGAAAGAAGCTTCCCACAAGAGGAGTGAATCTTCGGGATATTCTAACAAATAAAAAAAAGATATAAACAAAATATTCACAAACGTGCATTTATTTCTGTTAAATCGGACTCTTTGTTCGATCAAGAACTCGGCAACTGGTGAGCCACAGCTCAAAGTCCCAAGGACATTAGCCTGAACCGGTGAGGACCTGAACTAGTGAGTGCCTGAACGGGTGAAGGAAAGTCCCCGGTTCACAGAGCCTGAATCGGTGATGACTTGAACTAGTGAGTGTCTGAACGGGTTAAGGAAAGTCCCTGGTACATCGGCCTGAACAAGTGAGTGCCTGAACTGGTGAATGCCTGAACGGGTCGACAACAAGCGGCTCCTGATGTGCCTGCAACGCTCTAAGGACCTGCAGCTTCATGACGTTATTTATGAAGGACCACCAACGTCTCCTATTCACCACACAGTGCATTGAGCTGCTTTTACATCGAATTAGAAAAAATGCTATAGTTTTTTGGTTGCCGACCCCTGACCTCCACAGATAAGGGGCCGTCCATAAATTATGTCACGCGATTTTGGACGAATTTTGACCCCCCTCCCTCGTCACACGGCGTCACAAAAAGTCAGAGCCCCCCTCAAACATGACGTCACAAAGCTCTGCCCCCCCAGGTGTGTGACGTCATTTATGGACGGCCCCTAAGTGCCTGAACGGACGAGGCACTGAACGGGCGAGTGCCTGGAAGATTGAAGGCCTAGACGGGTGAGTGCTTGAACGGCTGAGAGCCGTGAGCTGTCTCTTGAAGGTGGATGATGGTACTTGAATGCTGTGTGCGGATACAATCCGAAAGCGCACGCAAGTGAACAATGTAACACGGTATTTTCCGACGGGTTGTAAGAGCAACGCTTAATTACAGGTGTGCGTGTCTGTGTGTGGGAGTGGGGAGCGGTAGCGTAGCAAGTTCGTGTGCTGCGTTAAGAACCCAGCTTCCAGAGTTCGATTCCCGCTCATGGCCAACACCAGTGACGGATTATCTGAAACGGTCATGGGTCTCCCCTAGGGCGACTCGGCCTCAAATGATTACCTGGTGCGATGTGTAAACATCGCCACTAGGCGGCCTGGCGTGGTGCTGGCCACTCACACCCTCGTGTGCCGTGACGACCTGCATAGCTGCTACTCGCTAACAGCACTTGCCCCTACAGTCTGTTACAGGCTTTACGGGGGATCTTTGTGTGTCGCCATGGCCGGATAAATGTGACTGTCATGGTGTGGACTAATGCTGTCGCCCAGGGGTTGAGCCGGGGTTGCAGAGGTTACGAGGTAAGGGCGTGAGCAGTTAATGGGAGTAAAATACCCCAACCCCCCCCCCCCCCCCCAATATTTCGGATAGCAATGTGATGTATAAAATAAATCACGACGTTTCGGGCGCCCGAAACGTCGTGATTTTATTTTCTGCCTACGTGACTTTACCGAAAGAACCAAAGAGTATGGATTCCTGCAGTCACGAAAGCTTCAAATCACTACTCGTGTGCTTCACTGTGTTTCTATTCGATTTGTATTGCCAAGTGCTTGTAACGTTTGTACATGCGAGCCAATGTATGCAGCATTGCATGTTTCTGCGTGTTGTGCATCATGGCTTTGCTTAAGAGTCGGATAATAAAGACAGCGTATGGCGATTGTTCACTTTTGCACGTTTATTTCGAGAGACACTTCGACGCTTTGAATTTCAAACGACACCGTTCTGCCTCTGCGCGTACCTGCTCAGAGCTAAGTCTAGCTAAGGGGCCGCCATTAATGACGTCATGCACCTGGGGGGCGGTGGTCAGACATTTGTGACGATGTGTGACGAGGGAGGGGGGGGGTTGATGAATGTGACGTCACATCAAAATGCGCAACTTTAAATAAATATAAACACGTTCTCCTTAATTAAATATACTTTTAATACATGTTCTCCTACATCAGAGTGCAGTGCCACATTAAATACGCACTACAATGACAATAGTTTAATGCGATTTGAAGCGTGTTTTATTTTTTTGGGGGGGGCGGGGGCAGAGCTTTGTGACGTCATATTTGAGGGGGGGGGTCTGACTTTTTGTGACGTCGTGTGACTGGGGGGGGGGGGGTGTAAAAAATCGTCCAAAATCGCGTGATGTCATTTATGGACGGCCCCTAAGTGTTTTTTTACCTACACACACAACTAAACTGCACACATAACTGGGTTGCACACATGAGGACATTTAAAAATATGTTCAGTATAACATCGTTCAACCTTCTGCTAGGTAGACAGCAAACATTTAATTTCAAGAAATATGCAGAAACGTTTCAAGTAAAGGGAAGCTTTTTAAATGCGTAGAAATAAATGTATGCGTTGCTGTGTGAACGATATACGTACATTATACATGATTGTCAATGTTGTGGCTTGACTCTCCAGCACACCGGTGTGCTGTACTAGTATACTACACTATACACTACACTACTATACACTATACTATACACTAGTGCTGTACTAGTGACGAATTGCCCACGTTCTGTTTACGCGACAACCCTTACTAGTTGGCTGTGTCGGGTGGTGGCGGGTTTTAACGACACATTTCTATACTTACGCGATCTAACCCCAAAAAAAAACCTCCATTATGGATATAAATTGAGTTATGGGGCGCTGGACGAGCCAAGTTCATTGACAGAGGCTGCGAAGGCGGGACAAAGTTTGTGGACTAAATTAAGCGCGGTGTGTTTGGTTTGGCGGTTACCGGGAGGGACCGGTCGGCATTCACCGCGGTCAAGGGGCTCCCACGGGGGGGGGGCCGGGCGGGGGGGCTGGCTGCTGTGGGGCGTTGCTGTCGTGCGGGCGGCATGTGACCGGGATTGTTGTTGCGGTTGGGTCGTCGCGAGCGTTGCTGCTGTTACGAGGCTAAGCCGGTGCCCGTGGCTTACTGGCGCGTCGCAGAGTCGCTGTGTACGATGCTGACGTGCGGGGGCGAGTCAGTGACTGAGACTGCCGCTGCGTTGAGTTGCTCAGAGCGTTGTTGAGAGCACCGACCAACTATCGGGAATACCGCTGCGTTGAGTTGCTCAGAGCAGTGTTGAGAGCGTCGACCAATTCCCAGGAATGTCATTGCGTTGAGTTGCTCAGAGCGTTGTTGATAGCGCGGACCAATTCCCGGGAATGTCATTGCGTTGAGTTGCTCAGAGCATTGTTGAGAGCGCTAACCAATTCCCAGGAATGTCATTGCGTTGAGTTGCTCAGAGCGTTGTTGATAGCGCCGACCAATTCCCAGGAATGCCGCTGCGTTGAGTTGCTCAGAGCGTTGTTGAGAGCGTCAACCATTTCCCGGGAATGCCGCTGCGTTGAGTTGCTCAGAGCGTTGTTGAGAGCGCCGACCAATTCCCGGGAATGCCGCAGCGTTGAGTTGCTCAGAGCGTTGTTGAGAGCGCCGACCAATTCCCGGGAATGCCGCAGCGTTGAGTTGCACAGAGCGTTGTTGATAGCGCCGACCAAGCCCTGAGATTGCCGTTATGTACCCTGGGCTTGTGCTGCATTGCCTCGAGTGGACTGTGTCTCGTGGTTGATGTGAATAGTCGTCGCGGTGTCCTTCACCTGTTTTGTCGCCGCGGTATTTTGTAATTGTCGACACGTCTGGCCAATGTGTTAAGCTGGTGAACTACGAGGTTACACAAATGTGTGCTGCTGTCACTGTTGCCGAGAGTTTTCACCAATGAGTTGGTCTGGTGCTTGGTTGTCAAGAAATTGTTATCCGCCCACACTTGGGTCACGTCCTTGTGCATAGTGGGTCCACTAAACCGAAGAATCAGGCATCATTTAATACATTCCAAATCTTGTAAAGATTCATTTGTACTCTGGAGCCAGTTATTGTACTTCTTTCCGTTATCCGTTAAAAGAACGTTTGAAAATAAAAAATCCGCCATTGGTGCCCCTATACAAAATGTATTGAGGACATTGCATGGGGAGATAAAATGATCCGAAACCCTTCTCCTCTCCCAAATAAAACATTAGCACCCATCACAGTAACCTCTGATTGAACCCCGTGCTCTTGCATGTTTTGAATTCCATGCGAGTGCTGCGTGCCGTCATTGTAACGCGCCAGCGCGTGTGGTTACGAGTGGTCAGTTTCAGGCTTTCGTGTGCGTGGGGTGGCTTAATTTGTCATAGGCGTTCTCCGCAGCAGCTTCAGAAGCTGCAAAATAATGAAATAAAAAACGCACGTGCCTTCTCATTTAGTGGGACATCGATAAAATATAGTAAATCATCCATTATCCGGCTTCCAACATGCAACAATATCTGGCGGTTCCCAGGCCGACTCTGGTTTTAAACGCTCCAAAGGCCATGCCACCAGTCTCGCTACGCTGATTTCAATGTCAAATATTATATACAGTACATTATACACTAACTACAACTTAAACAATTAAAATGCTGCACGTATATACATCACGTATACGTTATACTGTAGGATATAATGTGTCTATTTGTATGGTTACTTATGCCATTTCATGAAGTAAATACATTTAAAACACAAAAAACACATATACAGAAACACCTAAAAAGATTGTCTGCTTCTGACCTGTCTGGAACGTTGTTTATTTCTTACGATATTAGGAAGCTACTGGGAGCTATGTCAGTTTTTAAATCATCATCTAGATTGGAAACTCATTTAATTAAGAATGCTTGTTGTTGTGTTCAGTTTGTTGTCCTTCCCCTCGCACCTCCGATTAGCACGGTTGGCTTCGTACGGTACGCGAAAGAAGTTCAACATACCTACAAGCACGTACAATTGGCACCACTTGACTCAGGGCCACCAAGGGAGATCATCACCGAGCCAATGGTCTTGTCTGAGCAGAGACACTTTAACATTTGGCAGCGCTTATTTTCAACAGTCCATCTAAATATAGTTATATTACATTGTTCCAAGTCATCCTCAGTGAACACATTTCTCTTTGTGTGTGAAGCTCTTACCTCGTAGAGGACTACTGGCCCCGTCATTTCGTGGCACCTGCAATGGGAGATTTTACGGAAAAGACACAATTAGGTGTTGAATTCAGAGCCAATGGACTTTGCAACAGAAGTTGTGTTTCAAATCAAATGCTAATCAATGCAGTGAGCATTATTTTGTGCGTGTCCATGCAGTGGTGCGCTAGTCCACACACCGCACTGCAATAATATTCGCCTAGGTTAAGTCACTATCTATGGAAAAGTATCAGTAGTAAGTGGCATCTGAACTTATCCCAAGCCTCCCCTAGGTCAAGTCAGACTCAAAGTGAGGTCTTGATTTAAACACGTCGGGAGATTAAGGAATCTGTCGTGGCCACTCCATCCTATAGACCAGTGGTTCTTAACCTTGACTGTAGCCTTGCATCCGTTTGGATCGCACTCGTTAAAATGTTTTATGTTAATACATATGTTGTGACATTGCAGACGTCACGGATGTAGCGACCATCGTGGATGTCACTGGGTAATGCCAGCTCTAGCGAGGCACGGCGTTGCGATGTAATTCCATCGCGGACACCCCGTATACATGGGTGTAGTACCAGCCCTATAGGGGCTCGGTGAGCGCTGATAGTGAGCGCCGAGTGGCACCAGTGCAGTGCTGTCCCCTATAGGAGGGGGGTGTGAGAGTGCCGGCCAATGAACGGGGTTAATGTAGGCCATGGCACTCTGGTTGACCCTAGAAGGCACGTGACGGGTAAAGTCTACACAGGTGCCGCCAAGTGGGGGCTAGGGGTGGTCACGTGTCGGGGCGAGATCCTGCTAGAGGATTCGAGGTGGCCGTGGCCAAGAGCGGAGCCAGCCACGACCAGGGAGTATATAAACCGGGTCCCCAGAGGGACCGGGATTCAGTGTTGCTGTTGTTATCCTGAAGATCTACGCTCTACGTTCTACGTCCGAGAAGATTCACCAACACGTGGAACTGGACCCAAGCCAGGGTCCTGTCCGTTGTAGCCACTCCCAGTGTAATTAGCCTGGTGGGTCGTCCACCATAGGGTGTGATTTGGTAAAAGGGCAGTTACCCCATTGTGTTGGTATCAATAAATGGTGTTGCCTCCAAGGAGTATGTCTGCGACATCAGTTGAATCCACTACAAATACATAGGTTTGATGATACCAAAGTAAGTTGTACTTATGTGCCCGTGCTTACTGTTTGTATTTATTTACCTTCTAAGCAAATCTGGCCATGTCTTGCACCCCACAGAAAAGGCATCTCGTACCCCCGCAGGGGGTGCAGTGCACCCCATGTTAAGAAACCACTGCTCTAGACCTTTACAGGTTCAATCACTTGCGCTCCCTATCTATACCAAGTGTCGCAGGTGTTATTCGGAAAGCCCCTGGAAGCTATGAACTTTTACATCATCTAGAATGAAAAACTCGTTTCTTTAGAATAGTTTTTCACGTGTTAATTTGTTGTCTTCCCCTGCACATCCGATTAGTATGGTTGGCTATGTACGGTGCGAAATAAGCTCAACATACACACGAATCAATGTGGAATTGGACCACTTGACTCGGGCCAGCAATGAGGTTCATCACCGATGAACTTGTCTGAGCAGAGACACTTTAACATTTGGCTTTGGGCATTGGCTTATTTTCAAAACAGTCCATCGAAATATAGTTCTATTACATTGTTCCCAAGTCAATCCTTAGTGAACACATTTCTCATTGTGTTTGAAGTTCTTACGTCGGAGTAACTGCTGGCCTCTCACTTCGTGGCCTCTGCAATGGGAGATTTCGTGGAAAGGACATGATTAGACATTGCATTAAGATACTATATACTTTGGAATAGAAGTTGTTTAAAGATCAAATGTTATCCACATAGTCAGGATTATTTATGCGTGTCCATGCAGTGGTGCGATAGTCCACACACCGCACTGGAATCATATTCGCATTGATTAAATCCCTATCTATGGAAAAATATCAGTAGTAAGCGGCATCTGAACTTATCCCGAGCCTCCCCTAGGTCAAGTCAGACTCATAAGTGAGGTCCTGATTAAACACGTCGAGAGATTAAGGAATCTGTCGTGGCCACTCCATCCTATATACCAGTGGTTCTTAACATTTACTGCAGCCTTGCACCCCTTTGGTTCACACTCGTTAAAATGTTTTATAATGTTAATAAATACATAGGTTTGATGAAACCTAAGTAAGTTGTACTTATGTGCCCGTGCTTATTTGTGTTTTGATTATTTACCTTTAAAACAAATCTGGCCATGTCTCGCACCCCCAGAAAGGTCATCTCGTACCCCCAGGGGCCCGTGCACTCCAAGTTAAGAACCACTGCTCTAGACCTTTACAGGATCATCACTTGGCATTCCCGGTCCTATACCAGTGTCGCAGGTGTTATTCCGAAGCCCCTGGAAGCTATGCACTTTTACATAATCTAGAATGAAAACGCATTTCTTTAGAACAGTTTTTTCATGCGTTAATTTGTTGTCCTTCCACTGCACATCCGATTAGTATGTTGGCTACGTACGGTGCGAAACAAGCTCAACATACACACGCAGCAATGCGGAATTGCCACCACTTGACTCAGTGCCACCAATGGAGTTCATCACCAGATGCACTTGTTGAGCAAAGACACTTTAACATTTGGATTTGGCAATTGCTTATTTTCAACAGTCCATCGACATATAGTCCTATTACATTGATCCAAGGTCATCCTGAGTGGACACTTTCTTCATGTGTGTTAATTTCTTACGTCGTAGTAACTACTGGCCTCTTCGTTTCCGTGGCACCTCTGCAATGTGAAGAATTCGTGGAAAGGACACGATTAGGCATTGCATTAAGACACATATACTTTGGAATAGAAGTTGTTTAAAATCAAATGTTATCCACAAGTCGCATTATTTATGAGTGTCCATGCATTGGTGTGATAGTCCACAAACCGCACTAGAATCATATTCGCCTAAGTTAAATCCATATCTATGGAAAAATATCAGTAGTTCAGCGGCATCTGAACTCATCCCGAGCTTCCTCTAGGTCAAGTCAGACTCAAAGTGAGGTCCTGATGAAACCGTCGGGGAAATTAAGGATCTGTCATGACCACCTCCATCCTCTAGACCAAGTGGTTCTTCACCTTTACTGCAGCCTTGCACCCCTTTAGTTCGCACCTCATTATAAGTTTTATAATGTTTATAAATACATAGGTTGATGAAACCAAGTAAGTTGTACTTATGTGCCCGCCCCTTAATTTGTGTTTCGATTATTTAATCTTTTAAACAATCTGGCATGTCAGGCTTTTATGTCTGTTCTATATACCGCCGGCGTGTTGTTTTTCGTAACGCGAATTGGATTATAACGGTTAAATGGATTATATAACGCGATCGAATGAATGGAACTGCATCGTTGCGAGCACAAGGTGGATGCTGCTGGATTCTTCTAGATGCTACCCACGGCGCCTGGGTCTTTCTTCGGAATGCATATGCATCACACGTGTTATTGCAGGACGTGTCTTTACTCCTATATTATGTATTATTTATTTTAAAACAGTGATCTTTACATAACGCGGTATTCTTCAGGAACGCAACTACTACCGCATTATAGAACAGACTAAACCTTTGCCGGCAAGAAGCAAGGAAGCGACGACTCAAAAGTGACTGCTGGTTACACCCAGCTTCAAGGGGAAATTTAGGTCTACTTAGTTGTAAGGAGAGTTTGGTAGGCATATCAAAGTTAAGAGGCCACAATCGCCAAAACATTGAGGAAGAGATTTGAAGCTTTCGTGACTGCAGGAATCCTACTCGTTGGTTCTTTCCGTAAAGTCACGTAGGTAGAAATAAAATAAATCACGACGGTTTCGGCGCAACACAAATGTCCATCATCCTGATGATGTGTTGCGCCCGAAACGTGATTTATTTTATTTTTATATACCTATGGACTTTAACCGAAAGAACCAAAGAGTATTGAGGAAGATAATTTAATATTATGTCAGCACTATTGGCAATCGCTTCTCTCTCGCTACCAAATACATCAGCTGTTGCGCAGTGAACACGTAACCTGCAAGTTCTGCTGTTACTGTGCCCTGCCATCTATCCTGCTTTCCAATCTTCCCCCGTGGTTTCTGGACTCGGGTGGCCATCCCAATGCCCGTCTCAATCACCGGACCCCCTCCATTCTGCACGAATGTTTTCCAATTCAATAGAAACTTATAACTTACATTATCCGATCCTGACAATGAAATTGTAATTTTTTGTTACTTTCCCGATATCGTTTACAAGATTTAATATTATTTTGTATGTGAGGCAATGGGGGGGGGGGGGCTTTGCATCGCGTTGTGACGCACAGTACACACAAACCGTCAACATAGACTAAAGCGGTTATAGACAAACAGGGGATAGAAAGATGGGGAGTGGACACCCCACTGCCCCAAACCAGACGGGGTCCCACAGAAAGGGGGTAAAGGTAGTCTTCTTTTTTAGTACTGGGGGGGGAGGGGATGACAAGGGAAGGGAGGGATATAACTGAAGGGCGCCTGAAATAAATAAAAGGAAAACACAAGAGGCGACCTGAACGGAGCGTATTTTCGTTCCACCCCTCCGAGTCCAGCTCCTGTCTAGTCTGTAGGGTTATTCCCCTCATCCTGGGTCCCTGTCTCCCGAACCTCCATCCGGCTAACTTACTCACGTGAAATTCTTAGCATCTTATGCACGGACCCAAACTCAAAAGCCTGAACACTTTTGTCACGGTGAATACAAGAGAAAGCAAACGCATTATAGGATTCACGAGGTATTTAGTAAGAGACATGGGATGCAATGCAGCTGCGTTCAATGTGTAAACAGGTAGGATCTCAACGACATTCGACATTTCTAATTATATTCACTGTATTGGTAGAGGCAGGCAGCAAAATAAATTCACCCCACCGTTTCAGTAGAATTCATTATTCTCTCATCCAGATGTTGCGTGGGGTTCCTGAAAGAGTGAAGTTTTTTAAAAAGGTTAATGAATTAAAATATTAAAATCGACAAGTTATTTTAATAGTTGCATAACAACACAGGGAGTATGAGTGGCTCGTGATTGTGTGTTGTCTTCCGCTATAATTTTCTTTGGAGAAATAACCACGTCAACTTCTACCCTGACTTTGTGTTGTCAAATTGTATCACTTTCAATTGCCAACGTATTCAAGTTCAAGTTCAAGTTCATTTATTAGGTATAGCCCTGTGAGCCATTCAGCTCTTGAATCGGGTGCAACCGCAACAAACAAAAAACAAAAACATGAACAAAAAAACATCTTAAGTGAATATGTGACTAAGTGCAAACAGAAAATCCAAGAAAAAGACAGCAAAAATATTGCAGAAAAAACACCGTACACCAACGCTGTGTGCAAAAATCCCAGTGGGATGCAAGTCAAACAACAACAACACCACAAGACAACTTAGATTAAGGCCATCAGTCTAACTCTGTACTACAACAACACAAACATGGCTAAACCAATACACTTTTCGAAATCACCAAAATAAAGCCATGAAGGCAATGAAAAAGCAATCATAGGAACTGACGGAATTTTCACAATAAATGGCATAAACAACATGTACTACCAAAACCCTGCAGCCATAGCTGGCTGCATGAGTCACTCCACAACAGCAGGAGCATCAATCGGAGTATTGTAATTTTTCAATGCACCTTTAAGATCAGCACACTAAATCAAAACACAGGTCATACTTTGTAGCGATCATCCGGAGCGAAACATTTATTTTAGGTCACTGAATAGCACTGGCAGCTAGGGGTGTACAACTCCTCTAAAGCAGTTTTGAGTGAAGATCTCATAGGTAGTGACTCAAGTTTCAATTTATTTGCAACAGCATTCCAGACCCTGGGAGCATCAATAGCAAAGGCCCTTCCTCCAGTATATGTACGGCAATAGGGAATATTAAGCTGGTAAATGAGTGTAGACCTTAGGTCAAATTTGTTCTTTGAAACAGAGACGAGATCCAGCAGGTAATCTGCAGATTTTTTTGCAAGTACATCATGAATAAATAAGATCTGGTGCACAAGCCGTCGAACATTCAGAGATGTTAAGTTTGACCCAATGTAGAGATCACAGTGGTGAGTCCTATATGGGCAGTTCAATGCAAATCTTAAGGCCGAGTGATACATTGAGTCAAGCTTCTTCAGTACAGTACTTGGGGCTGATTTATACACAATGTCACAGTAATCAAGTAGAGGCAGTACGGTAGCTTTAATCAATTCCAAACGGAACATAGGAGGGAAGCAGTGCTTGTGTCGATATAGAAAACCAATTTTAATTTTTGTCTTTTTCCCAATATAATCAATGTGATCTTCAAAATTCAGTTTTGAATCCAGGATGACCCCAAGATACTTATAGATCTTGACTTGCTCTATTTGATCATTATTTAAGGTATGTAATTGGGGAAAAATAACTTCCCGCTTTAGTCCTGGTGAGAAGCATAGCACCTTGGTTTTGGCAGGATTTAGGACTAGTTTAAGAGCAACTAGCTGATGTTGTAGTTTGTTGAAATCACTCTGGAGCTTAGCAATCACGTCATCTGGAGAGCGGCCAGCAGTAATTAGTACCGTGTCATCTGCAAAAAGATTTACCCTGGAATAATCCAGTTCAGTGCCCAAGTCATTTACATAAAGAGAAAACAAGAGGGGGCCGAGAATGGAACCCTGTGGAACCCCTTTTGTTATCTTAACACTGTTTGACCTCCAACCATCTGTGAATACAGTTTGGGTGCGAGAAAAGAGGTAATTTTTTAACCATTTTACTGTGTTTTCGGAAAAACCGAGGCAACTTATTTTACTAAGCAGGATGTTGTGGTCTACTGTATCAAAAGCTTTGGACAAGTCAAGAAAAAGACAGGCGCAGTACTGCTTATTATCAAGGCTACTGTAAATGTGATTCAGAGAGTCTAATGCAGCAGATGTGGTGCTGTATTTTTTTCGGAACCCAGATTGTTTTAGATGTAATAGATTGTTGGCGGACAGGAAACTGTTAATTTGGTAGGTCAATAATTTTTCAAAAATTTTCATCAACGGGGACAAAATTGAGATAGGTCGGTAGTTATTTGGATCATCTTTAGGGCCCCCTTTGTGAAGTGGACGAACATAGGAATGTTTCCATTCTAGAGGAACTGATGCTTCTTTGATGGACAGGTTGAAAATATGGGCTATAGGTTTGTATATTAGGTGACCAACAGTTAGTAGAGCAAAGACGGGAATACTATCTGCTCCGGTAGAGGAGGACCCTTTGAGGTAGGACAGTTGTTTCAGAACATTACTTTCGTGGATTGGCTGAAAACTAAATTCGCTTAATGTTTGGACAGGAGTGTAGGAATTTGCATGAGCAGGGGTGACTCGTATATATATACGTATATATCCGACATTAGTAAAAATGTAATGAAGTACAGTACTGCAAACCATTGATATATTGATATATTCTATTTTTTTGCAATTAAGTCAAGAAAATTACAGCAAAAGCGACTTACGCTAGTTTCAGGCAATCGCCATTCGGCGTGAAAATGGTAGCCAGTTTGTTTGGACTTGTAAATAGAGAACGCAATTTATAACACGAGCAATATTTCACGGATATAAATCACGATCATTCTGAAGCTCGCAAAGTGATGCTTATTTTATCCACTCAGAATCAGTATATTTATCTTGGAAGATGAACAATGAACTCTAAAGCTCTTTAAAAAAAGTATTTGAATTGACAACCTTCCAGTGATGAGTTGAGCTTCCTAAGCGTGGCAACAACCCACAGGCATATTGCTAGAGACTACAATGTATGTATATATGTATGTATGCATAATCTACAGTTCTTGTGAAGAATAAACAATAGTAGCTTAAGTGCCAATGGAGTGCCAATTAAATACCCTGCATACCAAATTATTTACAAAACCTAACTGTAAATGATACATCCGTGAGTCGTCAAATCACACATTTGGTGAGCTCTCACCATCGAAACAAACAGAAGAAAGGCTGCTATTAAAGTCCATAGGGGCCGTCCATAAATGACGTCACGCGATTTTTGACGATTTTTGACCCCCCCCCCCCCTCGTCACACGGCGTCACAAAAAGTCAGACCCCCCTTCAAATATGACGTCACAAAGCTCTGCCCCCCCCCAACCATATTTCCATTTTGAAAATAAAACATGCTTCAAATCGCTTTAAACTATTGTCATTGTGGTGCGTATTTAATGTGGCACTGCACTTTGATGTTGTAGGAGTGTTGTTATAACAATTAGTGTTGTTATAACAATTCTATATTTATTTTAAATTATGCATTTTGATGTGACATCACATTTCTCACCCCCCCCCCCCCCTCGTCACACAGCGTCACAAATGTCTGACCCCCCCCCCCCCCAGGTGCGTGACGTCATTTATGGACGGCCATATATAGAAAACCCGGCTTGAATGCTCGGACATACCAAGAAGAGAGTTGTTCAGGCACAGCGTCATATACAGGCATTGCTGTGGCACTGCCAAGGGGTGGCCGTTCTAACACCGCACTGCCGGGTGGCAGCTTGTCGATGTATTCGTACGCATGCTCTTTGTGTTGCTGCTGAGAGGGGGGAGGGAAAAAATTAAGAGGTACGATGCAGTCCTCTACTTACGAACAGGGTTCCATTCCTCCTTCGGTCCGTTCGTAAGTCGGGCACAATAATGGTACTGCATTTTAATGCACATACGATTAGTGTTAAAAGATGTGTGTTCGGTTCAACACAAAAAAGTAAAGCATTGTTAAACTCATGAATAAGAAATATTGTACATTTGCATGCAATGCTGTCATAAATATTCTATAGTAATTCAAACAAAACACAGCAACATGAATAGGAAAATAATGTTTTATTTTCACTTACCTTGAATCCTGATGCTGGCTTGATTGTCGGAAGCGGTGCAATGAGTCCCCACAATTGCGCACACACACGGGAGCACATGCGCACGCACACACACACATAAAACATCAACGATCTCCCCCTTAGCTTTCACAAGCTGGGGAGGCAAGTGCTGTTAGTGAGCAGTGCTTGGGAAGGACGGCACGGCACAAGAGGGAGTGGATGGCCAGCACCAGGCCAGGCCGCCTTTGACTCTTCAGTGGTGATGTTAGTACACCGCACCAAGTACTAATGAGGCTGAGTCGACCTAGGGGAGGCCCAGGACCCATTCAGATAATCGTCACCGGTGTTGGTCGTGGGTGGGACTAGAACTCGGGTCGCCAATCAAATCGAGTTGTCACGTTGGCAAATATTGGTTCAACAGCAAACCGCAACGTTGAAAAACCCCAAGCAACATTGTGACAATTGTATACGAGGTTTTTCTTCTGGAGAATACATCCAGCATTATCAGCTCTTACTAAAGGCTCCTGATGTAACCCAAAATTGTATTTATTTACAATAATATTCGGTCGTGAAAGCCTACGTGTAAAATTGCGCCTAATAATTCGCTCAACTACAGTGGGATGGAGGCGTTGGTCTTGCTTATAGTCAATTGGCAATGACTGTTATTCCATAACCGATCTAGCACTCCATGGCATTGCACTAACTCCACCAGGAAGTGACATTCCAGGAATATCGGGTCACAGACATCATATGGCAGGAAGTGATGTAGCACCACTGTTGTTCAATGTTTTTCAATGTATTTGTGGGTTGTACTGTGTGTGTTGGCACAGTAGGGGGCACAGGTAATGCATCGGCCAGTCATCTCAGTCAGTCAACCCATGGCACCTGGGTCTATCCAATGACCTCCTGCTAGCGGGCATTCGACACTTCACGTGACCTCAAAGTGCACATAGCCTGGCACAAGCACCGTTGTGATTACACCGCCACTTAGTGGAGAATGGCGGTTGTTGTGTGTGTGTGTGGTGTTGAAGGGTCGTGGAATAAAAGTGGCTCTTCAAAGCAGAGGACGAGCAGCAACGTTGACCTGGAGAGTAGAAGCCACCCATTTTAACTGGGTGAATCATTCTGATTGTCGCCAGAAATGTCTTGGCATGACAACAAGTGCAGCTTTTTCGCAGTTGTACTCGACAGCTCTGAATTATAAACTATGAAACTAAACTATTTTGTATTTTACCAGGTAAGGCCCACTGAGCTGTGTCGATCTTTTTCAGAAGCAACCTGGCTCTCACAAATGATAGCTCAGTGAGGTGGCTTATCACGTGGAAATTTATAGCAGCCAAATGCTCTAAACGCATGGTCATTCTTATTGTGGACGGAAAGATTCGCGCAACCATGGGGAGGAAGAGACATGAAAACTCCAAATATACAGGCGGCTTCAGGGTCGAGATCGAATCCACAACCTCCTGTAAACCAGGCGAGGTAGTTAACATCTCCTAGCCACCGTGGCGCCTCATGTAGGCTTTTTCATCAGAATTTCCATTTTATTTCCCATCGAGTAAATCCTGTAGAGCTAAGAAGCTCTTTTTTATTTCAAGGGCATTCCGCAAACTTACAGGCAGTGTTGATGAACGTGGTATAAAAAATAATAATAATAGGTTTTACCCATTCTGGAAATAAAACAGGAGTTGCGTTTAGATGTTCAAACACCAAATCGAAACCTTTTGCAAGGAATCAAGTCTGCATTAACCACACGTACTTGTGGTCTACATGTAAACACAAATGATCTGATAATAATACAAGCATTGTCTTTGAAACGGATTGGCCTACACCAGAGACAGCCTTCTTTATGGCCTAGTCTTACCAGTGTCAGACCAGAGAACGCCAAAAGGCAAACAGTACAAAGGGAAGCCATTATCACATTTATAGCTCGGGGTGAGCAGCTATATCATGGGAACTTTTTTGGCAATACCAGTATATGAAAAATAAGAACACTTACCATTTCAACTGGAGCTCTTTGCTGATCATTTTCACCATCATCCTTTCGCCTACAGATTGTGAAACACGTAATATCGCAATGTTATGTGAATATATATAGGGTGCTTACATTTTTTTGACACTTATATGGGACTATCGTTTTTAGTGGAAAAAGAACTGATAATACACTGTAACATGTTAACAAATGTATGCCAATAGCTTTAAAAGTCATTGTCAACACATGCCTGGAATCTTCTCCAGGTGGTTTCCAGAGCCTGGAGGCACATTTCTTGTGGCATTGTTGCAAATTTAAAACAAAAATGTTTGAAGCACCCTGTATATATATGCCGTATTAGTTTCATGGCGTCACTAAGCTTCTATTGGGTGATGTCACCCTATAGGGGCTGAAGCCATACGCGTGGATATGATAATGTCGTTACGTGAAATGGGTTCAAATATAAATTAACGGGGAACCCAACTTCAGCAAGATTCCATTAACGTAACTCGAGTCACTCTCTCAGAAGATTTCGCCAATGATTTGTTCGGATTTTACGGACGGGACTGAATCCAGTTTCCGTGACATTTCTAATTAAATATGTATTTATCTACTATGGTAACGTTTTTAATCCATTCCACGAAAATTACTGTTAACTGAAATAATTGGTAATAGAATATAGGAATTACATTTCTGCCGAAACAGAAAACGTAATCTTAAACAAAGCCAGTCGAGGTCGAAACGCTCATATCAGTGTCACTGATTGGCTGAGGGCACGGCTCAGCCCCCACTTACAAGCGCTCTGATTGGCCGAAATTGGCACCCCACGTGCAACAACGTAAACGTACCATTAATCAACATGGGATCTCCTATGGGAGGCGAATCTTAAACCGCAAAAAACATTAAACGATGGCCACTGTTTACCGAGGGACTACTGTATACGCGTTTTCTTGTCAGAAACTCACTTAAGAGGTTTCCTGTTCTTGTGGAAGCAGAAGTAGTAAATGGCTCCCACCGCTGCCACTAATGCTATCAGTGGCACTACGGTGGCAACAGCTATAACCCAGGGCTCAACGCCACCTTCACCACCACCACCTGTAAGACAGCAACATGGCTGGTGTGAGTCCCCACAGATCCCTTTACAGTAATAACGATGCATTCATTATAAAACGTACACTCTCACAGAGTCCCGTTATTTTTTTTCACGTGCAGCTCTTATTTCACATGTCAGTCGTTGTGAGATGGCAGTGTCAAATTCCACATTCCTATGACAGGATCGTTCCCCCCAGAAGGGCACCCAAGGTATAAGTCGACTGATAAGCAGGATTACAACCTATGTGCTTCCAGTTGGGAGCTGTGAATGGTCTGGTGCCGTCTAGCCAGATACTCTAAACCAGTGGTTCGTAACCTTTACTGCAGCCTGGCCCTCTTTGGTTCTCACTCATTTAAGAAAAAATAATGTTAATCAATACATAGGGTTTGATGAAACAAAGTTGTTGTACTTAAGTGCCCGTGCTTCCTTTGTGTTTCCATAATTTACCTTTAAAAAAAATCTGGCTATGTCTTGCAGCCCCAGAAAGGCCATCAAGCACTCCCAGGGGGTGCGTGATGCACCCCAGGTTAAGAACCACTGCTCTAAACAAAAAGCCTTTATTGGTATTAACCACGGTCAATTCTTCTTAACTCACCAGATCTAATGAGATTGTGAATTATAACCATTTGTGTACCTTCTACACTACCTCCTATGTGCACCTTCATGATGAATAAATGCATTTGGTATAGACACCCACAAAAAAAAGTTAAACCCACACATTTGGCCTCTGTTTAGTCGTGTATATATAATATTAATACAAAAAACTTTCACTGGTTGGGCTCTCTTAATAAACCTCAAACAAACATCTCAAGTCTAGGCCAGCGCTGTTGTGAATCGCTGAAGTATGAAGTGGCATGATTTCACTCGCAGTGGGACGATTCAGGTAGATAATGGCCAAGTGTAATATATAGCCTGGGAAAGTACCTGTCGTGTATTTGCCCAAAGTGATAAACTGGGGTCAGTTCGGACAGTGGAATGATTGATACAGAGAGGTCCCTTTGCTTCCTTGTGTAAGGCCAGACTCAAAGTTCAACATCCGTAAGTTTCCCCCACACTCGGTAATATTTAAAGGAGTTGTGTGTGTATAGGAGGTTGTAGGTTCAATCCCGTCACTAACACCTACTGTATAAATTTCAATTTAAAGCTTTCGTGACTGCAGGGATTCATCTTCTTGGTTCTTTCGGTAAAGTCACGTCTTATCGACAGACCTGTTCTTCACCTGAGGACGGCTGCTTGCATTGTGGCCGAAATGTCGTGAGAATTGTATTTTATAATGTTTTATTTTTATTATTTTATTATTTCCATTCTACGTGACTTTACCGAAAGAACCAAGAAGATGAAAACCTGCTGTATATTTGGAGTTGGCATGTCTCTCTCTCTCCGCGTGATCGTGTGGATTTTCTCTGGGCCCTCCATTTTTTTCCTCCGCATTTAGAATCACGCGTTTGGAGTATTTTGCTGCTAATAATTTCCACATGATAATAAGCCACATCGCTGAGCTATTGTTTGTCATTGCCAGGTCGCTTCTGAAAAACAGCTATATAGCTCAGTGGGCGTTATCTGGTAAAATAAAAAATAGTTCTTAAATAGTTTAGTTTTTTCATCAACGTTTTCCAGCAACCCTTTTATCAGCAGGATATGACCCATTCAATGTTGCTGGGTTTCTTGGTGATATATATCAGCGCCCTCTACAAAGGACTGTCTAACAGGCTGCAAAATTCTTGCAGCTGATAAAGGAACGATCATGCCTGGAGAAAATCCTACCCATTATATTTTCTATCCAAATACTGATCTCTATGCCTAGTGCTGCGGTGTATAAAATACACAGTTGTCTTGTTCACATCAAATGGTGCGCGAATAATTGTCCCAACTAATTGGGAAAAAACATAGGAACCACACACGTGCACCGTTATCTGGTCATTTGCAATCCTCACGTTTGAGCATATTGTGAGAAAGTGTTTGAAACTAGGAGGTCATCAACTTGAGTAGGTGAGCCATTATTTCACGTCAAAAGTTGACCCAGTAAATACTATATAGCTTTAGTATTATTAATTAGAGCGAATAAATGTCTGGATAAACCCCACACGTACATGGTGAGAACATTCCAGCACTATGGACATCACCGTAGTTAACTGCTTTGGTGCTGAAACAGGAACCATCTATTGTACCTTTTGGTGCCAGTGAGAGTTTTCTACATAAGGAAAGTCAGTTTCGTGCGAATACCTGGTATTGTTGGGGTTGCCACAGGCGTAGTGGCTGTAGTTGTTGTTATAGCAGCGGTGGTTGTACCTGGCTGAATGGTAATGATAACCACCGCCTCGCCCCAGCCCACCGAGTTATTGGCCCAGCAGGAGAACGACCCAGAGTCTGACTCCACTAGCGGCCGCTCAAAGGACAGTGAGTTGCCGCTCACAACTATCTCGTTGGGCATGGAGCCGTCTTGCCTAAGAGCAAGCACACCAGAACACAGGGAGCACGACACGCGGTGAGCATCGTGCGATTACACTTGCTGCAGAAACTGCGAAGAGAAATTCGAATGAGCTGTGAACCCTTTTCCCCATTCCCAGACATCTGCAAGCTGCAGGGTGGGGTGTCCCATTCATCGCTGAATCTCGGAATGCGCGAGCGGGTTCAGCGTTAATTTTATTTAGAGAGGCGTAGTAGTAGCGCTGCTATTTTTAAAGACATTGGTACTCTCTGCAGAAAATTGTAGCGACACGACCACATGGATTTTTACTTCCAATTACATTCCGATGACCTACATGTACGTCTTCGGAACGAAATCGGAAGCACGCAATCGTACATGTACGTCATCGTGCATCTGATTCCGTTCCAATGACGTACATGTATGATGGCGTACCGTTGCGATTACATACATTGGAATGGAATCAGAATGGGAAAGGGCTAATATATGTAGACAAGTGTGACTGCAAGACTTCTTTCGTATGCATTAATAGCAGATTAAATGTCATTTTTGATTTGTTATCCACTCAATTGTCTGTTCAATAGCAGAGTGAATCTCATCGTGACCGACAGAGTGAATTAAGTACATTCTAATGATGTTATATCATGCCTGGGAATTTGGCAGAAATAATGGATTAGATGCTTATGACTGGATACAGTCGAAAAACTAGTAGCTATATTGTCAAACCTAGATGCAGCAATTTTTTGCCTGGAGGTTGATTGCTTTTACTCGACGATAACAACTGCATTTCAAGACCACTGACGCAGATTCGTTCGTAGATTATGGAAGAAGCGATGGTGGACACGGGAAGGAAGCATTGGAGATCTGGGAGAGAGAGAGAGAGCGGGAGAGCCAACACCATGGCTGGCAGAGCCTGAGATGGAAACAATCCGAGACCAGAACCAACGACGGGGCAAAGTACCACCGAGGCAGCCAGAGCAGCAACGAGAGTCTCAGGGCGGTCTCGGAGGGGCAGGGGCCTTCACCATCGATCCCAGAGCCTAAAGTTCTACATTAGTTTGATTTCGAGGGCACGGTTAGCGTAGAGATCAACTTTCTATTACCCTTAAGTGCTAAACACGTACTAATATGGACAAGCCCTTGCTTGACGCGTGGCGGTGTTCACACTATAACGCGGCTCTGCCATTAGGGAACGCTTTTGGCACAATGCGGAACGTGCCCTATTATAACGCGATGTCTGAGCGGTCGACGATTAACGACTTTCTTGAGCGATGCAGTCCAAGGAACTGTGCAGTAAAGTGGCGACCTGCCCTGGGTTTATTTGTCCCCGCCACCTCACTGCGCGGTGTGCCGAGTAGTCGTAGCATATCGTAGCTCGCCAGACTTTACCGTGACGACATTATTTATGGCGAAATTGTTTTTCGCCTTAACGTATCATTCGCCTCACGCGGGAGCGCATTCACGGTGCGTCATATGAGGAGTCGCCCGTACACAACCCTCTCCCGTCAACTGTGAAGCTTGAGCCAACGGCTGGTGTTAGTTTATGACCAGTTACTGGTTTATTATGCGAAAGGGTACTTTGCTTGAACAAAAATGTGTGTTTGTGTCCACTTGTAAGCAACGCAAAGTAAAATGAAACGTGGGCATCTGAAATCTCGATTGAGGATCTCAGCGGTGTACTGACTCTGCATCTGATGTAGCCATATTCAATCGGGAGGCTTGGTAGACACCCCGATACAAATGCAGAACCCAGTGCGGGCTCCGTTACTGGTGCAAAGCATCTACGGAGCAATTGTTATGAAACTCATCTTCGTCACACTCTTATTGCGGTCGCTTACCTGCGCCACAGGTAGTGCGTGATGCTGGGGTTCGTGTCCGCTTCGCAACTCAACGAGGCTCCTTCCTTCCCCACGTACCAATCGCCATGGTAGCCGGCGATGCTCACTCTGGGTTTGTCTGCGAATGGTGGAGGCAACAGGTGCAGTCGAGGGCTCCTTTAAGTGCTGCTAAATGTTCACGGTCTCTAATTGCGGACAGCATATAGGAGTAGCATGGCCTTACCGTTGAAACGTCATACTCGAATTATAAATGTTGTGGGTTCACTCTCCAACGCACCAGTATGCTGAACTAGTAACGAATTAGCACGTTTTATTTACGTGACAAACCTTACTAATTGGCTGTGTCGGGTGGTGGCGGGATTAATGATGCATTAATACTAGCGTGATCTAACCCAAACATCTCTCTCATGGATATTTGTCGCGAAAGCCCTACTACTATTACGTGTTAAGGGGCCGTCCATAAATAACCTCATGCACCTGGGGGAGGGGGGGGGGTCAGACATTTTTGACGATGTGTGACGAGGGGAGGGGGGGTTTGAGAAATGTGACGTCAAATCAAAATGCGCAACTTTAAATAAATATAGAATTGTTATAACAACACTCCTACAACATCAGAGTGCAGCGCCACATTAAATACGCACTACAATGACAATAGTTACGCGATTTGAAGCATGTTTTATTTTCAAAATGGAAATATGGTTTTGGGGGGGGGGGGAAAGCTTTTTGACGTCATATTTGAGGGGCGGTCTGACTTTTTGTGACGCCGTGTGACGAGGGGGGGGGGGGGGGGCGGGGGGGTCAAAAATCGTCCAAAATCGCGTGACGTCATTTATGGACAGCCCCTAAAGTGGTGTAATACTCTCCTCGCGCATGCGAGCGTGGAACACAGAGCCGAGTCACAAGCTCAAGGGAAATGAGGATCGAATTTTAAGCCAGATGCCCCCCCCCCTTGTTACAGAGCCTGAAGTGAGCGAGCCAGATGATGAGGGGGGCCAGGAGGCATGGACCAAAAAAGAGGGGTGAATAAAAAACATCATTAGACCTCCTTTGCCAGTACCAAAATATAATGATAGGGTTTTCCCCCTTTTTTCTGGCAACAAAACTGAAACCTTTTTACAAGGAATCATGTGTGCATTAACCACAATACTTGTGTTCAAAGTGCAAACAAAAAAAACACACTCTTGTCCTTGAAACTGATATGTTATCAGAGTGTGTTTTTTGTTTGCATTTTCACCACAAGTATATTGTGGTTAATGCACACATGATTCCTTGTAAAAAGGTTTCAGTTTTGTTGCCAGAAAAAAGGGGGGAAACCCCTATTATTTTATTGAACTAAAACCCTCCAGGACCTAGTGGGAGAGGAGTTCGGATTGGAGGAGGGAAAGTGCTTTTCTCACAATGGGTGCATGAATGTTTTATTATTATTTTAGGGTTATTCCCCCCCCTCTCTCCCCCACATGCTCAGAATCTCCCTCCATAAGTTGGTCTTACCCAGAACCGGCCCTAGACCTTTGGGGGCCCTAAGCAAAATTTGGTTGGAGGCCCCTTTGATGTATGATTTTTTTCACCCACTAGCTAGCAGTGACTCTAGGGGGCCCTCTGCTGGCCACGGGGCCCTTTGCAATTGCAAGGGTCGCTTGGTGGCTGGGCCGGCTCTGGTCTTACCCCCCACTTCTCCTATCCCAACCACCTCCCCCTCCATTTGAACCCACCTATCCCCATCCTTTATCCCCCCCCCCCCACGCTTCTCTTAAATGGATCAGTCGTGTTGGGGTTGCTTTTTAGATAACGATAATATCACCTGGTTATTGCCGCTTTGCAACATGCTGTATTAGGCCTGCGTTTATTGTTTCAATAAAACAATTTGAAGTACAGGGCAATGGATTTTCAGACACTGCCCGCCACATATCTCCGCAGCCTTATGACAACCTATGAAAAATAAGAATAGGTTTTATCCTTTCTTGAAATTAAACAGGAGTTTATTAAGATGTTCAAACACCAAATAGATAGCTTTTGCGAGGATTCAAGTCTGCATTAACCGCACACACTTGTGTTAAAACATACAAACAAACATGCTCTGATAATGTATGCATTGTCTTTAAAACGAATTGGCCAACACCAGAGACACCACCAGTGTAAGTAGACGAGAGGACAACGCCAAAAGTCGAACAGACAACCTGTTTCTGCAATTCAGCGGTTGGCACGATGAGGCTATGGTGCTCACACTGCTACTTTATTCGGGATAGAGATCAACAACAAACCTGAACCTTCACGGTGCCCCACTCACAGTGAACGTCAAGCATGTTGGAGTGCTCCACAGGACGCTCCAAGGCCGGGTGCTCCACCCTGCAGATGAGTATCATCCCGTGGCTCTCGTACGTGGGCTCCAGCCAGTAGCGACTCATCACCGTCACCGTGCCGTCGGGCTCCGTCTCTGTGGTCTCGTTGGAGCTGCCTTGATCGAGGCCACTCCAGGTGATGGAGGCTGCGGGCTTTCCTCCCAGAGCGACGTACGTGGCCACGGTCACCAGCCCCATGCCCTCGACCAACTGGAATGGGCTCAACTCCAGGAAGACCTTCGGGGGAACTGGGGCACGGAAGGGAAGGGGAAAATAACGGGAGGCCTCGTTATTTTCGTCATAGGAATGTAGAATTTGAATGTGTGGCTCATGGTTACTAACGTGAGCACAATCACCATCATGATCTGTTATATTTACGTTAATAAAATATTAGCCATTATATAATTGTGCCCTATTCATATCGCTATTATAAGACCATCGTATCATCATCATCTTCATTAGTGCAAAGTCATCGGCGTCTGCTTCTGAATGAAGACTTCCCCCAAACTGCTGCCATCCGAAACGTTTATTTTTATTCCAAACCGATCCATTTAGCGCAGTGGCTCTTAACATTTTACTGCAGCCTGCACCCTCTTGTTTCTCGATCGTTAAAAAATATGTAATGTTAATAAATACATAGGGTTCGATGAAACGGAAGTTGTACTTACGTGACCGTGCTTGATTTGTGTTTTCGACGATTTACCTTCTAAAAAGATCTGCCCATTTATCGCAACCCCAGAAAGGGCATCTTGCACCCCCAGGGGGTGCGTGCACCCCAGGTTAAGAACGACTGATTCTAGCGCCTGCACACGAGATGATTCCATCACTCCATCTCCGTGGTGCACATCCTTTTGGGGAGTGTTCCTTCTGTTTGGCTGCCACTTAGTCTCGAACAGCAGCTACCGTTTTATCCTGCCAAGCCCACTTCCGATACATGATTCACTACTTTGTGTTTGTTCCCTAGTTCGTGCATTTATCTTTCTGATTCCCAGGGTATCAATCCAAGCATGCACCTGCCCGTGCGTCTTTGCACATTTTGAAACTTTTCTATTTTGACAGCAAAAAAATGTGTTCGTAAAAAGAACAATCTCTCATATTCATCTCCTCCCTTGGAATATGGCTTTTTTTTAAATCAATTTCATTTTTCCAAAAGCTCACTCCAAATCTGCTCTCTCACCACCTCTTTGTTTCATCACTCTGATTCCAGTCTGCATGCAACAATTGGCCCAGGGTATGCGCTCTCGGATGTATTGTCCAATTGTGTCCTAGCATCAAATATTTAAATTTGCTTAGCAAACTTGCTGTGCATGATATTTGTTTTTCATATCGACTGGACATCTGTGAAAGAGAGCTTTATAGCTCATCGGATTCCTCCAGTATAAATAAATATTTAGATTTTTATTTATACAGTAGACTCTCGATTATCCGAACTAATGGCGGGGAGGATGGCCACGGATAATTCGAAATCACGGATAATCCAAAAATATAAAACATTTCCACGGATCTCTATGCCGAAAACTACTAATATGGGTATAATTGTTTAAATTACGAAAATTAGTTTACTTACTTCCTCGCCGAAGAGTCCGCCCACTAAGTGGATAATAGCAGAGCCACAGCAAATCAGCATCAATCAAATTCAGCCCACTGATTAGGTGACAGCAGAGCCACAGCCAATCAACATCAATCAAACTCAGCTCACTGAGTGGATGATTACAGAGCCACAGCCAATCAACATCAATCAAACCCAGCCCACTGATTGAATGACAGCAGAGCCACAGCCAATCAAAATCAATCAAACTTAGCTCACTGATTGGATGACGGCAGAGCCACAGCCAATCAACATCAATCAAACTCAGCTCACTGAGTGGATGATTACAGAGCCACAGCCAATCAACATCAATCAAACTCAGCTCACTGATTGGATGACAGCAGAGCCACAGCCAATCAACATCAATCAAACTCAGCCCACTGATTGGATGACAGCAGAGCCACAGCCAATCAAAATCAATCAAACTCAGCCCACTGTTGTATCGATATTGCAACCACTGTACTGCAGATGCAATCACGTGGATTTCAAACTAACCGGAGCAACATATTTGTTCGGTTTAAGAACGCGACTTGTAATGAACATTTCCAAGAATAACAATGTATAACTGTTTTTTTGAATTTTTTATTTGGGCTTAAGGAAAATTCCATGCGTTATCAATTCATGTCAAAATGTCAGGTGTGCGGTTAATCCGCAAATAGGATAAAACGCACACGGATAATTGAGAGTCTACTGTCTTTAAAGTAAGTCCAACTCTGTAGCCTTCTTTATTAAATTCTTCAATTAGTTCATGTCATTAATTCAAAGTTGTTTCCCAAAACATTTATTTCAGACGTAAATTCTTAAATATGAATGGACAAATATTCACTATCTCCTATTTGCTAAGGGCATATCCATTATAACAACATGAAGTCATGTTATAATGTTGTATTCATCTCCAACCTACATAATAAGTATTCGTAATAGTGTATACAACAATACACTCATCCTCCTTGGTTCTTTCGGTAAAGTCACGTAGGTAGAAAAATAATAGATCACGACGTTTCGATCGCAACAAAAGCAATAATCATCAGGTGGGATTATAAGAAAAAAACTTGCTGTGGTTGTCCCACCTGATGATTATTGCTTGTGTTGCGATCGAAACGTCGTGATCTATTATTTTTCTACCTACATGACTTTACCGAAAGAACCAAAGAGTATGGATTCCTGCAGTCACGAAAGCTTCAAATCAAGAATAATACACTAATCATAACTATAATGCTTCATATCACCAATATCAGCAACACCTCGGCCGAGCGCAGTTGGTGGGCTGAACTTACCTCCAACTGGTATGTAAACTCACGACTTGGCAGTGAAATAAAGATCGACAAGTTACTGCCATCACATTGAACATGAAAACGGCTCACCGTTCACAGTCAGGCTGATTGTTGCTTGAGCTTCGTCATCAAAAGTGGAAAAACTGCAGGTGAAGTTTCCCTCGTCCCTCAAATGCAGGTCTTCAATGCGGATGGATCCGTCCGTCAGTGAAGAATCGAGGTTCGTGAAGTTCAGTCGCCCATAGAGGTCGGTGTCATTGAAAATGTTGTAACCACTGAGAGAGGCCATGGCGATTTCCACCGAGGAGTTAACGTTTACTTTCTGCCAGGTTATATTCAAGGGCGTCTGTGACCCCGTGTAGACGCATCTCAGGGTGACCTCTTGCCCCCTGTTCCTAGTCACAAACCGATCCGCCTCCACTTGGGAGGTTCCTAAGGTCACCAGACATGCAGTGATAGAACACAGAGGAGCGTTAAGATACTCAAAGTTTTCCAATGCATTTACGATATATGAGGGATATCCGTCAAGTAATGATTTATACTCAATAACTTTATTTCTAATGAAAATGTTACAACATGTTTTTTTACATTTTAAATAAACTGAAAGTCTGTATTTGTTAAAAGCGTCCGGACATTCACATGACAGAAGCTTTCCAGCATGACAGTGCTGACCATAATCAACGTTTTTGGGTTTAGATCGCGTTATTTATAAATGTGTCGTAACCCTCCACCACCCGACACGGCCAATCAGTAAAAAAGTGTCACGTTGACAAAAGACAAATAGTTCACTGCTTTAGCCCACCGGTGTGTTGAAGCGTGAAACCACAACATTTACAATTTGAGTAGTACGACGTTTCGCTGGTAATTGCAACCAGCATCATCGGGCAATTCGCCAGAATGGTGAGTCTCTGCTGTGTCGCCCGTTCTTATATAGGGCAGGAGCAGGGTGACGTCATCATTAACTCAGACACGCGCCTGAGAACTTAATAGTCCATTGCACACTTGCAGTGCGATGTGCTGCTGCATCATCCACCGTAGATCTCAGATGCCTCCATGGGCAACATTTAGTCAATGGTATAACTTTCCGTACGGGGACACAATTCCAGCACGGTTGGCTACGTATGGTGCTAAAGAAGTTCAACATACATACTATACAGACAAATGGCAACGTTATGCGAATGAATAATTTAACGGTGATGGAACACCGCTACTTGTTCCAACCTGGAAAAAATACTGAGATAATGATGGAGATTGTTTGAATATAGCCAATGGTTTTTAACATTTCCTTCAAAGAATATCTGAAGTTTTGCGTCAGTTTAAAACTAAAATACAATATTGAATACGTGTATTAGCACTCGCTTATTAATGAGCCCATCCTTACTGCTGGCCACATCCCAGTCTGTTCACAGGTGCCCTCATCATCAAATATCGAGCTATTACTGAGAATTACCGTACATTGTGCAGCACAGAAAAGCCACGGTAGCACAGAGCTGCTCACTGGTTCTGTCGTGACTATGGTAAGGGTATTCGTCTTATTTACACCGAACGGTGCTTGCGTATTTAGTCAATTGGGGCCAACACAAGACGGCCACACACTCGTTACAACAAGGACAAAGATCCCCCCGTATAGCCTTCACATTGTTGGCGCAAGTGTTGTTAGCAAGCACCTATGAAGGCCAGCGCGGTGCACGAAGGGGTGGGTAGCCAACACCACGCCCGGCCGCCTTTGTCTCCCAAGTGGCAATGTGCACGCACCGCACCAGGTACTTATTTGAGGCTGAGTCGACCTAGGGGAGGCCCAGGACAGGTTTAGATAATCGTTACTGGTGTTGGCCGTGAGCCGGAATCGAACTCGGGGGGCGGGTTTATAGCGCAGCGCACTAACACTACCGCTCCCCACATTAGTAACAACAGACACAAACACACACTGCTAACCTAGCTACTGGTCATTTCAGTCCCCATGCTTAAGCACATTGTGAGAAAGCAGTGAATCAGTGGGAAAGTAAAGGGTTCATTATCCTGAAAGTGTGTGAGGTTTTACATCAAAGCTTTTTTGGTGTGCGCGTGTTGTGGGTCATAATCATGAAACACTGGCTTTTAGTGAGACAAAGGTGGTTGGGTGAATTGCGGTGTAGTGGTTGCCAGCGCTGCGCTGTGAACCCAGCGACCCGAGTTCAGAATCAGAATATGTATTCATCCTGGAGGAATCTGATGAGCTACAAAGCTCTTTTTCACAGATGTCCAGTAGAATCGGGTCAAAAATTTATAACACAAAAAACAATGAAAAAACACGATAGGAAAACAAAGTACAGGAAAGATAGGCAAATTACACGAAAAAAATCAACGAAAACTAACAAAATAATCTATACACATGTTGATTCTAAATGTGGAGGTAACAACCAAGGGACCCAGAGAAATAATCCACACGACTCCGGGGAGAGACACCGCAAACCCGCAAACATACAATAGACGTCAGTCGGGATCGAACCCACAACCTCCTGTATACCAGGCGAGGAAGTTAACATCTCCTAGCCCCCGTGGCGCCCCTTACATACAAATAAGTACGCAAGTTCAAATTGCAATTCTGAAACAGAAATCATCAACAATATCATCGGTGGTATGTTGTTACACACCGATGCTCATTTGAGCCTCCAACCCCCAAATGAACATCTCTATTAATTTCAATGAGACGATGGTGGACATTCCACATTTCTCTGGAAACTATTTCTAACTTCATTCTACTGATCTTGGAGAGATGATAATGGTGGGCTGAACTTACCTCCTCTGACTGGTATTTAAACTCACGACCTGATATTGAATAAAAGATCGATAAGTTACTGTTATCACATTGAACACGAGAAAGGCTCACCGTTCACAGTCAGGCTGATTGTTGCTTGAGTTTCGTTATCAAGAGTGTCAAAGCCGCAGGTGAAGTTTCCCTCGTCCTTCAGTCGCAGGTCTTCAATGCGGATGGATCCGTCCGTCAGTGTAGAGTTGAGGTTCGTGAAGTTCAGTCGCCCATAGAAGTCTGTGTCATTGTAAATTCTATACTCACTTGGAAGGGCAATGGCGATTCTCATTAAAGAGTCTTCGTTTACTTGCCACCAGGTTATATTCCCAGGCGTCTGTGACCCCGTGTAGACGCATCTCAGGGTGACCCCTTGCCCCCTGCAACCACTCACAAAACGATCCACCTCCACTTGGGAGGTTCCCAAGGTCACCAGACCTGCAGGGGTAGAACACAGAGGAGCGTTAAGACACTCAAAGTTCTAATGATTGTGTGGGAGATGTCTAACTACCGATTCCACTTCAGCAATTATCTCATCGACAGGGATTGTACGTGGGGCAACAGTAAAGTTAGATAGGACTGACATCATATCTTTGGTTAGTTCAATGTTAGTCATGTTGATAAGAGTTTTGTTTTTAAATTGTACATTTTTAGTTGAGAGTTGTTAGCCAGTCAGTCAAAGCACGAACTAGGTGTTGTTTATTATGGTAACGAACACAGGTTTACCCAAAGATATCCCACGACCAACTGAGCACTGTCTAAAGAACACATTTTTCTCGTGGAAAGGTGAGTTCTATAAACAAAAGGAAGGAGCAGCAATTGGCTCTCCTTTGTCTCCTGCGATGGCAAATATGTACATCAAAGACTTTGAAGCAAACGCACTAGCTTGAAGTACACTCGATATGTGGATGACACATTGATTGTCTGGGGCCACATGGTAAAGATACACTTCATAAATGTCTAAATAATCTCAACTCACAAAATCCATCTATCCCGTTCACCGTAGAAGCGGAGGTGGATAAAACTCTTCCATTTCTGGACATGTATAATTCTATGAATCCGTTTACCGTGATGACACGTCTCTGTTCCACACTCGCACAAGTGCTTAGTCAATAATGGATATTGTGTTTAAACATAGCCAACGATTTATAACATTTCCGTGAATGAACATCTCAAGTTTTTGCGTCAATTTAAAATTAATAATACAATATTTAATACGTGTATGAGCACTCACTTATTAGTGAACCCATCATCACTGCTGGCCACATCCCAATCTGTTCATAGGTGCCCTCCTCGTCAAACGTTGAGCGATTACTGACAACTACACGAACAGGACTTATAAAATCACGTAAAGTTTAGATTGCACATTTAAAACGATGACTGCTCTTTCGTATTGCTGATACTAGTGCTCAGTGTCACGTGTTTATCTAACATTGTGCAACACCGAGAAGCCACGATAGCACCGAGCTGCTCACTGGTTCTGTCGTGACTATGGTAAGGGTATTTGTCTTATTTACACTGAACGGTGCTTGATTATTTAGCCCATTGGGGTCAACACAAGAAGGCCACACACTAGTTACAACAAAGACAAACATCCCCCGTATAGCCTTAACAGACTGTAGGGGAAAGTGCTATTAGCGAGTAGCACCTATGAAGGCCGAAACGGTACACGAGGGGGTGGGTGGCCAGCACCACGCCCGGCCGCCTTTGTCTCCCCAGTGGCGATGTTTACACACCGCACCAGCTACTCATTTGATGCTGAGTCGACCTAGGGGAGGCCTAGGACCGGTTCAGATGTTCGTCACCAATGTTGGCCGTGAGCGCGATTGCGAACTCAGGACACCGGGTTCGTAGTGCAGCGTAGCGCTAACCGCTACCATACCGCTCTGCTAGTTACAACACACGCGCACAAACACACACACTGCTAACCTAGCTACTGGTCATTTCAGTTCTCACGCTTAAGCACATTGTGAAAAATCAGTAGATCGGTGTGAAAGTAAAGGGTTCATCATCCTGACAGGGTTGTGAGGTTTGACGTCAAAGATCACCGTATCAGAATATTTTTCAGAATCAGAATCTGTATTTTTACTTCAGGAGGAATCCGATGAGCTATGAAGCTCTTTTTTTAGACGATATCCATTTGGGGTACAGGGTAAGAAAGTTACACAAACAAACAATACAAAAACACGACAGCAGTGCAACGTACAAGAGGGGTAAACAAATGACCCAAACAATGTGGTTCCTTGGTACAAACTCCAGAGAGTCTCTCTCCCTCGCCACCTTGAACCCTCGTCCTCCCTATAGCTCCCAGAAATCTGCATCCTACATTACGCTAGTGTGCACCGGGCAGTGGTGCACGCATCGATATTGTCTGCTGTGTGGTGGTGGTGTTGGTGTTGTGGGTCATAATCATAAAACACTGGATTTTGGTGAGACAAAGGTGGTTAGGTCTGTGTGCGTGTGGTGAGCGGTGGTGCAGTCGTTGACTCGCTGCAAACCCGGCAACCCCGGGTTCAGAATCAGAATATGTATTTATACTGCAGGAGGAATCGGATGAGCTATAAAGCTCTTTTTCACAGACGTTCAGTAGGGGCACGGGGTAAGAATGCTTACACAAACAATACGATACAGCCTGCTGTCTGTGATGGTGGTCGTGGTGTTTGTGGTGTGGGTCATAATCATAAAACACTGGCTTTTAGTGAGACAATGGTGGCTAGGTAAGCTGTAGAGTAGCGGTTAGCGTGCTGTGCTGCGCTGCGCTGCAAACCCAGCGACCCAAGTTCGATTCCTGCTCTCGGCCAGCACCGGTGACGATTTTATCTGAACCGGTCGTGGGCCTCCCCTCGGTCGACTCGGCATCAAATGAGTACAGAACCTAGTGTGGTGTGTAAACGTCGCCAAAAGGGAGATAAAGGCGGCCGGGTGTGATGCTGGCCACCAACCCCCTCGTGTGCTGTGCCAGCCTTCATCAGTGCTGCTCGCTAATAGCACGTGCCCCACTAGTCTTTTCAAGGCTACCTGGGGGGTCTTTACCTTTGGTGTTTGACCCGAACTCCTGTCTTATGCCTTTTATGTGTTTTTGCCCTTAATAATAATTGCATGCCACGGTTCGTGATTGAAAATTCAGTTATGATTCATAACACTGGCTGTGAAAAACCTACACGTTGTTCAGTTTGCTGTTTTCCCTCCCACAAACCTCCGTAAACTAGAAGTGTCGGATTTGCGCTTGTGAGTGTGATAATAATGCAAATGAAACTTACCACAGAGTAACGTGAACATTTCAAGATTCCGAAAACCCATTTCTTCTGAGAGTCGTATTCCTTTCGAAACGAGGAAATTATAATTGGACTTGACTTTACTTATATTAAAAACATTAGACTGAAACAATTTATTATAAGCTGGCTTTCATGGCTAACAACTCGGGAGCATTTAGGCTGTTTGCATACTCGTCTTTAAACACTTTCGCTACCTTTGTTAAACCTCAGCTTAAACAATCTACAAGTCTCGGAAAAGCGCTGTTGTGAATCGTTGCAGTACGAAGCCACACGAAACGCATTTGCAGTGGAAGATTCACGACCTGTTGTAAACACTCTTTTAAGGTAGATAATGACCAGGTGGAATAAATAGCCTGGAAAATACGTGCCGTGGATTGGCCCAAAGTGAGATATCTGGGGTCATTTGGGGCAGTGGAATGAAAGATACAGAGCCGCTGCTGCCTTGTATGAGGCCAGACTCAAAGTTCAATATCCGTAAGTTTTTCCCCATACTCGGTGATGTTTTAAAAGAGTTGCATATAGGTAAACATTTGGTTCCAACGGTTAAATGTAATGAGATGTTAACAAACTCGCCTGGTGTATAGGCGGTCTTGGATTCGATCCCGACCCTGTATATTTGGAGTTTGCATGTTCTCCCCGTGGTCATGTGGATTTTCTCCGGTCCTCTGTTAATTTTCCTCCACATTTAGAAACAACATGCGTTTGTTGACTTGCCCCATTATAAACGTCATTATTATGAAGGACTGTGTGCACAGGCTGCCACAGTTATTGAGGCAACATCGTGGTAACGTTGAAGGAAAAAAAATATATAATCGTGACCAAAAATCTTGATAACGGAATCGCGGGGAGTTGCGGGGCAGTGGGGTCCGAATGGCGTGCATCGCTCTCATTGGCTAAGTCAATGATGAGGCAGGCGGGGGGTGCCTTGTGACGTTGCCTCGGCCGGGACTGCTGCCCTGCGTGGTCTCACTCGTAAACGGACAAAGAGCCGCTATAAACATTCAGGTGTTGTTCGGTGTTTTTCGGTGTTTTTCGGTGTTTTACGCGCTAAGCGGCGTCCGCCTGTACTTTATTCAAGGGCGATGTAGATGCCTGATACGCACTAACTTAAATACAGCTAAACACCGATTATATTATCCGACGCGCGATTAAGGGGCTGTCCATAAATGACGTCACGCGATATTGGAAGATGTTTGAACCCCCCCCCCTCGTCACACGGCGTCACAAAAAGTCAGACCCCCCCCTCAAATATGACGTCACAAAGCTCTGCCCCCCCCCCAAACCATATTTCCATTTTGAAAATAAAACATGCTTCAAATCACTTTAAACTATTAGCATTGTAGTGCGTATTTAATGTGGCGCTGCATTCTGATTTTGTAGGAGAAAACATTTATTAAAAAGGAGGCGTTGGAAAGCTGAAATTTAGCATAAATTCACTTGAAAATATTCAACGTCTAACTAAAACTGTAGATGTTCAGAATATTATAAAGAAATATATTATAATTCTAAAATATAAAAAATAATTATAACTATAAAAAAATACTTTAAACGTTGTAGTAGAACGAAGCAAAATGGAGAGTGCAATTATAACACTCACATTCATTTCACAGAATGAAAAGCCCTGGTATAGAATCATTACAATAAAAATGTTTAATAACAATCATTAAACATTTTTTACAAAATGTATGCTTCTCCATTCTCCCATGGAGAAGCAAAATGCTCCTTGATGGAGTAAATAAAAGGTGACATTAGTAAATTTAAATAATAAAAGAGTTAATAATGAACATTTATCAATTAGTGTTGTTATAACAGTACTATTCAATTAATATTAATTTAAAGTTGCCTATTTTTACATGACGTCCCATTTCTCAAACCCCCCTCCCTCCCCCTCGTCACACATTGTCACAAATTTATGACCCCCCTCCTCCCCCCCCTAGGTGCGTGACGTCATTTATGGACGGCCCCTTACCTGGCTTCCAACATTATCCGGCTTCCAAAATTATCCGGCAGCCCCTGGCTGATCCGGTAAAACCGCTCCAAAGGCTGTTACCCAGTCCGACGATCGGTACCGTGTGAGTGATAAAAAATTAACCCGTAAAAACAAAGTTTTTCCCTATAAATCCTTTATATGCGTGGCGGCTAGAGTCCTCTCGTCCTCTGGCTTGAGATGGCTGCCACCTATGGGTCAGATGATTGCATTGCACCATTAAGCAATTGGTAATTAAATATAATATTTTTGTCCTAATAAGTGTAAAAATTTGGAAAAAAATTTCACGAACATTTATTGTTACGCACGACGAGTCTGTGTGGAAAATGTCAGCTCGATTGGATCACGGGAAGTGGGTTAAAAAACGACCGAAAGATTTGCACGGTCCTAAGCAAGCAAGCAAGCAAGCGAACTTAATATAAATGATTACTAAAAAAAAGTATCTACGTTTGATTTCAGTGTCAAATATTATATACAGTATATGATACACTACATACAAACAAGTTAAACAATGAAAATGCTGCATGTACATCACAGCATGCAGAGTCTTCGAGATTGGAGTGGTAAGTAGGGTACAGTAAATACAGTAACTTTTAAAAGTAGGATATTTATTTTTGTCTATTTGTATGTTTATTTATACCAATTTCACATCGTAAACACATAAAAAAAAGCATAGACACAACACCTTAAAACATAATGTGATGCAATAATGTGAAAAATAAGCTATTTTAAATAATAATGTATTTATTATCCGCCGTTTTGGAAAATCCGGAACCCTCCCTCCACCCCCCCCCAAAGCCGCAAGATAATAATGACACTGGTCAACACATTTTTCTGGCATAAGGTATTCCAACGGTTTGAAGGTAATTGGGGTGCTGATTCCAAATCTGGCATCAGTTTTTGTCCATCACATCAGGTTTTTGAGATATCAAATATTGCATTTTCAATAAAAACTGCAGAAGAAAAATATTAAATAAATGCGGACATCTACATAAAATGATATTATAAACACACTATCCTAAAAATACAGCACCATATTTTAACACTAAAGCAGTCACTGACTCGCAACAACTTGCAATCATAAGTGACAGAGTTAATTTCGGGTAAAATCAATGAAAATGGGCTATGCCGATAGCATAAAAATGAGATGTGATAGAGCAAATCTGAGATCAGATTTGGAATCAGCACCCGGAAATTAGTCTAAAACAGCTGCAAAAGTCCAGGCCAGAAAAAAATGTTTTTTTTTGTTGACCAGTGTTATCGATGATCGAATGCGATAAAGTTTGGAGACGATGAGTAGGTATACTCCGCGTTGTGTTCTGTCCTCCGCAGAAGTGGGCTACTCCACAGCAGCTGAGCACCAGGAGTTTGTGAAACGGCAAAACTTTATTGCAAAGTCGTCTTCAGAAGGGCAGTGACGTGTCAGCAATTAGTGGATCAGAAGCACCCTCTACGTCACTACCCGATAGCTGGGTTCCTTTGTTAAATGGGATTGAGCGCCGGTGTTAACATTCGAGACCCAATTATTAATTTATACATTGAAATCAACTTTAATATCCAAATCTTAATTGTGCATATATCCAATACCACCAACAACTCAATCAACAGTCAATTAACATCACCGCGTTCCTGTCAGTCGATTGACATTCAAGTACTATCAATTTAACAACTATATATCGCTAATGTAACGTGCAGCTTACCAGGCACTAATTCCACTAAAATATAAATTGGGGACATGTCTCTGCTGTTCACGTGTGGCTCAGGGTCCACATCCCTCGTCACCATTGCATTTATAAAAAATAATAATAATATACCGCACCTGGCTACCCGTAGCTATGCAAAATAGCTTCGTAGGTTCCCATATACTACAAAGTGCACAATTATGCGTGCGATTAATCACAGGCGAGCCTACACCGGCTACAGATGCATGTATTCAAATGTCACAGCTCGATTGCTTACTGCTCAATCCCATCGATGCAAGTATTCAAAATGTCATAGATCGATCCATGCTCAATCCATGCTCGAACACATACAGTGAGGGAAAAAAGTATTTGATCCCCTGCTGATTTTGTACGTTTGCCCACTGACAAAGAAATGATCAGTCTATAATTTTAATGGTAGGTTTATTTGAACAGTGAGAGACAGAATAACAACAACAAAATCCAGAAAAACGCATGTCAAAAATGTTATAAATTGATTTGAATTTTAATGAGGGAAATAAGTACTTGACCACCTCTCAATCAGAAAGATTTATGGCTCCCAGGTGTCTTTTATACAGGTAACGAGCTGAGATTAGGAGCACACTCTTAAAGGGAGTGCTCCTAATCTCAGCTTGTTACCTGTATAAAAAACACCTGTTCTCAGAAGCAATTAATCAATCAGATCAATCAGATTACAAACTCTCCACCATTCCAAACTCTCCACCACAGCTTGATTGACTACTGCTCGATCCGACACATGCACGTATTCGTTATGTCCTGTTACAGCGCAAGTGGCGATTTAATGGCGACTTGCCCCACGACTGTGGCGAACTTCAAAAAAATGGACAACAACATAAACCATTGGACAGACGGTCTCCTTAATATTCACTTTCGGGCTGGATAGACAAAAGTTTTAATACGTAAAAATGTCGTTCTTGAGTTCATATATATTTTAAAAAATTCCCATCAACCCTTGAAACAATGTTGCTATTTCCAAACAACATAAAGAAGAGCTGATCATGTATTTGTGTTGTTTGTGACTGCCTGTTGCCTGAAAGTTGGTTTGGTTAGTTTAGCTTTTGCGACCAATCTTATCCACAAGAGTTGTTTTTGGGTTAGATTGCATAAATATAAATCCCGACACCACCCGACAGCCAATTTAGTCAAGTTTGGTTTGGTTCTTTGTATTGCAATCGTTGTACACGCCAACTGAAGCCTCTGGGTCTCTGCAGTACTCTTGTTGTTCTTGATGCTCCCTTCTGCACCCCCCAACTCCCAAGGGGTAAGCATGGAACAACAACGGCCACCATTCATTGCAAAAGTGGCCAGCGACTTCACCACGGCGGCCGAAATGTGCACATTGAGGCCCGTCACGTGGCGTGGGGGAGGGTTTACTGGGAGCAAGGTCACGTGACAGAGCGCAGTGGTGGTGTTGTTGTTATGGGTTGGCGAAGGTGTGACTGGCAGGAGTCATACGTTACACACTGGCGTGACATGTGGCAAGTCGACCGTGATTTGGTCTTGTTGAGGATGGACGAATGTGATCATGATTTAATGGTCACTGGGTATGAAGACTGATTTTTTTGTTTGTTATATCCACACTGACACAGGGGTGCTTTGAGAATATACCATTAAATTGCATTTATTCTTACATTTCCCTCTTTTTTGAGCGAAGAAGCGTGGGTAAACGAGAATAGGATGAATCGGAAACCACTCGGGGTTTTAAATTTCGATTTAAAGCTCTCGTGACTGCAGGGATTCATATTATTGGTTCTTTCGGTAAAGTTACGTAGAAGGGAAATAATAAAATAATAAAAATAAAACTAAATTCTCACGACGTTTCGATTGCAACACAAGCAATAATCATCAGGTGTGAAAACCATGGCAAGAATTTTTTTGAAAAAGTGGCGATTTTTTCTTGCTGTGGTTTTCACACCTGCCGATGATTGCTTGTTTTGCAATCGAAACGTCGTGATAATTTTATTGTTTTATTTTTATTATTTCACTCGGGGGTTTAAGAATGGTCACGTAGAAAATAGGAATATCAGCAGGTCAGATTGTGGCTGGATAATAGGAAGAGTGGGTATTAGGAGGGTTGATGCAGTTTCACTCTCTGGTAATATATATGAATTTCGATTTAAAGCTTTCGTGACTGCAGGGATTCATCTTCTTGGTTCTTTCGGTAAAGTCACGTAGAAGGGAAGTAATAAAATAATAAAAATAAAATAATTCTCACGACGTTTCGGCCACAACGCAAGCAGTCGTCCTCAGGTGGAGAACAGGTCCGTCCTACTTGACGGACAGAGTCAGACTCTGTCTACTTGACGGACCTGTTCTCCACCTGAGGACGGCTGCTTGCGCTGTGGCCGAAACGTCGTGAGAATTATTTTATTATGTTTTATTTTTATTATTTTATTACTTCCCTTCTACGTGACTTTACCGAAAGAACCAAGAATATATATGAATTCCTTACCAAGCATGCGTCAGCGAGTGCCCATTCCCGAGCGCCTGTTAGTGAGCGCGCATTAGCATGTGCGCGTTACTAGTATTTGACCTCGCAACCTTCTGATTGTAAAAACATAAAATGTAGTGGCTCACCGTTCACAGAGAGGCGGACTTTTGCCGAAGAGTAGCCTCCATTATCAAGAGTGCCAAAGAGATTATCATGCACGTGCGGCCACAAACCTAGATAACTAATACGTGGCAGTACAGCAAGTAAATTGCCAACTCATTTGTAATTGTTTTACACTGTTCTTGTCTCCAGCACTCGTTGGCTCTCCAGGCAACGTGTGCTTCCTCATCAGCCACATGGTACACTCGTGTGGCGAATTACAGTTTGCACAAGGCACCAGACATTTGAAAGAAGAGATAGTACTCCTCCCTTATACAACACCTGGAATAAGTCAGGCTGGAAGGGGGTCCGGAGACAGGGACCAAGGATAAGGGGCACAACCACTGCAGATTAAACGGGAGCTGGACTCGGAGGGGTGGAAAGAAACAATACTCGTTCAGGTCGCCTCTTAATGTTTTTCTTTTCTTTATATCAGCTGTTGTTTTGGTTATATCCCTCTCTCCCCTCATCATCAAGTTCAAGTTAATTTATTAGGTATAGCCCTGTGAGCCATTCGGCTCTTGAATCGGGTGCAACCGCAACAAACAAAAAACAAACACATGAACAAAAAACATCTTAAAGTGAATATGTGACTGAGTGCAAACAAAAAATCCAAGAAAAGACAGTAAAATATTGCAGAAAAAGCACCGTACACAAAAATGTGCAAAAATCCCAGTGGGATGCAAGTCAAACAACAACAACCACAAGACAACTTAGATTAAGGCCATCAGTCTAACTCTGTACTACAACAAACAAACATGGCCAAACCAAAAAACTGATCGAAAAATCACCACAATAAAGCCATAAAAGCATTGAAACAGTGGTCATAGGAACTGTGACCGAATTTTCACAATAAACGACGTAAACATCATCGCTTCCCCCTTATTAAAAAAAGTTATCCTTAACCCCTTCGGTGAGACTCATTTGTATGGTTTGGGGCAGCTAGCCCGTTCCCCATCTTTCTACCCACCTCCACCTGCTTTTCACAACCGGTTTGGCTTGTGGTTGACGGTGTGTGTGTGTACGTGCGTCACAACGCGATGCCTGGGGCCCGCACATTGCAGCAATAATAAATAAATATTCAAAAAAGGGACAGTGCCAAGATCACGTGGCAACGAAGCTGATGGAGACTAAAAAGGTCGGAACACCGGTCCCAACGCTCGCCTCTTTAAAAGGCTGCTGGCAAGCATCGCACTGGAAGACCTTATGGTTTATACATGGGGTGCCATGGTGGATATGCCTGGTATACATGAGGTCGTGGGTTCGATCCCGACCGTGACGCCTGCTGTATATTTGGAGTTTGCGGTGTCTCTCTATCTCTTTCCCCGTGATCGTGTGGATCATTCTCTGGGTCCTCCAGTTTTCCCCTGCACATTTAGAATCAACCTCACACATTTGAGAGTATTGGGTTCTCTATACATTTCCACGTGCTGATGATGATACGCCACTTTGTTGGGCTATCATTTGTGATAGCAGGTCGCTTCTGAAAAAAAGAGCTGTATAGAAACTCAGTGGGGCCTTACACCTGGTATAAGAAAACTTTTGTTAATTTTTTTCTATAATAAAACATTTAATACAAAACTCTTCTAAAACTTCACAAGCTTGATAAAACGTACGAAGATTGAAAATGTTTTTAAATAGTTGGGACTGGCCTCGTACAACGAAGTAGGGCTTGCCATAAAAAAACTCAACATTCATCGCGTGTCTAACACTGGACCATTCCATGCCCTGTACTTTTTTTTCAGATTTTATTTTTTTACTACACCTGGGTCGTAAATATGTACGGCAGGTCATTGATCGACTACCGACTGTAAGTGCATTCCTGTGACCTTATATATTTGAGCAATTGACAATAGCTTGCCTTATGCAAGTTAAAAGAGATAAGTAATGTATTCGTGTTTTAACTACCGAAGCCCCTGCCCCAGTGGAGTAAGTCATAAGGAAGTTGCAGTTTAAAAGGACATGATTGGTTCTGGCTTGGTTTGTAAAATACAGAAATTCAAGTGAAGACTACAGAAGAGGTTTGAAGAGGCTCGGAGTTGTAATTCGGGTTTAAGATTTTTTTAGAAATTGATCCAGTACTTTTTTATACCATTCTTTAATACTAAATACTAATTTCGCGCTGTCAAGAGGAAATAGGGCTCAAATGAAATGGACTTTTGGAAACTTCAAATTCCCACAGCACTACTATTTGGTGAGTTTTATTATTACCACACATACATGCACGCACAAGCATCAACATTTTCAACATGCGCAAGCTTGCTGGGGAAATAGTTTTGCAAGAAGCACCTGTTGAAAGCGTAACAATACGTGTGAGTGCGGTAACAATCGAATTTTCAGAATCAAAACCTTAAATTTAATGACTGGAGGAAATTCGATTAAGCTATGAACCCCTTTTGCCAAAGATGTCCAGTAGGACATTGGGTCGGTGCCACGCCAGCCACGTGTTGTCTAGCCACAAATCCCAGATTCGAGCTCCTGTGGTCACCACCAGCAGCAGTAATAGTTGCAGGCAGTGTCCGCACTTCGATGTTTTATGGTCGAGTAATGCAACACATTATATGTAGATTGATTCGCAAGCGGGAGAGCTGCTGGCATGAAGAGCCAGATGTATTAAAACTATTAAACTGTTTATTTTTATCTAATAGGGGTTTCCCCCTTTTTCTGGCAACAAAACTGACACCTTTTGCAAGGAATCATGTTTACATTTACCATAATACTTGCAGTCAAATGCAAACAAAAAACAATATTCTGATAATGTATGCATTGTCCTTGAAACTGATTGGTCCACACCAGAGACAGCTTTCTTTAGAGCCTTTTGGCGTCATCTGGTCGAACACCATTGTGGTTAATGTAAACATTATTCCTTGCAAAGGTGTCAGTTTTGTTGCCAGATAAAACGGGGGAAACCCCTATTAGTATATTTTGGTACTGGCAAAGGAGGTCCCATGATGTTTATTTTTTTATTTTATTTTACCAGGTAAGGCCCACTGAGCCGTTTATCTCTTTTTCAAAAGTGACCTGGCCATCACAAATGATAACTCAACGAAGTAGATTATCATGATCACGTATAAATGTATAGCAGCCAAATACTCTGAACGAGTGATGTAGATTCTCAATGTGGAGGGAAAAACCGGAAAATCCGGAGAAGAATCAATATTACCATGGGGAGAGATTCATGCAAACTCCAAATATACAGCAGGCGTCAGGGTCCGGATCGAACCCACGACCTCCTGTAGACCAGGCGAGGTGGTTATCATCTCCTAGCCACCGTGGCACCCCCAGGGTCAGCTTTTACATGAAAGTCACAACCATATAGTTAAAACGTGAGAACTTAACCAGTAATTAGGTCAGTTGATATGGTGAAGACGTTGGTTTCCTCATATACTTTCTTTGCAGTGAACTCAAAGAGGGCTAAGCAAAGCACGTCCCTGGTGGTGGCCAAAGAACTGCGGTCCAATAGACGCACTTAAAAGAGCATGCAGCCACCTCATCCTTGCGGGTTTATTTTTTATTAAAATGTTTAAAACGTGACCCTAGTAGATACCGCCTGGAACGTCAGGATGTTAAAATTTAATTATCTGAGGGAGGATGTGGAATAAAAATATTTTAAAGAAAAAAATACACTTATATTCTTGGTTCTTTCGGTAAAGTCACGTAGAAGGGAAATAATAAAATAATATAAATATTAAACAATAAAAAATTAGATTTTATTTTATTTTATTATTTCCCTTCTACGTGACTTTACCGAAAGAACCAATAATATGAATCCCTGCAGTCACGAAAGCTTTAAATAATGAAATACACTTGCCATAGGCACTACAATACAGCAAAGCCCTCAACCCTTTTGCGGGTTTAGCCTCTGTAGTTTTTTGATGTTTCTCGCCAAATTTAAGGGAGATAAAGTTCGCCGATCATGGCCCCCCTGTGGCTCGGCCATTTACGGTTGACTGTTGGGTACCAGATCTGGCATCGTATTGGACAGCCTCTCTCAGCTGGATGCCTGGATGCATTTGACAAATACAGACTTGGCAGTTGTTTTAACGTGTAAAATGCACACGTAACATTCTAAAAGAAAGCAATGACAAAAATATAGATTGGGGGGAAAACATAATTTACGTGGCATCCTTTATCGTGAGGTAAATGTGTTTTGAGAAGCTGAAGTATTCTAACTTTTATCGGTTATCCCTCCCGTGTAGGTCTGATGACCTTGGGAGCTGCCCAAGTGGAGGTGGATCGGTTCGTGAGCAGCAATACGGGTCAAGAGGTCACCCTGAGATGTGCGTACATGGGGTCAGAACGGCTCTCCAGAATAACGTGGCAGAAAGTAAACGGAGGCTCGCCAGTGACAATCGCGGCGGCCATTCCTGCAGGTTACGCGGTTGGCTTCGATCCTGACCTCTCGCGCCGGTTGCGCTTCACGAATCTCGACTCAGAACTGAGAAACGCATCCATCCGCATCGAAGACCTGCGTCTAGAGGACGCTGCAGACTTTGTCTGCAACTTTGGCACTCTTGATAATGGAGGCTACTCTTCGGCAAAAGTCCGCCTCTCTGTGAATGGTGAGCCGCTACATTTTATGTTTATACAATCAGAAGGTTGCGAGGTCAAATACTAGTAACGCGCACACGCTAATGCGCGCTCACTAACAGGCGCTTGGGAACGGGCACTCGCTGACGCATGCTTGGCAACACGTGCTCGGTAATGCACCGTAACGCACACCCCTGTAAGCAAGTTCTCTCTTCAGCCACTTTTTCCGAATCCCCCAAGCTCCCGACATCCACCTCGTCATCTACCTTATAACTCCCTGCAATCTCTTTTTTCACGCCTTTTGTTACTACCATCTTTAATTCTCTTACATGTCGTCCCGTATTCCACCACCTAACCTCAGAGTGCCCCCTGCATGGCCTTTACACGCCCAGTATGACATTAGAGCGCCATGCGACACCATGATGTCTGTACATGTGACAATGTCTTCCAGGACATGCTAATATTGCGTGGCCAGTGATGGTGTTTACAACACCATAGCGGAATTTTGCCGTAACGTTGGGGTCACTGACCGGTAGGCCCCCACATGGCTTGTAGCAACTGCTTCAGAGCGCCATGGTGGTGAGATATTAACTACCTTGCCTGGTATAGAGGCGGCCATGGGTTTGATCCCGAACCTGACGCCTGTTAACATGTTCTCCCTGTGCTCACGTATATTTTTCTCTGGGTCCTCTGGGTTTTCCCTCGAAATTTATAATTAATATCATGCGTTAAGAGTATTTGGCTGCTGTACATGTCCACGTGAAGATAAGCCACCTCATGGACAGGTCGCTTCCAAAAAAGAGCTACACAGCTCAATCGGGCTTACCTGGTAAAATACAAAATAGTTTAGTTTTGGCTCTTGGCTTCACCTCCTTTTTGCTCCACCATCACCCCGATTGTTAATTGGATCGACCGTTATTTAACAGTCTAAACATTCCCGCGGCGAATATAGCAGTGTGGTAATCTCACGCCCCCATGATGTCACCCAAGTGAGGCCTAAGTTTTATTTAGCGAACCCTTTTACACGTGACTGCCGTACAGTTCGAGCGCCAGATTTGAAAGAACGATAAATAAATATGCTTGCCAAGGTTATATATTGTGGGAGCGTAGACGTCAGCATCACGTAGCCACAGAGCCATGTGACAACCACAACAACAACCAGTCCATGGCACGCCCTAACGGACTTCCCAGCTGGAGACGATGGTGTGCCATTGCTCTCCTGGCTGCCCGCATTCACACAGCTGGGTCGTCGCATAGTAGTACGATGCCCCATTGATGTTCGGAAGCGGGGCACACCCACACAATACCCTGGTCACACCGGAAGTAGTTCAACTGAGCCTCCTGGCGCCTTGGGAGATCGAAGCCAGGGACCTGGAAAGGCGGATCACTGATGAAGTCCTGGTTGGGCACATCCACGCATCTCAATTCCTCGTACCCAGGCAGTTGTGGGTATCCCGCGTACTCGGGAGTCTTTGGGCTGCGGTAATGCCCACCACCACTGGGTGTGGGGACTTCAGACGCACGGGTGGAGGCTTGATGATGTCGAGGTGAGACTCATGTGGGCCTTGTGTTTAAAACAAAACATCCCATAGGTTCAGTAATCTCGTGTGAACCCACTTTCAGCCTCACCCATCAAGAGGTTATTATTCTTTGTTGGCGACGCTCAACTGGCAATTCAAACTCTAGAGTTTCCACGATGTCGATGAATTGTTCTCCTGGTATTGACATCCGCAAAAGTGTCATCCGTCCCTTCCGTGCCCCCAAGTTCCCCCTGCGAACATCTACCTGGAGTTGAACCCTACCCACCACGGAGATGGAGCAGTGGGCATCAGCTCGCGTGCAGGCGCAAGATGGATCATTTTGTGATTTTAAAAATCCGTTTGGAATGGCGAGAACCTAGGGGAGACCTTCATTCAGAAGCAGACGCCGATGACTTTTCATTGAGGATGACGATATGAGGGCGTTATTATAGTGATATGAATAAGGCATAATTATAAAACGGGTAATAATTTATTACATAAATATAACAGGTCATAATGGTGAGTGTGCTCACGTTAATAACCCTGATCCACAAATTAAAACTCTACATTCCTATGATGATAAAAAGGAGGCATCCAGATATTGACATCCACAAAGTCACCGCATTTTATTGACCTCCATGCCCTAGTTCCCCCGAACGCCTCTCTGGAGTCGAACCCATCCCAGCTGGTCGAGGGCAGGGCGGAGGTGACCGTGGCCACGTGCGTCGCTCTGGGAGGACAACCCGCAGCTTCCGTCACCTGGAGCGGCCTCGATCATCATCAGGGCAGCTCCTACGAAACCACAGAGATGGAACCCGATGGCACGGTGACAGTGAGGAGCGAGTACCGGATGGAGCCCACGCGCGAGAGCCACGGGCGGACGCTCACCTGCAAGGTGGAGCACCCGGCCCTGGAGATCCCGGTTGTTAAGTCCACCATCCTCGATGTCCACTGTGAGTGGAGCACCGTGAATTTATATATATAAATCCCCAAAAAATAATTGTATGTAATATCAAATCGGTGAAAGTTCATGGCAAATTTGCAACAGTCTGTGATAGTTTTGTGGCACTTTGCGGTGCTCTGCTGTAACTAGTCGGACCGTGCTGGCGTTACGTTTCCCAAGAGTGAAAATTTGCAGCCGGACTTTGCGAGTCCAAGCACAGGCCCGTTTGTGTTGTAAGGGGTCGTCAGTAGCAGGGCCCACGTCTTTGTCTTCACACTCGGTGAACCGTCCATGACAGGGGCTGTGGGGGCATGCGAGTGGGTAGATTTAAACCAAGAAAAAAATTGGTCCATTGAAGAAATCTCAAAAAAGTTATCCTGCAATCTCAACGTTCACGAGCCCTTCACCGATAATTGATGGATGCACTCACCGCTCTCTTTAGAGTTCCAAATGGACATTTTGTTTACACAACATGATGGTGATGGAACAAACTGGAATCAAATTGTGGATTTTTTTTTAAACAATAGGTTATTAAAAGTTAATTTGAAAATACAACCGACTGGAGAATATCCACAAATAAGGGGGAGGGGGGGGGATAAACAAACTTATAATGACCTAATCGCACCATCTCATAAGATAAGGGTGCCACGGTGGTGAGATGTTAACTACTTCACCCGGTATACAGGAGGTCGTGGGTCCAATTCTGACCCTGACAATGCCAGTATATTTTTTGAGTTAGCGGGTCTCTCTCTCCATCATCACATGGATTATTCTCCGGGTCCTCCGGTTTTTCCCTACACATTTAGAATCAATGTCACACATTTAGAGTATTTGGCTGCTATAAATGTCCACGTGATGATAAGCCACTTTATCAGATATAATTTGTGATAACCAGGTCGCTTCTGAAAAAGAGCTACATAGCTCAGTGGGCCTTATCTGGTAGGATGGGGATGGTTAGTTTCATTTGTACGTGTTTCGGTTATTTGTGTACCTTTCTTGTATTTTGTACTACTATCATGTTATTGTACTGCTTGTTGTTGTAACGTTCTTACCTGCCCCTACTGAACATCTGTGAAAAAGAGCTTTATAGCTCATCAGATTTCTCCAGTAGAAATAGGAGGATGATGGCAGTACATATCAAGGCTACTCCATGTAACCCAGAAAAAAAAGAGAGACTGAGCCGCCTTTAGCGTCGTTTGAAGGAGCTCTCCCGACTGAATCAGCGCCCGTCCCCCTTTCTTATCTGTAGATAAACCGAGAGTGACTGTCGTAGAATACGACGGCGATCGGGATCTGGGGAGACGAGGAACTCGGCTCACCTGCCGAGTGGACGCCAACCCTCATGCGACGCACTACTTGTGGAGCAGGTACAGCGAATCCTCGTTTAGACGTGTACCCTAAAAGTTGCGCGTTAAGCGGAAAAACGATTTTCCCCCTAAATATAATAACGATAAAAATTTGGCGGGTTAAGGCACTGGCATCGCACGGTGCTTTCATATGCGCTTCTGCGGCCGCCTGGAACGGCTCTTTTGCTACGTTCTTTTTGTTGCTATAATTTAATGCAAGATTGGCTTCTGGCTACTGAACGAATACATGATTATAGGGTCGCACTCATTACACACAAAGAGCTTGCCACAAATTAACCACAATACCTTGCTAATATCGTCAAGGAAAATAAACTATCACACGAACTCCGGTCAACCTCGCAGCAGTGGCATTTGCCTCACCATCGAACAAAGACGGTCACCACGTCGCGTGCTTTTAGGTGCGCTTGTGTGGCTGTCTGTAACGCTATTACTTCCGATATTAGGAAGCCACTACGAGCTATGGCACTTTTAAATAATCTAAAGTGACAAAGCTATTTATTTAGAAATGCTTTTTGTGTTTAGTTTGTTGTTTTGCGTTATAACGGCGCTCGTTCTGCGTTGTGCAAAAATTGTTTCCTGATGGAGGGAACCACGTTGTAGCAAAAAAAGTGCCTTATGGCGAGAACAGCAATGCGTTAAGCGAGGATTTATCATAAGGGTTCGCATTTTACTGCCTAATTTCGCTATCCACCTACGCTTCCACTTATAAAAACCTGCACCCCAGCACTTGGGCTCGGTGTACCCTATTCCAAGGAAAATAAACAATGACAAAGATCCCCCATATAGCCTGAAGAAACTGTTGGGGCATGTTCTGTTAGCAAGCTCCTATGAAGGCTGGCACAGCACACGAGGGGGTGGGTGGCCAGCATCACGCCCGGCTGTCTTTGAATCCCCCCAGTGGCGATGTTTACACACCACATCAGGGACTCATTTGAGGCTGAGTCGATCTTGGGGAGGCCCCATGACCGGCTCAGATAATCGTCACCGGTGTTGGTGGTCGTGAGCGAGAATAGTAGTGTAGTGCGCTAACTGCTACACTACTACTCCGCACCTTATGAAGGTGGTTTATAATGCCCACGTGAAGACACACTGAGCAACAGCTGCCGAGAACCGTGTCTTGAATTCACCTTTCAGCGAACCGCAAATGAAACCGGATTGCTGCCGCAAATGTTCCCTTTTTGAATGTCAAATTAACTAATTTAATTACAGCACTTCAGCTACCTATACCATGCACTGCACACCCAACTTGTTCGCGATGGTTTCCGCTCGAGTCCAAGCCACGCATCGTACCCCAAATCGCCCAAATCTGTTACTCTTCCTTCACCTCTTGAGATAAAAAAAAATGTACTTTAAAAACAAAAAACAATCTTAAACTTCAGTGTTTCACATACGATGGTGTTTTAACACATCACGGGGTTGGGTATTTTACGAACCTCTCGCTTTGTACCGATGTGTTATTATCTGTTGCGATTATTTGTTGCAGGGACGGCGCTTCAATCTCCAGTGGCGCCCTTGAGAAGGGGAGCTCTCTTAGCTTCCGAAGCCCGCTGGTCGAGTCGGGCTCTGCGTCATTCTCCTGCCGCGTCAATAATTCGGTGGGCTGGGGCGAGGCGGCAATTAAAGTAATGATCAGGTCACGTAGAGGTGCCAGTTTTTCAATGTCTAGAAGCATCTCTACTACCAGTGCTGCGTTCACTACAGCCATCTCTTCCACCGGTTCTGCCTTAACTTCGACCAGCCCTACCGCCAGTTCTGACTCAACTACAAGCCGTTCTACTATCACTCCTGCCTCAACTACAACCAGCCGTACCACCAGACCTGCCTTAACTACAGTCAGCCCTTACATCGGTACGTAATCGGCTTACAGGCAGCTCTACACCAGCTCCAAATGTAACTATAGAACAAAGCCACTTCCATCGCGACAAAACGGCCATCTCTCTCTGCTCTCCTATGTCGGCCTGCTGATTTAACTGGGACGGACGAAAATTTGCTTCACCGTGACTATAAAACAAAAAACAACGCATTTGCAACCCGAACTTTCCTCTTGGTATAATTTGGTTTAAAGACTGGAATTTGAAACAGAGAGAGGAAAAAAAAACATGGACTCAATCTTAAACAGAGACAAAAAAGTGTGTTGTTCCAAACTCGTTTTGGACAAGTCTGTGGGACTATATTAATCCATTCAGGTGCAAGCAGGAGATGTTTTATATATAGCAAGTAAACAAATAGCCCTGAAGGCACCCAGTGTCAAAACAGGAAAGCCAAGCAGACATTTGAGCCTGAGTTAATGCTTTTAATTGGAGATCGCCGTGGGATTTAAAGTTGTAGGAATGGTGCTGCGAGGTGTGCGTCTGGGATCTGGCAGCGGCTTTCAGTGCTTGTAGAGGCGTTCACTTTGCAGAGCGAATGTTATATAGGCTTGCAAGTGTGGCACATTAGGAATGGATCACTATTTTAATTATATCCTTGTGCGAATATCTTTATATATGCTGCCTTTATAATTGCTTGGTCCGTCTCATTGGAAGAGTTGATCCCCGTCAGTGAACTCTGAGAAACTCTCCTGCCAGGCTCGCCAAAATATGTTGCACACTCGAAATGAAGGACGTGGGCAGGTGCTCCAAATCGAGGGCAGACACATTTATTGTGGTTAATAGCAATATTGTGAAGAACAGCACCGTCACTCTGTAAAATGCAACAGCACGTGTGTTACAAACAGCATTTCTCCCGAGTCGCCATTAACCACGTGACTGGTATATACGTGCGGTCATACAATAATCCTGCCAGCCACCTACAGGCACGACTCAGTCTGCACATGCTGCTGTACACACATGCATTGATGTACTGCGCAGCACATCAGGACTTTCACAGAACCACACTTTACTCCCTTGCTGCACAAAGACATAATTAAAAGAGTGATCTATTCCTAATGTGCCACACAGGGCTATACTAAAACTTAACGAAAAACACGAATTGTTCCAGGTAAGCCCCACTGAGCTATGTAGCTCTTTATCAGAAGCGACCTCGCCACAAATTTATATCAATGATGTGGTTTGTTGCGTGGAAATATATAGCAGCCGAATACTCTAAATTCATGTTGATTCTAAATGTGGAGGGGAAAAAACCAAAGGACCCGGAGTAAAATCCACGTGACCACAGGGAGAAAATACAAACTCCAAATATACAGGCGTCAGGGTTGAGATCGAACCCACGGCCTCCTGTATACTGGGCGAGATAATTAACATCTCCTAGCCACCGTGATGATGATGAGAGAGAGACCCACAAACTCCAAATGTACAGCATGTGTCAGGCTTGGGATCGAACCAACAACCTTCTACATACCAAGCGAGGTAGTTAACATATCGCCGGTGGGAAAGGAGGCAGTGTTACTAAACCCATTGTTGTACCAAACCTCTGTAGTCTGAGGTCTAGACCACCCACTTTCACCAACCGGCACTGACCAGCGTGACAAAGTGTGGGCAAGCAACCCCACAAACCCCACAGCTAGGGAATTTCCTCATCCTAGAGTCTACTGACGTGGGCCTGTGTGTGTACAAATTGCAAAGTTATCCCGTGCGTGAATGTCTCATAACAGCCGCGTTGCTGTCTTACAGGTGGCGTTGAGACCTGGGTTGTAGCCGTTGCCATCGTAGTGCCGCTGACGGCATTGGTGGCAGCGGTGGGTCCCGTTTACTACTTCTGCTTCCACAAGTAAGGGAAGACATTCACGTGCGTAGGTTACTTGCTGTCGGAACTTGTTACACGGGTGTACCTCGACGTATGCTTGGGTTACGTTCTTGATTATTTGAACGTAAAGCTAAATATATAAATAGTGTACAGTGAGTCTTGTTTAGAAAGGGCTGGTGGTGGTGATAGATGTTTTCCTGAAAAGTGCCGCGTTAATCGAAACACTATTTACACCAATAAATAACGTAGAGATACGATTGTACACTACTTCTACACACCATGCAGTGAGATGATGGGACATAAAACTGAGGGTATACTGCTACCCGTGTTGCTGTATCATTCCACTTTATCATTCCACTGTATCATACATAATGAAAATGTCGCTCTTAAAATGTAACCATCAGAGCTGTGATATTCCACAACTAAGTTTAGATATTAACAATTCGGTCGTGTTAACAGTCTTAACGCTACAAGCGTGAATACAAAAAATTATCCTATCGCCGTTTTCTTCATCATCATTCACATGGCATTTTAAAAAATGAGCAGGCTACAATTGTAGGTTTAATGTAGTACACCATTCCATGGCATCCAGGGTGGTAGCTGAGTGGAGTAGCCCACTCGTTCCACCAGAGTACGCGTGGTTGTATTGGGGTAGCTGAGTGGAGTCGTGCACTTGTTCCACCAGAGCATGGGTGTTGTATTGGCCAGTCACTAGCGATATGTCTGATGGTTTGCACCTCACGGCATTTTCTTCAGTTATGAGCCAGTGTTTTATAGTTCTGTGACATTAATCGGAGTAAAATGCGTCCATGAAAATGTACGCTGTAGAGGTAACTCTCGATTTTACGAACGTTCACTTCACGACACTTTTTCGTTCGCGCAATTGACGAATTGTGTACGCTTTTCGATTCGTGAAGTCGCATTTGCGCGCGAGCGAAATCTCACTGCTGCCACTCGCACCGCCGTGAGATCGTCAAACAAGAAGGCACCCGGGAGGCTGCGTTACCCATCAGCGACGGTGTCCCTGCGGCAGCGGCGGCGGCAGTAATAACGCTTCCACAACGCCTCTCCCTCCGGTCATTCCAATACGCTGCAGGATCTTTTGGCGACTTAGGTTAATAAGTGTAGTTTTACATGAATTATTAAACAATCGTTTTTATGTTTATGTTCTTTATGATTATTATTTTTACACGGTGAAGAGTGTTATAGGTGGTGTATATTTTTAGAGTAGAGTTGGAATGACTGTCCTGAACACATCCCTCATTTTCTTTTAATTAAATTAATGGGAGTTAGCCGTTTATAATTTACGGAATTCTGTTCTATGGCGAGTTTTTTTTTAAGAACCGCATCCCTCTTTGCAAATCGAGTGATACGCCCTGTACGTACATTGTGGTGATATTTCTCCTTTCACAATCTCTGCAGGAGAAAGAGCAAAGGTGAAAATTGCCAGCAGAATACTGCGGATGAAACCGTGAGTGTTTGATAAGCGACACACAGTGACACGGATCTACACCACAAATACCTCTCTTTATGAACCACATGATCCGTTGCTGATCTCATCAATGAGCATAGATAAGTACAACAAAGGTTAATTTTACAAAAGCAGATTGCATCCGTTGCATCGAAGTCAATCAATATCGTTGGAAAATAATGTTTTATTTTTCAAACTATGTTTTCCTTTTAATGCTCACCCCTCTAACCCCACGCCCCATTCCTACTCTCAGGAGCAGCAGCAACATCAGCAGCAGGACGACCATCATCAGTACGAATACATTGACGGGAAATTCCCATCCCACAATCTGGAGTTACAACAGCCGCCCTCTGGCCGTGCCGAATTCTACAATGTGCATGCAGAAATCACTTCCAAATGGTATGTCCAAGCATTTCAAACAGTGTTATGTCGATTGAAATATCAGACTTTTATCTATGATAGAGGTTTTTTGGGGTTATATTGCGTAAATATAAACGTGTTGTTAAACCCGCCACCACCGACACAGCCAATTACGTTTTCTGTTTTTAAGAGGCACAGTAGACCCAACAAAAGGGACTTCTGAGTGCAGTACGAATTAAAAAAAAATGTCTAAGTTTATCTTAACGTATGGCAAATTGAGTAGGTTTTTAGCATAGGCGGAGTTTGACTTCTATATTTTTGGGGGAAGGGCGGACAGGGTTTTGCTTTGTCCATCACATTAGGAATTGCGGCTGCATGTAATTATGTTTTTAAAATCTTAATTGTAAACTACTGAAAATAAATGTATTAAGGTGTCCAGTTTGGGGTGGGGGGTGGCATTGCCCCACCCCCCGTGCCACCTCCTCGCCCCCCACTAAACTATGTCCATGGTTTTATCTAAATGGGAAATAATCCCAGCTATTAGGAGCAGTTTCTTCGGGCAAGGGACCCTTCCAAATCTTGAGGGTTCACAAAAGGAGCAAAGCGTGGGCGCTTCGCATAGTCGGAATTTTTTTTAACGTACAGTATTTTCATTGTTTAAGTTGTATGTAGTGTATAATGTACCAAATATAATATTTGACATTGAAATCAAGCAAAACTAACTTTTTTGTCATGCTGATGGCCAGACTGGTTCCAGCCTTTGGAGTGGTTTTACCGGGTTCGCCGGATCGGCCTCGGGACCGCTGGATAATGTTGGAAGCTGGATAATCGATGATCAATTACTTTAAGTTATTCCATTTTTGTGCATTAATCTTTGAAAAAAATTTCATTTAAACTCTTTTAGGAACCACAGAAAAAATCTGGATGAGAAAAACCTGAATTCTACTGAATCGGTGGGTGAATTGATAAGCTAATCTTACTACCTGCCTCGGCTGAGCAATGTGATATCGTGTGTGTGTGTCATTGTATATAGAGTAGACTCTCGATTATCCACATGTGGTTTATTCGATTTGCGGATTAATCGCGCACCTTAGATTTTGACATAAATTAATAACTCATGGATTTTCCATGAATACATAAATTAATACTAAATAAAAAACAGTTTTACATAGTCATTCTTGGAAATGTTTATTACATGTTACGTGCTGAAATAGATCAAAAATATCTGCTCTGGTTAATCCGAAATCCATGTACTCGCACCAACACTACAGTAGTTGCATACCTTTACAACAGTGGGCGGAGTTTGATTGATGTTGATTGGCTGTGGTTCTGCTGTCACTTAGTGGGTCGAGTCTTCTGCTGGGCGGGAGCAGGAAAGTTTTATGACTGAGCACGCGCATCGATCGGGTCAATATTCGTTCTAAATTGAAAGAGTATTTTCTTAACTTTACCTATATTAGTGGATTTTAGCATAGAGATCCGCGGAAAATTGTATATATTTTTTGGATTAACCGCGATTTTGAATTATCGGCAGCCATCTACTGAACACACCCCGACAGTGTGGCGGTTAGCGCGCCACTCTACGAACCCGGCCATTCGATCCCCGCTCGCGGCGAACAGCGGTAACGATTATCTGTACCAGTCCTTGGCCTCCTCTAGGTTGACTCGGCATCAAATGAGTACCTGGTGCAGGGGTGTGTGAACATCACCACTAGGGAGTAAAAGGCGGCGGAGTGTGGTGCTGGCCACCCATCCATTCGCTCGTGTGCTGTGCTGGCCTTCATAGGTGCTGCTCGCGAACAGCACTTGCCACAACAATCTGTGAAGCCCACACTCGGGAATCTTTGTCCTTATACATGCCTCAAAATTCCCTGTTTAGTAATCATAGACTGCCATGGATAAAGCGGTAAAACGAGCATGTATTTGGGATGAGGTGCAGTGGTGATCAGCACATCAATCAGCTCCCCAGTGGTAAAATTTAAATATTGACTAAATTTTTTATGGCAGCGTTGACCTATGGGAGGTCCAGCACAGTTTCAAATTTCACCGCGAACAATTGAACCATGGCCAAACAGATTGCAGTGCTGCAAACCATTTGCACCACCGGCAAAGACACGCACGGAAAAAAAAAATCCACTTGTAACATTTCAGTAATTTGTACCGACATTCAACATCTAATTGCGTGAGTTTTTGCCAACTAATTCTTTCCCATTGCAGAACCCACAAAACCAATATGGCGTTCACTACCAGGTAAGCCTCACGCTCAATTGGCAACGCTAAGTAAGGATGCCTTCGCTGAATATGATTTCGTTCGTTCGTGTCTCAATCCGTTTGTCCTGGTGAGGGTCCCGGAGGCAGCGTGTTAAGTAAGGTTGGTAAAGACCTCCCTTTCCCTCGTGACAGACTCTAGCACTACATTACTATACACTACACTATACAATACTATATCCTACACTACTATACATTACTATACACTACTGCACTATACACTATACATTACTATACACTACTACACTATACACTAACATACACTATTACACTACTATACATTACAAAACACTACTATACTATACACTAATATACACTACTATACACAGCATTTAGCTCTTCCTGGAGAATTTCCAGGTGTTCCCAGGCCAGCCGAGCGACATAATCTCGCCAGAGGTTTCCTGGGCCGTCCTCGGGGTCTTCGCCCAGTGAATACACTATGTAACACGATTTTTGTCCCTGGGTAGTAAGTGTTATTTTTTACTGCTTATGCCTAAAAAGTATAGAAAATGGCTATTATTCCCCACAAACTTTGCTTTTGTGTAGAATAATAGCCATGGTTCAGGACAAACCAATGCAGAAGAGTAGTACCGTGCCACGCACATTTGAGCTGGGAGAAAATGGGACTTGATTTAAGTACGAAATTGTACATTATACCTGTAGCGATGAACTCAAATGAATCAACAAAAATGAAAGTTTCTTTGCTTTTCATTTCACAGCCTCTGAAGCCGTCTACAGGGAAAACTTACGATGAATTAAACCATCCCACATACGAGAATGTATGAGATTAAGCACTTTCAACACATTGCACTAAACGACACGGTTAAAACCAATGTACACGGGTTTAATTAGAAGTTAAATTTATTCGGGAATTGTGACGCGCACACGTAATAAGCACTTTGGAGGTGGAGTTAGTGGATACGATAGGATCGTGTTCGGTGATCGTTCTATCTTTAAGTCGTCCAAAGTGAGGTGCGGGGGAAGGACAATAAAATAAAAACACGAAAAGCAGCTCTAAAAAATTTAGTTTTAAATATCGGCTTATCCGTGTGGACTTTGGGCATGGATCTCCTTGTATACGTGGTGGGTTTATTCTGGCTCTCCAATTTATTGCCCATATCATGAAAATAACAGAAAATGTACTCAATAAACTTGCCAATCTTCTCAAGCAGAACTATGCGAGCATCATTTGTAAGCAGGTTTGATATGCAGGTAGAGCAGCACAGTGCATGTTACAACTTCAATGATTCTCAGACAACACGAACTGTAGAGGGTAGCTTTATTTCTCTTCATGTCGATAACTTGCTCAGGGATGACACGCATATAACTCGGGCCAGGGGTGGCACGCAAGTGGCGACGACGCGCAGACAGCAACGACAGCGACGACACGAAGACAGCGTAGACGCGAAGAAAGCGACGAAAGTGATGACGCGAAGACAGCGACAATGCAAAGACAGCGACGGCGTGAAGACAGTCGACCCCGATCCCACGGCAGCCCCGAACCTCGCCTTTCTCCCCGTTTAATCCAAGGCGTGGCCCTCACTCCGCCCTCGGCGCCGCCCCCATTCTCGAACTCTCTAGAACTTCCCAGATGGTTCCCTTCTTCTCATAACTCCCCTCTGTTAATATTCACCCCTGTAATTACTCCCCGTAACCACTGGACCACACACTGTCCCCGTACCCGCACTGTCTCTACACACGCACTCTCCAAACACACATTGTCTCAACACATGCACTATCTCTACACAACCAATATTTTATTCCATCACAAAAAGACCAGAGGTTCTACAGAAGTTGCTGAATTAATTTGAATGGACATGGCCATCCATCAGTCAATCCCCCCACTATATGTATCTCGAGCCAGCCGAACGAACCAAGAAAGCACGGCTGCAAAACACATGTTCCTCACATCGGATGCGATGGCAACGTCATCGCGAGTGAGAGGCAACGTCACAATGACACGGGTACGAGCCAATCGTGAGGCTCGAATATCCCGTCCAATCAGGAGGAGGGAGGTTTTTTTAAAGTGTGTGTCAGCAGGGCTACGTGCTGACAGCAGAGGTCTCACTCCGAATCAGTCGAGCAGCATTATCTTTTCATCGGTTGCGTAATGCTGTGTGGAAGCTACCTGGTCTGTCGCTCTGCACGAAGCTTTAGGTTTTCTTGGCTATGGCCAATCCCTCCATTCTCTACGCTTGCAAAATATGGACCCCCCTAATGGAACATCTTTGCCAGTTAGAAACATTTAGGCTGGCCTGCCTACGCTCCATCTTGGGTTTAACCAGGCTGGATTGTGTGAGCTCAGATATCCTTGAAAGATCTGTACAAATTCCCATCGGTGAGCTCTACTGGCAGGCAAGGCTGCGTTGGCTGGGCCATGTAGCCCGCATTCCCAGCCACCGCATGCCTAAACAACTTTTGTTCGGCCGAATCAAGGGGGCTAAACGGGCACGGCATGGGCAAGAGAAGAGATGGAGTGATGTGGTACAGGACGATTGGAGCTGAGTGGACTTGCCGTTGACCAGTACTAGCGGTGTCAAGACCGGCCTCTGTGGAAGAGGCCTGTGAAGGACGCTACTGGGCAGTTTGAGGCAGTCACCCTCCAACAACAATGGAGGGGGCAGAAGCAACGCTCACAACGAGCGGAGCGCCGGGTGGCTAAAGCACAGCAAGTTGGCACAGTAGGGGGCACAGGTGGTGCATCAGCCAGTCATCTCGGTCATCTCAGCCGGTCGACCCGTGGCACCTGGGTCTGCCCCATGACCTCTTGCCCGCGGGCGTTCGACACTTCACGTGGTCTCAAAGTTGTTGTTGTGCTGACGAGGGCACGTGGTGGGAGAAGAGTTTTTGTAGCGTCTTGATCAACAATATTTCGTGAAACATCGTCACTGCGGGGACCACTCAACGTCGTACAGACGGCGAGCTGTGTTAATATGCCGAGGCGTTTCTGTCACGAGGGTAGACTGAATTTTTTATTTAGCAATTTTGGTTGGTTGAGAACGAGGAAGGCCGATTTTTTTGTTCCCTTTCATTCTTGATTTTGCGAGGCATGGGCTGGCAGGATCTATAAAAAAGTACTTTTAAAAAAATCTACTGAAGTTACGTGTGCATATTTGCTGGTGCGTGCCGCGTGGAGATCCTCCATTATTGGGTTTAAAAGATAGATATTAACTTGGGATTAATTTAATTCGTTGCTCTAATCGGTGTTGGTGTGCCGAGGCACCAGTTGCGCGCGTGGAGAATGAATCAGTCGTGTGATTACAGCGCACAGTCAACGGGTGTGCTGCGTGGAGATTCTTAATTACTGTGTAATGACCGAAAACTGAGGGTGGGGAAAGAGACGAGACAGGGAAGCCAGGGAGACGCAGTTCCGGTGGAGGGAGGGCAGGCCGGATGTGTGGGGTGGGGGAGAGAGAGGGAGTGGAAGACAGACACGTAAGGACAGCGACGGAGACAAGTGTCAAGGAGGACAGCGAGGGAGACAAGCATAGAGTTTCCAGGACAGCGAGGGAGTGGGGAATGGAATTGTGGTTGTTAAAACAGACACGCGAGACAGAGGTGGGTGTATATTCGTAATTTTTTTATTGATAAAAGTTAGTTATTAACATAGACGCGCACGAGAGAGACAAAAGGATCTGCGTGTCTGTATTTGATTATTTATTCTCGCGGGCTTAGCTATCGCGGTTTTGCTACAAATGTTTTATTGAGATGCTCGACAATTCGCAATTGACCACGGGATTCCTTGTACAGTATGCATCGTAATGAAGCACTGTATAGGTACTCTAACTGCACTCTGCTTGCGATGATGCTCTGTCTTGTCTTCATCTCGTATCCGTCTCATCTCCATTTTGTCTCCATCTCTTGGAGAATATATTAAATGTCTTAGATTTAAATTTTAACATTGATACCTGTCCCACATTAAAGTGGGACAGTTGTTTTGCAGAGGTTACATTCCTGATTTCATGTTTATTGTCAGTAAAATACGAGTAATCTAATTCACGTAGTTTTTTTAATTTGAGATAAAAAAATAATAATGAAAAAGTACGTATTTGGTTTGTGCAAGTATTAGGAAATGTCGGAGGCACTACAGATTTATTTGGGCAGATGTGTTTGTTAAATATTAAAATATTTCTTATTAAATGTTTGTGAAATATTATGTATGTTAAATGTTGTTATAAATGATAAGCGGCTGTTATCACAATTGAGATTTGGACAGATTTGGCGCCTGAGGAATTCAGCTATGGTGTGACATGGAGGGTGTTTCTGACCCGCAATTTCTGATATGCCACTGCCCTTCTGAAGAAGACTTTTGAAATAAAGTTTTACATTTCACAAACTCCTGGTGCCGAGCTGTTGTGGAGTCGCACATTTCTCCGGAGGACAATACAATGCAGAGTCGCTACTCATTGTCTCAGAACTGTATTGCTTTTATTGTTGTTGCTGTGGGGTGGGCTGTGATGCGCCTCGCTATAGCCTCTCGCTGGCAAATGTGTATACAGACATCTTTTCGCGGTCTCCTCTGTTCATCATAAATCTGGGAACATGGGCACATTTATATGGCGTGTGACCATGTATCTCGCTAAAAAGATGACCATGCGTCACGACCAGAAGAATAAAGGTCATGGGATAGCAGCCAACAGAGAAAGATGCGCCAACGATAGTGTAACTGCCATAATTATACCACGGCAGCATCCCTGCAACTAAAGTGAACAATCTGCGTTAATTTTCTGTAGCCATATTGGCAGAAAATGACTTAGGTGAAGACAAGTCGCATGTATTTTTCTCCAGCTCCGATAAGTCACTTCATTGAGCCTTCATTTATGGCCAGGTGACTTCTGAAAAAGAGCTATACAGTATAGCTCAATAGGCCTTACCTGATAAAATAATAAAAAATAGTTTAGTCTAATGGGTACTCGCTGGCAGCACTGTTCCATGCAGTCTGTATACGGGAGAGACGGGGGAATTTTGCATAAATATAAATAAGTGCATATCTCAGTGGGCTTTGCCTGGTAGGATGGGGATGGTTTAGTTTTATTTGTATTTGGGTGATTTATTGTACTGTGCACTACTATTCTGTTTTAGTATTATAATGTTCTTACCCCGTGCCCCTACTAGAGGTCTGAGCTGTATGGCTCATCGGTTTTCTCCAGTATATTCTTATTCTAATATACATCTTATATACATATCATGTGCCTGTAACGGTACATCCTTTTGCGACATGAGATTTTGCGGGTTTCGGCCCATAGCCGACCCTAGCTCTAGTACCCACACCGCTGTGGTTTAGTTCATGGTGGGACCCGTTTCACGCGACACACCCAATGACCGTGTGCGGAGTATAACAAGGATCACTGCCAGTATACTGCATAATGGTGTTTATTTTGAATTCAAAATTTTTACAGTTATTAAATTGTTTAATGGTGACAAGTTTGCTACTTCCCCGGGGGAGTGAAAATATCTGCAAATTATAGCAACTTTAATCACAATCATAACAGCAACAAACAACATAATCCTATAACCCGACAATACCGGTTTCTCGGATTGCTTCAAAATTGAACAGATTAAATGAAACGTTCCAACGACAACTTCACAGCTCTCAGGAGGTCACCTCCCTTCTTCCCCGCGAGTGTCCCCATCTGTCGAAGCCTCGCAGTCTTCAGCATTCGGGAGGGCTACTTTGCCGGCAGTGGCGAGTGGTTTTCTGTTACGATCCACTCCTGAGTGGCGGACGGGTGAACAGAACCACTGTCCACAGTAGGACTCCAGGTGGTTGCGCTCGCAAGCCAGCAATCTTCCGTCACCAACAATCCTCGGGTATGGTACGGGTATCGGGTACCCGGTTGCGACCTCTGCCTGCACAGCAGCGTCACTCAAAATCTGCATCAGGACACCGAGGTCTCGAACTGGTACAGCCTCACGTCACTATACACTACACCAGTGGCGGCTGGTGATATTTATTTTTGGGGGGGCGCATTTTTTTTATTTTATTGAGGGGGGCAAATAAATATAAAGCAGTACCAAAAACCATTTTGACTACTTGAATATAAATTTTGATGATCTTTATTTACATTTCAGACCAAAAGAAGTACCAAAAAGCATGTTTCCTACTTGAACATAAATGTTTCTCTTTTATATACATTTCAGACCAAAGTACCAAAAAGCATGTTTCCTACTTGAACATAAAAACGTTAGTTTCATGCTATTATCAATATGGCTGCGGCTACTTTCATGACGTTTGCATTTGTCAGAGAGATGTTTGAGGTCTCTTACCCCCGTCGTTGTCCACAAAACTTCAGTGCCGACACTTTGAAATAAAAGACAGGGAAAACAAAAAAGAGAATTGCTAACATCACATCCAGCCAGCCACCTCCGTTTCTCATAACAAGCGCGGGTGAAGCTTCGTGTGTAGCTTCGTCCTCTGTCACTGGCCTGCTGCTGGATTTGTAAATCGGGTTGGTCCGGTCCGAGATCCTTTATCTTTTTTATTTCTTCCAGCGAAAGCCTTGTGAAAGGGTTTTTTTGTAAATAAATTACAGAATTTGGATGAACTGCTGCCATTGTTTACACAAAAAATTTGATCAGCCTAGCAAGTGTCAAAGTGGTGTCGCCTTCGCACTCGCAGTAGTGGCCTACAGCGTAAATTTGAATGACAGGTGACGAGAACCAATCAGATTGGATAAAATAACATGTATCCAATTCTGATTGGCCAGGGACGCAACGACTTGCGCCCCGAGGAGAATCTTTAAGAAACCAATTAGAGACCAGCTTCAGGTCACATGCTGTCCGAAAATGTAAAGTCTCACATAGACATCCATTTGTCCGGCGCCCCGCATGAAACACATTGAAAAACATAGAAAATAGTTGACCGATTAAAGCCAGTTTTTATTAAATGCTGATGCTTTTCTTACTACCAGCCGGCACATCGTATGAAAAAAATATTTTATTTATGTATTTTTATATAAATTTTGCATATGTATATTTCTTGAATATTGATGGGGGCGGCGCCCCTGCGCCCTCTATTGACGAGCCGCCACTGCACTACACTAAACTTTCACAGTCTCTTGTCGGTTCTCTGCTGTTGCCTCTTCGGTGTGGAACTATATCCCTTTGCCAAGCTCAGGGCTTTCGAACACACCTGAGCTTGGCTCAGCGCCTCTGAGTTGGCGCGTTATAAATGCCATTATTCGCCAGCTAGACTGAGATGACTACATGAAATCCAATGACTTCGGCCACGATTAATAATCCAGAGCTTGCAGTCAACGAAGATGAAATAAAAAACGTGCCAATGCAAAACCATACTTTACCCTTGATGAATCGCACGTGTAAATTGAGAACTCGGGGAAACACGTTGCAGTGCAAAGGTGCCAAGTTAACAGTTTTGTTCTGCATCTTGTTTGTACATGTCACGTGTTCAGTGTGACATTTCCTCAAGAAGTGACGCGTCTTGTAGGCCATGGTTACTCCAGCCATGGTGACGGTGGTGTACGTGATGCAATAGCGGCTCAAGGATTGGACTCGAAGTCACAGCAAGTGTATTTCACAAAACATCGCTTTGGAGGGCCCTTATTTCATAGCTGTGGGCGGTGACACATACGATAGACTCGATTACGTGCGGTTGATCAAATTTACCGATTAACCAAGCACCTGAGATTTTGACAAATTACTAACCAATGGATTTTCATTTATGGCCAAATTTATATTGTAAAAACAGTTATACATTGTTATTCTTAGAAATGTTTATTACAAGTCACGTGCTGAATATCACTACCACCCACCCCCTAGTGTGCCGTTAAGGCTATACGGGGAGATATTTTTCTTTATCCACGAGATTTATGCACATCAAAGGTTGAGGTGGGACCTTGCATCCCTAGCCCGCACCACATCACCGTATCAGCCAATGACACGGTACTTTCAGGTACAAAATATATACCCGCGATATTCAAGAAGGGTCTCCCCGTACAGTAATTGAACCGGCTTAAGGCACCTCGCACCACTGCAACCACTAGGGGGCATGATCTTACATGTAAATCATCACGTTCACTTCGACACACCTGTTACACAAGTGACACCTTTGTCTCTGGCTTCAGCAGCAGCATCAGCAGCACTCTCATCCAACAGTCGAGTCGGCTCTGGTTGAGGCGATCTGCTGATTTTGATCTACCGCATTATGATTCCAAAGACCAGACATTCTATGGGAGCCAGATATTTTTTTCGTAGAATTCCTTTCCTCATTGACCCGTGACGGAATATAAAGGCGTTAAACTTTTATAATTCTGCCTTAAAAACTCACGTGTATTTACAAAAGGCTTTCCATAATTTTACATTAAGTGCTTTAAGGCCTTTGTCCAAATTGCGCTATAAAAAGCCGAGTTTATTAAGATTATTTAGAGGCCAGGCCATTCCAGTCTCAACCTTGAAACACAGTTGCCTCACACAAAATGGCCGCTCTCTGCTAAAATGGCGGACACCTCATGACCTCATCCGGTTTCGTTGTTAACTAGGCCTCATTTATCATAACAATTTAACTGCATATAAAGACATTTGCAGCATTATAACGCAATCCTAACATAACAGCATTCCCAGTATTATAAGAACATAAACGAACTTACAGACAATGCTTCTTAAAGTCCCACAATGAGCAGATGCATCTCTCTTCACTGAGACGCTATTTGTGCCTCCATTTTGTACTCTGTGTAATGGCTGACACCCTGCCTTATGGCTTAAAGAAAATATGAAATCGTAACTTCCTGGTCACGTGACCAAACTCAACACCATATGAGGAAATTCCTGTGTACGCACACCCCCACACCTGCCGTGAGGCAGAACATCCACTAATGGAGGTTATGACTCATCACCGTTTAGTAATTTTTTCTTTGTATTTGCAGGATTTCTATCGACTTCCAGGAGAGCCCCCCCTTCCCCCACATCCGAAAGTCTGGACTTATGCGTTAGTTTGTTATCCTTCCTGCGCACCTACAATTAGCTGCGTACGGCGTGAAAAGGTCCAAATACACACACATCAGGGCCATAGGATTCAGGGGATAGGACAGGCTTGATCCCACAAACCTATTATCTTGTCACTCCCGTTACTATTTTTGGTTCCAGGAGCCATGATAATTTGATTGGATCTCTAGTGATTTTGGTCCACCTCTTTTCATCCAGTGTCACAAAATGAATAGCACGATGAGGTCTAATCAGTGTGCACATTTGTACTTTGATGTTAACAGTGGGGTACAATCTTTTTTAGTATACAGTAGACTGTTACCCACGTGCGGTTTATCCGATTTGTGATTAACCCCGCACCTGATATTTTTACATAAATTACTCATGGATTTTCCCTAAAGCCCAAATTAATTATCTAAAAAGTTATAAAGTTGTTCTTGGAAATATGTATTACAAGGAGAGTGCTTAAACCGTAATCTACGTGATCACCTAAACAGTACAGTAGTTGCATATATTTAGAACAGTGGGCGGATTTTGATTGATTTTGATTGGCGGGGCTCTGCTGTCCACTTAGTCAGCAGAGTCTTCTGCGCGGGAGCCAGAAAGTGTTATCACTGACCACGTGCATCAATCAATCGATCGTTCGTTTTTGGCATAGAGATCCGCGGAAAATGGATATTTTGGGATTATCCACAGTTTTAAATTATCTGTCATTATCGCGGATAATCGAGAGTCTACGGTATATATATATATATTTACATAGGAAAACATCACCGAGTCTCAGGAATTGAGATGTTTGTCAACATTTTTGTTGTTTCATAGAGTGCGAGGAAACCGGAGTGTCTGTATTAAACCCATCACATGTGCAAGGGCGCAATGCTAAACTTTGCACGCAGATATATATGTAACCTATTTGCTGTACTGTTATATGCCGGTAATTTTGCAGTCCTCCCAAGACTTAAAAGGCTCACAGAACATGATCGCATTGTGATCTAAAACATATATACACGTGTGTATGTATGTCTGTGCATGTGTGTGTTGGGAGCGGCAGTGCAGCGGGTTGGTGCGCTGCTTCGCTAATAACTTTGCGACCCGAGCTCGATTCCTGCTCACGGCCAACACCAGTGACAGCGATTATCTGAACCGGTCATGGGCCTCCCCTAGATCGACTCAGCCTTAAATAAGTATCTAGTGTGGTGTGTAAACATGACCACTGGTGAGACAATGACAGCCGGGCGTGGTGTTGGACATCTACCCCCTCGTGTGCCGTGCCTTGCCGGCCTTGATAGATGCGACTCCCTAACAGCACTTGTCCCAACAGTCTATGTCTATATGGGGGGGGATATTTGTCTCTGTGTGTCGCCATGGCCGAATAAATGTAACCTCCGATTGAACCACGTGCTCTTGAGTTTTGATTTCCATGCGAATGCATGTCGTTGTTAAGTGCACGCGTGCGTTCCCGAAGTGTTCAGTTTCAAGCGTTCGTGTACTTGGGGTGGTTTAATTTGTCATAGGCGTTCTCTTCAGGCGGCTTGAGAGGCTGCAAAATAAAACAACACGTGCATTATCATTTATAATCAAATGTGCGTTAAGGGGTGGCTTTTGGTCTCGATTGGTGGGGCCACTGAGCCCGATGCTACAGAGGTCATGTTCCTGATTAAATGCCCATGTGGAGAAGTTCCGGATCGTAGTGGCACACGTAGTCGATAATTCTCATTGACCAACAGGCGCAGGTTGCTGTGGTCCCGCCATAGCACTGTGGAATTGGCACCACTTGATTTAGGGCCTGCAATGGAAATGAGTACTAAGCCATGCTTTGTCTAAGCGGGGAGACGCTTTGACACTTGACTTCGACATTGTTTTTTTTCAACAGTCCATAGACTTAAAGTCATCCTTATTAAACATTTCACTTGGTGTGTGAAGCTTACCTCGTAGTGACTGGCCTCTTGGTTAGGTGGGCTCTGCAATAGGATATTTCGTGGAAAGCACACGATTAGGCATTGTTTTGGAGCAGAAATTACTTTAAAATCAAATGTTATCAATGCAGTAGCATTATTCTGTGTCCGTGCAGTGCTGCAATAGTCCACATTGCACAGCAATTATATTTTGCCTTGATTAAAACCCCATCTGAACTTATCCTGCACCTCCCCTAGGTCAACTCAGACTTAAAAATAAGATACTGATTAAATAATTCGGGAGACAAAGGAAACTGCATTGGCCACTCCATCCTATAGACATTCACAGGTGCTCACATCACTTTTTCTGTCAATCTATGCCAGCTGATTGGAGATTGGTCTATCTATGGCACAGCTTGTAAGACAGTTGGTAGACATAAAGGTTAAAAGGTCACACTACTATAAAACATCGAGAAGTTAACATTGATGCCACCACTCTCTGCCAGCAATGCTCTGGCTCTGCTAAATATATCAGCTGTTTGCGCAGTGAACACTTACCCTGCAAGGTCTGCTCTGAGTTCGTCTTGCCATCTACCCAGTTTCTGGCTCCTGGATACCACTCCAATGCCCGTCTCAAGAACCTGCCCACCCCACCATCCTGCACATGCGCCCCCACTAATCGCAACCTCCATGATTGTCTAAAAAACTTCCCCTGCTCCCCCCAATATAAACTTACAACTTGTGTATCCTTTCCTGCCATGAAATTCTTAGTATGTTATGCACGCACCCAAACTAAAAAACCCGAACACTTTTGTCACAGTGAACAGAGAATAGAACGCATTAGGATTCATGAGGTCTTTAGTAAGAGAAATGGGATGGAATTAAGCGTTGGTATATGTGTAACCAGGTAGTTTCTCAGTCATTTGAAATTTCTGATTGTATTAATATTTATAAAACTCCTCGACCCGAGCTATAAGTGTTCTGATACTTGCATTGTCTTTGTACTGTTCCCCTTTTGGCGTTCTCTGGTCTCACACTGGTGGCGAGACAAGGCCACAAAGAAAGCCGTCTCTGGTGTAGGCCAATCAGTTTGAAATACATTGCATATATTATCAGCGCATGTTTGTTTGCATGTTTTTCTAAAAGTACTTGTGGTTAATGTAGACTTCGTCTTGATGCCTTGCAAAATATATCTATTTGGTGTTGGAATATCTTAACACAACTCCTGTTTTATTGCCAGACAGGGTATAACTTATTATAATTTTCATCATTTCTGATTATATTCACTGTGTTGGTAGAGGCAGAACTCCGATTTAATCCACCCACCGTTTCAGCAGAATTCATTATTCTCTCATCCAGAGGTTGCATGCGGTTCCTAAAAAGGGTGAAGTTTTTGTTGTAAGCGATAATTAATTTTTAAAAGTGAAACTATGAGTCATTTGCATAGTCAAGTTTGTCCGTCTTCCACAGTGGCGGTATGCTTCCAACATTATCAGGCGGTCCTGGGCCCGATAAAACCGGCAAAACCGCTCCAAGGGCTGTAACCAGTCAGGCGTTAGGCACTGCGTGTGTGGCAAAAATAGTAGCTATGCTTGATTTCAGTGTCAAATATTAGAAACGGTACATTATACACTACATACAAATTAAACAATGAAAATACTGCACGTATATACACATCACCTCGTGCAGAGACTCCAAGATTGTAGTATTAAGTACGGTACAGTAAATACAGTAACCTTTGAAAGGATAATTGTTTTTGTCTATTTGTATGTTTATTTGTGCCAATTTCAGATAGTAACCAAATTGAAACACCACAAAAACATAACAACACCTAAAACATTATGTCATTTAAGAATGTGCAAAAGTAAGCTATTTTAAATAATAATGTAGTGCTTATCCCGCGTTTTTCTTCAATGTTTCATGGAAGGCAGGTACAATACATCTGGATTGGCAAACTGAGTTTGTGATTCCGGGGACCAGAGGGTGTGCTCCAACTACAAAGGGATCACACTCTTCAGCCTCACATGTAAAGCCTATGCCAGTGTGCTGGAGAGGAGGCTCCTCCTGGTGGTTGAGCCTCAGATTCAGGAGGAACAGTGCGGATTCCGTTATGTTCATGGAACAATGGACCCGCTTCTTTCCCTGTCACATATATTTCAGAGGTCATAGGAGTATGCTTCTCCAGTTTACCTCTGCTTTGTAGACTTGGAGAAGGCATAGGAACTTGTTCCCTGCAATATATTGTGGGAGGTGCTGCAGGAGTATGATGTATCGGTGCTGATTGTGTGCTATCCAATCCCTCTATTCCCTGAATGAGAGATGTCCTTATTCTTGGTGTTAAATCAAAGTCATTCACTGTGGGTATTGGACTCCGCCAAGGGTGGGTCTCGTCTCCACTCCTGTTTGTGATTTTTCACGGACAGGATATCAAAGGTGCAGCCGAGGTATGGAGAGTATCCAGTACGGTGGCATGGAGGTGGCGTCGCTGCTATTTGCAGTTGACGTACGTGGAAGCAGGAGATCGGCTGGTGGATTGGTGCAGCGTTGCAGGCACTGTACCATTCCGTGGAGGTGAAGCAGAAGCTGAGTTCTCGAACAAAGCTCTCAGTTTACAGGTCGATCTACATTATCACCACCTATGGTCATGAGCTTTGAGAAATGACCGAAAGGATAAGATTGCAGGTACAAGGGGCCCAAATGAGGTTCCTCCACAGGGTTGCTGGGCTCACTCTCCATGATTAGGTGAAGAGCTCAGTAATCCAACATAGCCTCAGAGTCGAGCCACTGCTCCTCTGGATTGAGAGGAGCCAGTTGAAGTGGATCGGGCACCTGGTAAGGATGCTCCCCGGTAGACTCCCCCTAGAACTCTACCGGGCAGCAAATCCCACTGGGAGAAGATCCTCGGACTGGCCCAGGACACGCTGGTGGGACTATGTCGCTCGGCTGGCCTTGGAACGCCTGACAATTGGAAGAGCTCGAGGCTCTCGCCAGGAATAGGGAGGTCTGGATCCCTTTGCTCAACATGCTGCCGCCGCGACCCTCACCAGGGCAAGCGGATTGAGAATTGAACAATGTCAAGCAATAATAATCATTCATGGTCGCGAAATTCTACGTGCTAAACCCAATAATAATCATATCACCAAATAAATATATTTGGAAACAGGTTAATGCTTCATTATCCTACTGCTTTGGCCAATTTTTCGAATTTAAACTTAGTCGTGGACATGGTCGGCTCTGAGAGATGAATTTAATCAATATAGTGGGTGATCGGCACTTGGCATTTGGTGCCGATGGAGGGATGGTGCCACGGTGGTGAGATGTTTGTTGTGGTAATTGAACTCTGGTGGGGGTTGCAGTCATATGCACACAATACAAAAAGCAATGATAATACATTTGTGAACGAGCAAGTACGTAAATTGTTTGCATAGCTGCTGCTGACGGGTTGGCCAATGGGCAGATTGAGAATGGTGTCACACTGACAGACTGTGCTGAACTCTGAAACTTCTTTCAATAATTCTCAGTCGGAGTGACATACCTCCAGAATTCTTTCCGAATCTACAAACATTTTGACACAGGAAACTCACGTGACAGGACTGCCTTTCTTGCGGAAGAAGTAAATAGCTCCGAACACGGCCACCAACGCCATGAGTGCAACTACGGTGGCAACAGCTATGACGCAGGGCTCAATGCCATCTGGAAGACAACAACAACAAATGCTGTTCATCACCACAACACTTGCGCCATGCTATTTGCATGGCACCCCTGCCATAGGAATGTGTAATTTCGACCACTGGCTCTGCAGGGCTGGAACTTGGAGATGCACACCTCATTTTTGCACATCTCAATGCTCATTTGAGCAGCAGGAGATCACTTGAACTTGGTAATTTGTGGTCTGCCTCAGCACACCACATGATCTAATGCGCGACTGAATTTTCTGAGTGTGTGTCTTCAAGCTGACCCGGTCATGTTGTCTCATCAGAGCCTCTAGTGGTCTCTCGTGGTCGCTCAATCGATCTCAAAGTCATCTCGAACAAAAATAAAATAGACCACTTCATTGAAGATTAATGTTCTTATTAACCTCGTTAATGAAATAAACACCGCTTACCGATTGAATTCACCACCTCATTCACTAAAGTTTTCATGAATATGCAGATGTAGGTGCCACTGTCTGAGGCACACAACACGTTAATTGAGATAGAAATATCGTTATTGTCATGGGCAGCAATCCCCAGATAAAATAAAATCAGCATACATAACATGGTTGACCAATAAGGAGCCATTCCTCCACCGTACCTGGGCATCGATCAGCCTCCCATTGTATCTGTACCAGATGGAGATTCCTCCGGTACAGCCATGGAAGGCTTCTCGAACTATTTGGTTGAAAAAGTCGTTCAATAATGTAGGCACCAGAGGACATCCCAGTCACACCCCAAGGTGAACAGGGAATGGCTCTGACTCCCGGTCATGTAGCATGTAGTTTAACTCGGGCCTCCCCACCATTATTAAAGTCCATAATGATTGTGAGCAGACAGTCAGCGACTCTGAAACCATGAAAAAAACCCAGAGCCCAGGCCTATTCATGATATCATAGGCCTTGACCAGGTAAATAAAGCAGAGATGTAAGTCCTGTTGGAATTCCCTACAACGCTGAAGTAGCAGACAGACAGAAAATATGGCATCTGTGCCTGGCAAGGCAATGTTGAATGATCCTTTCCAGGACCTTTCCTGACACACTGAGGAGAGAGATGCCTCTGTAGTTCTTACAGTCTGTGCGGTCCCCCTTCTTAAAGAAGGGGACCACCAGGACATCCTTCCAATCCTGCAGAACCCATCCAGTGGTCCAGACTGATATTATGATTTCATATTGGGCAGTCTGCACACAAACACTACCCTCCCTCAGCAGTTCACTTGGGAGACCTCTGCCCGGCGCTTTTTCTTTTGTATTTCCTCAAAAGATGGCACTTCAACCAGCCACTCACAGGGGGTGACTACTTATTCCAATATTTGAGACACAGCAGTGTCAGCAAGGTCATCCCCATATTTCCCCATGATGTTTTCTGAGCTGAGAGATTTCCCCTTCCCCAAAATTTCACAGAAATGCTCAGCAAACTTGCAAACCTGTTCGTGGGGGTCGGAGATCGGATCACTTTTCTTTCACTGAAGGATGGTGATAGGTGTGTCGCTGCAGGTTACTTTTTTTATGGAATTAAAGAGTGATTTGTGATTGCGTTGCTACAAAGGCAGATTTTATCTACTCAGCAACCCACGACCACCATTCATCCTTCAATCGCCACAAGGTTCTCCAAACCTCCGAGTAAAGGCTGCGGTAAGCCTCCTCATTCTCCGACGTAGGATACTGTAGATGGTGGCAGTGGGCCTCCATCAGCCAGGGTCTCTGGGGAGGTTTGGACCGCATATCCAATGCAGTCATTGCAGCTGCATGAGCCACAATCGAAAACCTTGTCCATTTCCCCTCGGCATCAGGAGGAGAGAGGGACGATGGCAATCCCAGCTGCAAACGATGATGAAATTCTCGCTTGTTGAAGATCACTCAGATCCAAGCAGTGGATTGACAACGTTATTTCCAAATGAAATCTAATTTAAATAGAATCAACCAATCGCTGAATGTCCGCCACTTGCCAAGTGAACGAGTGCCCGGTTACCTGGCAGAGGCATGATGGTTGGCACGGTGGTGGGCTGACCTTGCGCATAGGTGATGTTGACTTCGATCTCGCCAGCGTCCGAGCCCACGTAGTTCACAGCAATGCACCGGTACATCCCGGAGTTACTCACAGCACGATCTAGAGTCAGCGTGCTGTGGTCAGAGCCATTCATATGTGTACCATTCCTGCAAAACACAACACACCAACAACACAACAGAAGTAATAACATCAGAAACTCATTTTTGTAACATTCCGCCCAATCCCCCTCCCTGCACAGTTGTATCTCAATTGTGCATGTATATATGTTGTATGTCTGTTGTTACGTATGTTATGTATGCATGTTTAACTTCTTTCCCACAGTACATAACCAACCGTGGCTAAATCGGAGGTGCAGGGGTATTGGACGAAGTTGGACAACAAACCCCGGCGTCGTGGCGTGAGATTAAGAAGCCGTTCGAAAATCTGACGGAGCAGTGCCAGCACCACCCCCCCCCCCCCCCCCATCGCGTGAGAGAACGATCCGTGTAAGAGGACGTCGGAGAGCTTCCTCCAAGATGCCCTTCGAGCGACCTCTGGACGCTCGCGCAGTCAGCACTTCCCCCAGCCGCCGTGCCACTTGGGAGCAACGTTCGTAGCGCGGGACGGTGGAACAGACACATTATTTTGATTCTCAGGAGCTGGAATTTATCCAAATCAAATTTCACAATCAATTTTTTAATAATACAAGTTATTTTTGGGTTAGATCGCATAGGTATAAATGTGTCGTTAAACCCGCCACCACCCGACACAGCCAATTTAGTAAGGGTTTGACACGTAAACAGAACATGCCAATTAGTTTACTAGCTCGGCACTAACCATATGCATTTTAGAGAGTAAAACCCACAACGAAATTTAAAAATTCGAGTAGACCTTGACGTTTCGTGTTCAATTGTTTTTTTAAACGTACTATTTTTTGGTGCGGTCATCACTGAACGGGGCTGAGATCGTCAACTCGCTACACTTGAATGACCCACTTTAAATCCCGGGTACCATGGCTGAAACTTGGAATTCCAACGCAGGGATTTCTGCACTGCCAGCTCAGAACTCCACGACTTCTGGCCGACTTAATGTTTGCATAACCTGCAGTTGGGATGAATGTTTAAATCATCCTCATTCATTCTGAAGCACGGAAAAGTAAAAAAACACAAAATACACCCACGCCTGGAAAAAAATTCATAACGCGAATCGGACATAACGGGATTGAATAAGCAGTTGCGCGGCTGCCTGGGCATAGGATCATCATCGCCCAAGGCATTGGGATCATGCTGGATGCTTTTAGATTCTACCCATGCACCTCCAGTCTTTGTTCGGCCCTGCGTCACACATCTCACGCGTTATCGCGGACTGTGCTTTACCCCCTAAATTACATATTTATTATGACGTGATTGTTCCATATAATGTGGCGTTCTTCAGGAACACAACTACTACTACTGTCGTTATAGAACAGACGGTCATGGAAAAACCTATCGCGAAACACTCCGACTGCGTGGGGTTTTTTGCGGTTTGTGCCGTGTAGCTCTGGAGAAGCACGTGGAGCGAAAGGCAAGACATCGGAGCGAACGATGCACCATGTATGGTACGCCTTGAAAAATGGACCGGAGAGCAAATATCACCATAACCGTCATGTCGTGAAAACCCGATGTCGTATTGACAATTCTTGTTTACTATTCTTTAATTATTTTTTAAAAATATTTATCTATATTTTACCAGATAAGGCCACATCTGTGTTTATGTAGCTCTTTTTCCCAAGTGACCCGGCAATTACAAATGATAGCCTGACAAAGTGGCTCATCATAATCACGTGGAAATTTACATCAGCCGAATAACTCTAAATGCGTCATGTCGATTCTAAATGTGGAGGACTCGGAGAAAAATCTACGCAACAACGGGAAGAGAGAGAACACGCAAACTCCAAATACACAGCAGGCGTCCGGAGTTGGGATCCAACCCAGACCTCCTGTATACTAGGCGAGGTAGTTAACATCTAGCCACCGTATCAGGTCGCATCGTGAGAAACGACATGGTGGCAACGTTACCGACACATCAGAACCCTCACCTCATCCACGAGTACTTGGCGCTGGGATTGGCATCGGCAAGACAGGTGAGAGTGACCTTGGCGCTTCCCTCTTGCATGGGGCCAGTGACTCCACTGATTGTCACCTCCGGCTTGTCTGCAAATGGTAGAATACACAAACTTTCCCTCGTCACTACTACTCCTGTCGTGTTTCCGTGTTGTTTGTTATTGTTTGTTGTTGTAAACGTTCTGACCCAGTGCCCTGTACTGGACACCTGCGAAAAAGAGGTTTGTAGCTCATCGGATTCCTCGAGTAGAAATATTCTGATTTTGAATTTGCCAAATTTGGACCACAAAAATTTACCTGCAAATTTGCTCAACTGGGATTCCACAAACACAGTAATAACACCCCCCCCTCCCGCCCCCCCACTTTGAAACTACCGCAGACTATTTCTGTGAAACATCGCGCCGTCCTATGTGATGATCCTGTTCATCATAAACGGTGCTAGCACCAACGATTTGCTACATTCTTTTTGTTATTATAATTTACTGCATGTCCGTCCAGTGCTCGCGGAGCTGCATTGGCTTCCGGTTGCTGACAACGAATACATGATTAAAAGATCGCACTCATTACACACACAAAGTGCTTTCCACAAAGGAACCACAATACCTCGCTGATTTCGTCAAGGAGCATAAACCATGATCACGTTAACTCCAGTGGTCATCTTCGCAGCAGCGACTTTTGGCTAGGCATCGAACAAAGATGGTGGTCACCGCATCGCCGCGCTTTCAGATTTGCTTCTGTGGTCGTCTGGAAAGCTCTTCCTTCTGATAATAGGAATCCACTGGAGTTATGCATTTTAAAATCTAGATTGAAAACTAATTTCTTTAAAACAGCTCTTTGGTGTTTGTTGTCCTTCCCCCCCGCACCTTCGTTTAGCATGGTTGGCTTCGTACGTTGCACGAAAAAAGTTCAATATACATAGATTTAAGTGGAGCTTTAAAAACTGACCCATTGTCAGGGCTGGTAAAACACTTGGTACATCTTAAGCGTAAAACGACATCATTGCCCAGTACTGGCAGACTTATCATTTGTAGGTCATCACTGCATACACCTTGAGCCACATAGGGACAGCTGCCACTAGGGGTCCCTAGCAGTATTCAAACGCGGGGATTAAGTTTGGGTACCCCCACCTCTTCCAAGTCATCTGGTTTGTGTGGAAGAGTAGGCTAAATTTCTCTCGAGTGGGAGGGAGGACCATCTATCAATAGTGGTGTGAGGAAGAAATTACAGGGCTGTGCCTTTACCCCTTATTATCCGTATGCAGTGGTACATTGTCTTGTGCTTACGAATACTCTGTAAAAACTATAAACTAATCTTTTTTTATTTTACCAGGTAAGACCCACTGAGCTAAATCGCTCTTCTTCAGAATCAACCTAGCTATCACAAATTATAGCTCAACGAAGTTGCTTATCATCGCATGGAAATGTATAGCAGCCAAATAACTTAAATGCATGATGTTGATTCTAAATGTGGAGGGGACAAGTCGGTGGACCCGGAGAAAAATCCACGCGACCACGGGAGGAGAGAGAGAGAGACGCGCAAACTCCAAATATACAGCAGGCATCAGGGATCTGGATCGAACCCAAGAACCTCCTGTATACCAGGCGAAGTAGTTAACATCTCATAGGCACCACGGCACGGTGGGAAACACCACTCACAGTGCACATTGAGAGCGACGATCTTCTCGATCCGATTGCCGTTCCCAGGCTGCGTCACGATGCACACGAGCGACGCTTTGTTCATCTCCTTCGTCGGCTCCAACCGCAGCTCCCGCATCACGCTGATGGAGCCATTTTTGTGATCGATGATGGTGCCCGCGTCATCCTTCAGGGCTTCAAAGACAAAGTGGCTTCCCGAGACGTTTTTCAGGGTCCAGGCCACCCTCGCCGCGGGGTTCCCGTTGGCCGCTACGCACGTCGCCGCCAGCTGAGACTTGCTGCCACCGGACACCAGGGGAGCCGGGCCCAACGCCAACCTCACCTCTGGCGTCACTGAAACAATGGCGACGCAAGGCGGCGGAGGTCATGAGCACAGTGTCTGGGTTCTCGTCGTCGTCGTCATCATCATAGTCATCGTTGTCGTCGGCTACTGCCAGGTGGCTCGGTGGTGGAGCGGCTGGTGATCTGAAAGGATGCGAGTTCCAAACCTGATTGTGGGTTTCACTCAGCCCACAATTCCCTTGGGGGTCGATACAACAAATACCACTTTGTGGGCGAGTCAATGGTGGTTGTCCCGTGGACAAACGCAGCCCTGCCATCAAAATGTGGATTTTTTCGCCACTGTAGACTGGAGATTAGCACAGCCTCTCAATGCCGATTCGAGTTGGTAATTGCCACCCTGACTAGGGCTGTGGATTATAATAATATAATTAACTTAGTTTTATAAAGCACATTTAAAATGAGTAATCTCAAAGCGTTGCATGTGTTAAAAATTAACGATGTTGACACTGACACTCCTGGAAAACCCCAATCACAATAACAATAAAACCAAAAGATAAAACCGAAATGAAAAATATATAGGCAACTGATTATTGGTGGAAGCCAGGAAAGTTACTATAAAAAAGGTTACGAATGTTTATACTCATTGGTTCTTTCGTATGTAGAAATAAAATAAAATTAAAATAGATCACGACGTTTCGAACGCAACACAAGCGCTTACCCTCAGGTGAAAATGGCGTAAACCACACAGCGAGGGAACACACAGAGGGACATCACACACAGAGCACACCGAGAACGGCAAACTGCACGGAGGCAAATACAGCAAGAAGATGGGAGACGCGAACTCAGCAAACCTTAGAAATATAATGCGATGCAATCCAGTCAGCCAAATACACAGTTATTTTATTTCTACATACGCGACTTTACCGAAAGAACCAATGAGTATAGTAATTCCTGTAGTCACGAAAACTTCAATCCTAGATTACAAATGTTTGTTACGATATCAATGAAGTCCAGAATTTTTTTAAAAAGCTTTTGAATAAAAATAAGCTTTTAAGGGTTGATTGTTCAACAGATATATATAAAAAAATTTTTAATCCCCATCCCTCCTCACATCATTAAATTGCAACATCCTGACGTTCAGGATGGTATTTTCCAGGGGTCACGTTTAAAAAAAAGAAAAATGTTAAAATAAACCCCCAAAGATGAAGTGGCTGGGTGTACCCAGAGGGTTCGTAGACACTCAGCCGGCATCATTTGAGAGCCTGGGATTAAAATTCGAATCCAGGTATCTGCTGCCACAACTCTGCTTAGACCAGGTGGCCCGGGTGACTTAGATAGTTACACACACTCACTCTCTGTTCTGACACTCTCTCTTGAGATACATTGAAATGGGTACCACTGCTCTGGACGGCTAGGTTATTGCCGTTCTGGGCTCAGGTAGTTAAGCCTGATCTCAGGCTCAGGTGTTTAAGACTGGTCTAAGGTTGTAGGAATGGACCCCATGTACGTGTGTTCTATTCTTCTTCCTTGTCTGAGCTTTTCGCTGAGATGGCTCCATTGCTAAGATTGGTGCCTGAATGAGTTCACCCGTTGAGTATGGGGGAGGCGTGGGGGGGGGGGTCGCGATTCTTCCACGAAACTCGATGTCGTTTTCCTGGCCCGCTAACTTGAAAGTCCTAAATAAAAAGCTCTGTTGCCGTGTCAGTCCCACTTTTAGGGGTTGGTTTAAAAGAACCGACAGAGTCAGGGCTCCAGATGTTGTTGGGGAAAAGCTTCCCACAGCCTGGGGCATGGCAGCACTAGTGTAGCCAGCCACTCTTATTTGTTACATATTGGTGTTGGAAAATCGGACTTATATATTTTATATATTTATTATTTAGTGACTTGTTCACCCTTTTTCTCTTATTTTTGCACTCCTGTCGATGTTGTTGTTGTTGTAACGCGCTGACCCCGTGCCCCACTTTCATATTCCACATTCTTGTGGCAGAGCACAGTATTTCTAGATTTGAAGCTTTCGTGACTGCAAGGAATCATATTCTTAGGTTTTTTCGGTAAAGTCACGTAGGTAAAACATCAAAATTAATGAAAATAAAATAAAAACAAAAATCACGACGTTTCGGAGGCAACACAAGTCTCCGTCATCAGGTGGGACCGTCACAGCCAGATTAGCTGCATCAAGTGAGGCAATGATTCAAGATGTAATCCCTTAAAAGCAAGTTGAGGGGGGAGGAGAGGGGGGGGGAGCTCATCAGAATATGAGGGGGGGGCGGGGCCCCGCCCCCCCTCCCTCCCGATACGTTCCACTCATTGGCTACCATATTCTGATGAGCTCCCCCCTCCCTCTCCTCCCCCCTCAACTCGATTTTAAGGGATTACATCTTGAATCATTGCCTCACTTGATGCAGCTAATCTGGCTGTGACGGTCCCACCTGATGACGGAGACTTGTGTTGCCTCCGAAACGTCGTGATTTTTGTTTTTATTTTATTTTCATTAATTTTGATGTTTTACCTACGTGACTTTACCGAAAAAACCTAAGAATAAGAGCACAGTATGTTCTTATTTTATTCAACAGATGTAAGTGTCATTATTATTTATATGATGTTTGTTTATGCAGGAAAGCTTCGCTGAGTCTCAATACCCTATTTTCAGGAGGGTGTTGCCACGGTGGCGAGATGTTAACTACCTCACCTGCTATACAGGAGGTCGTCTGGCCCACCCCTACTGGACGTTTATAAATGAAGAGCTTTATAGCTCATCGGATTCCTCCTCCTGTGGCCTCAGTCAAAGATTCGAAACAACGACCTGAACCAATTTCTTTTCTCGTTAACCTCGTCAACAAAACGAACCACTTCGCTACCGATTGAACTCACCGACCACGATGAGGTTGATCTTCGCCTCCTTAGTCCCTTGTGTTGTTGTCGTGAATGTGCAGATGTAGGTGCCGCTGTCCGAGGCGCGCAGCGCGCGGATTGAGATGGTGGCATTCTTGTTTCCGTGGCCAAGGAAAGTCAGGCGCCAGTGTAACGTATCATCTACACTACTTATATCATTCTGGCGACGTGCTATGTACACACGCTTTTGATTTGTTTCCTTTGCCCATGTTATCTGTGCGACGGTCTCACTTCCCTTGTAGACGCAGCGCAGCTTCACGTCTCCTCCGCTCCCACCGGACGCTTCACTGTCGTGTTCGATCTCCGCTGTAATACTCTGGGCACCTGCACAGGAACAGAGACGAAGACACACTCTATGTTTATTTCGGTAAAGTCACGTATGTAAAAAAATCAAATAAAATAAATGAAAACAACTAAATTAAATCACGACGTTTCGGGCGCAACACAAGCGTCCTGCTTCAGGTGGGGACAACGTAGCGAAAGCGCAACCGCTTAAGTGCGTCTCAGAGATGGCTGTGACGAGGAGTTATATAAAATTAACCCTAACCTAAGTTACATATAAATCCTCGTCACAGCCATCTCTGAGACACACTTAAGCGGTTGCGCTTTCGCTACGTTGTCCCCACCTGAAGCAGGACGCTTGTGTTGCGCCCGAAACGTCGTGATTTAATTTAGTTGTTTTCATTTATTTCATTAAAAAAATTTACCTACGTGAATTTACCGAAAAAACCAAAGAGTATGAATCCTTGCAGTCATGAAAGCTTCAAATCTAGAATTAAGAGACGAAGACATACACTCATATACACAGACATATACACATGCACACAAAGACATACACACAAAGACATTTCCACATAAACACGAAGACATACACACATAGACATATACACATACACACAACGACATAAACACACACGCGAGGACATACACGAAGACGAAAACATGTACACAAAGAAACACGCACATATACACAGAGACATATACATAAAGACAAAGATATCCCCCGTGTAGCCTACACAGGGTATTGGGACAAGTGCTTTCAACCAGCACACAAAGACATATACACACAAAGAGATACAAACATAGACACACACACATATACAAAGACATACATACACATACATACAAAGGCAAAGATCCCGCGTATAGCCTACACGGCGTATTGGGACAAGTGCTTTCAGCCAGCACACAACAACTGCCATTCACCACGAAGTGGCAGTGACGTCACCACGGCGCCTGTGTACCAGGCCAGGTGCACCTTGAGACCATCACGTGAAGTGTCAAAAGCTCGCAGCTCGTAGGAGGTCACGGAACAGACCCAGCAGGTGCCACACGTTGTCTGACTGAGATGGCCACTGGAAAAGTCTCCAGACTCTTTATCAATTGGGATAAACAACAACAACCGCTATTCACCACAAAGTGGCGGTGACGTCACCACGGCGTTTGTGCCAGGCCAGGTGCAACTTTTAGGTCATCACGTGAAGTGTTGAGAGCTCGCAGCTAGCAGGAGGTCATGGGACAGACCCAGACGTTTCAGGCAATGGGCGTCCTCCATAGCGCGTACATTTGTTGTTGAGTGTGACTAAAGACGTTGGTGTTTTTAGCTGCCTTTGTGCAACGCAGCAGCAGCATCACCACCACCAAATAATGTATGAAACATTTAGCACGCTGCTCTGGTCACATTGAGCAAGCCGTCATCTCTCAACATTTTCCATCCAAAAGAAGAAAGATAAAAAAAAACTACAGACGGACTTCAAACCTGTCACTTATTGTCTTCAATTTATTTTAAAAAATGTAACGTTAAGGTAAGACGTGGACTCAATAGAGATATATCTGTGTACGCCGAACAGCCCTATCCCTTGTCAGCTGTGCACTCATTCTTTTTTATTTAGATTGAAAACTAATTTCTTTGTTATTAGTTTGTTGTCCTTCCCCCGCACCTCCTATTAGGGCGGTTGGCTACGTATTGTGCGAAAGAAGTTCAACATACTTACATTAGCGTGTATACACATGGGGAGTGGTGGTGTAACGGTTAGCGTGCTGCACTACGAACCCCGTGACCCGGGTTCGATTCCCGCTCATGGCCAACACCAGTGACGATCATCTGAACTGTTCCTGACCACCCCTAGTTCGAATCAGCCGCAACAGGGTGCCTGGTGTGATGCGTAACACCACTGCAACTCGGGAGACAAAGGTGGCTGAGCGTCGAGTTGGCCACCCACCCTCTCGTGTGCTGTGACGGCCGTCATAGGTGCTCGCTAACAGCACTTACCAAAACAGTTTTAAAGCTATACAGGGGAATCTTTATCTTTTCGTTGTATACACACCGTGTGTGTGTAGAGACAAAGGCGGTCAGGCCACCCAAAATCTCATGTGCTGCAGGCCCCTAATAGGTGCTCGCTCTCAGCAATTGCCTCAACAGTCTATTCGGGAATATACGGGGGATCTTTGTACATACAGGAGGAAGTCGTGGCGCAGCGGTTAGCACACTCGCTACGAACCCAGCGGCCCGAATTCGATTCCTGCTCACTGCCAACATCGGTGATGGCGGTCACGGCGGCGAGACGTTAACTACCTCACCTGGTATACAGGAGGTCGTGGGTTTCATCCCGACCCTGACGTCTGCTGTATATTTGGAGTTTGCGCGTCTCTCTCCCCGTGGTCCTGTGGTTTTCCCTCCACATTTATAATCGACGTCACACATTTAGAGTATTTGGCTGCTGCTACAAATTTCCACGTAATGATGATAAGCAACTTATTTCAGATATAATTTGTGATAGTCTGGTTGCTTCTTAAAATAGCTACATAGCGTGGTGCGCCTTACCTGGTAAAATAATATATAACTGTTCCTGGGCCTCCCCTTGGCCGAACCGACCTTAAATGAGTACCTGGTGGGGCGTGGGTACATGAAAACTGGAGCGACAAAGGCGACCGGGCGCGGTCCTGGTTAAACCGAGAGTAAAGTAGTCAACGTGTGGCATTTTACACGAACAAAAACGCAACTTCCATTTCCGTCTTCTGCCTCCCTACCCCCGCATGTGGCGCGTTCATATCCTGTAACGAAGCACGAGATTCTAAAAAAACAGGTAAAACGCTAGTTCCTCAATGCACACTTTTATTTACACTCAAAAGTATAAAATGTATTATTTTGACCCCAGAATTAATCAAATTTGATGTGCTGAATATAAGTGGGTGGCTTCCTTTCCATTTTTACTTTTATTTATGCAAGCCACCCACTTTTATTCCGCACATCAAATTTGATAAACTTTAGAGTCACAATAATGTATTCTCTACCTTTGAGTGCAAATGAAAATGTGTGCATTGTAAAACTAGTTTTTTACCTCATTTTATTTTTTCAGTGAAAACTATTGTAATTATTTAACTGCTATTTTATTTCAACAGTGAAGACCCACTCGAGCTTTATAGCTCGTTTTCAGAAGCGACGTGGCCACAAATGATAGCTCAATGAAGTGGCTTATAACGTAGAAATTTATAGCATCCAAATTCCTCGGAGCACAACGTTTCTAAATGTGGAGGGAAAACCCGGAGGAACTGGAGAAAAATCCACGCGACCACGGGGAGAAAGACAGACACCGCAAACTTCACATATAAAACAGGCGTGAGGGTCGGGATCGAACCCACGACCTCCTGCATACCAGGCGAGGTAGTTAACATCTTCGAACCACCGTGATGATGAGAGAAAGAGACGCAAACTCCAAATATACAGCAGCAGGCTTCAGGGTCGGGATCGAACCCACGACCTCCTGCATACCAGGCTAGGTAGTCAACACGTTAGTTCCATCTGGTAGGCAGGCACACAAGCGATTGGGTAGGTAGCTAGACAACTCCGTAGGTAAGTAGTTAAGGTACGCAGTTCTGCGAATAAGCCGTCTGGTGTGGTCGACAAATCTCTGTGCAGCTGCGACCCCACCCAACGCAACACACCTGAAGCGAGGGTTACGGTGAATAGGGCATTTGTCTTTAAATCGGCATCTGAAAAACTGACAGCGAACTCACCCAGAGTTGCAGACAGGAGGAGCAGCAGATGGACGGCTATCATCACGCGCTGCGCAAAGCAGAGTGTTTCCATGCTCGCACGTCCGCCTTTGTCTCTCTCTCCTCTCTCCAACACCAGCACACACAGACACGAGAAGTCACTCGCTCGCTCGCCTGTTGGCTCTCACTTTGTATGCAAGGAGGAGGGGGGACGAACAATCGAAGCGGGGAAGAGACCACGTGACGTGGAGGAAATGATTATCCGGTTGAGTAATCGAAGGATTTAGATTCGCTACAAAAGTGATTACAATGATCATGATCAATGTCGATGTCAATGTTGATGGTGCTGATGATAATGGTAGTGATGGTGATTAATGTCGATGCGAGTCGTGATGATGGTGACGGGTAGTGGTGATGATGGTGGTGATGTTAATGGTGACGATTATTATTTTGATGTTAAAAGAGATGATAGCAAAGGAGTTTATCTTTGTTATCAAATTACCGTTCATTATTTCTGACATAATCTTACAGCTGTTATACAGTTGACTCCACACCTCCAAGCTCTGCGTTAATTCTTTCCCCCACCTCCACCATCTGGGTGCTATGGTGGTGAGATGTTAACTATCTCGCCTGATATTCAGGAGGTTGTGGGTTCAAACCCGACCTTTACGCCTGCTATATATTTGGGGTTTGCGTGTCTCTCGCGTGGAGTTTTATCCTGGTCCTCCGGGTTTCCCGCCACGTTCATAATCAACACCACGCATTTTACAGTTATTTGGCTGCTATAAATGTCCACGTGATGACGATAAGCCACTTAATTGAGCTATCATTTGGGACGGCGAGGTTGCTTCTGGAAAAGAGCTATATGTGGCAGCTCATTCGGACCTTAACTTGTAAAATAAAAATAGCTAAATAGTAAATAATTAAATAGCAATCTTGATTTGAAGCTTTCGTGACTGCAGGAATCCATACTCTTTGGTTCTTTCGGTAAAGTCACGTAGGTATAAAATAAAATATATCATGACGTTTCGGGCGCAACACAAGCGTACGTCATTAGGTGGGAATTAAATGGCAGTGAGATACCACACTAAACTATTTTTATTTTACCAGGTAAGGCCCATTGAGCTATATAGCTCTTTTTCAGAAATGACTTTGCCACACATGATATCCTAGTGAAGTGGCTTATCATCACGTGCAAATTCAAAGTAGCCAAATAACTCTAGAGGCGTCTTTTAGAGTTATTTGGCTGCGGTTTTGCGATGGAGGGAACGAGAACTCAGACAGGGGGTTCGGTGCGGTTGGGTTGCTGAAATGCGATTGTTGGTTGGTCGGTCGTTTGTGCGTTCCTCCATTCCGTTATCGCATCGAATCATCACGGTGTGCGTGTTGAGTCACTGCTCAAGAATTGGCGATTTTCACGCGAGTGATAGTGGAAATCGTTAGGGATTTTGTCCTTCAGGGTTTGACTTGTTATTATGGTTCTCCTTTGCAGCCAAAAGATTCCAATACAACTACGAAATGAAGTTGTCCACTCGGGTTTAAAGAAATATCTAAGAACGTCTGTGGCACTGTTGTTCTTGCATTGATTATTTATCATAGTTTTAGTGACCCAGGGTTTTAGTGACCAAGGTTTTAGTGACCGAGGTGACTCTCTTGAAAATGAGACTCTCATCCTGTCTTTTCAGTCTCGACTTGGTTAAACAAAATAAATGCGGGCTTGTACGTACATAAGTTGAAATTATTTCACACCGTGACCTCTTGCGACAGCATTCGCATGGACCGCTCTCACTGCCATCTCGTACCGGCATCCACGGGGGTGACCACGGGTTGAGGTACCATCTCTTTGAGGGTCGCACAGTCGGCCGCCAACCTGAAGTGAGCACAATTTCATGTTGCTGCAGTTTGCGCATCAAGACAGAGCTAGACGTGTCAACAAAGTATGTAGCCAAGCGCGCTAATCGGAGGTGCGGGGGAAAGGACAATAAAATAAACACACAAGAGCAGTCTTTCAGCAGTGGTGAGTCAATGGGCATTGTTGCATTGCGAATGTTGCATTTTTTTCGCACCGTATGTAGCCAACTATGCTAATCGGAGGTGCATGGGGAGGACAACAAACTAAAAAACCAAAAACAAAAAAACTGAATTTTAGGAGCGCCCAGTGCCACCAAAGCGGCAACACCACCACCACCGCCATCACAGCGGCACCAGCATTGATGGCAAACACCTCGGCTTCCCATGCTATCAAACATCGTAACGTCACCGCGGCATTCATTGAGCATGAGCAGAAATATCGAGGTTTCTAAACGCGTAGTAATATTGAGGTTTCTACATGAGTAAACATAGTGGGGTTTCAATACGAGTAGAAATATTGAGGTTTCTACACGAGTAGGAATATTGAGGATTACACATGAGAAGAAATATAGAGGTTTCTACATGAGTAAAAATATTGAGGTTTCTACACGAGTAAAACTATTGAGGTTTACACATGAGTAGAAATATTTCAAAATAAGACTTTGAATCAGGAACAAGTGTTCTGACTAACCACAGCTGACCAAAGTGAACTGTCGACAAATAATGTATGAAATGTTTAGCACGCTACTTCAGTCAGATTAAGCAAGCCGTCATGTTTCCGCATTTTCCATTCCAGAGGAAAAAAAACCTGCTAACTTCAAACATGTAACTTTTTAAAAATAGTTTTCAGTTTAAATTTTCTTTAACCTTAACATGCAGCAGTTAAGACATAGAGTAAATCGAGAGAAATCCCTGTCTGTGTACCCCCCTACCAGCCCTATCCTCGTCAATTGTTCAACCCCTAGCGGTCCTTTCCTAAAGCCATTTAAAACTAAGAGTATAACGCCATATATACTCAAGCCATATATGGCGCAAGATGAGAAACATTGTCTCCATGGAAGATCTATAACTGGTAAGCGGCCGTCAACCCGAACGTTGGCGTGAACCACTTTAAACTCGCTGCTGAACTGTCGCTCTTTGGTAGCGCTCAGTGTTTTTCGACGGCCTGCCACAAGCTACTATCGTCATCATCGAGTGAGGTGGACCTCCACACTTGATGTGGCCAAGGTCAATAAAGCCATGCGTCAAAACACAACCTGGAAAAGCATGTGGACTCAGAGAGAATCCCACCTGTTGAAATCTACAACATATCTAAAACGAAACAAACAAAAATAAAAAAAAAATGTGTAACCAGGTAAGACCCGCTAAGCGATGTAGCTCTTTTTTCAGAAGCGACCTTGCTATCACAATTGATAGCTCAACGAAGTGGCTTATCATCATTTGGATATTTATAGCAGTAGCCGAACACTCTAAATGCATGTTTGTAAATTTTGGGGGAAAATCCACGCGACCACAGGGAGATATGCAAACTAGAAATATACAGCAGGCGTCAGGGTCGGGATCGAAACCACGATTTCCTTGTATACCAGGCGAGGGAGTTAACATTGCCACAGTGGCCGCATACCCTGATACATAAGCTTTGTTTACCTTTCAATCACATATGGGACAGAAACACTCTCCCATGGGACTTTAAAGATGCCCAGATTAATTGTATATACAAGAAGAAGGGTGACCATTCCAATTGTCACAATTGCCGTGGTATCTCACTTCTTAATGGTACTGCTGGGAAAATTATGGCAAGTGGGTGTTGTGTTTTAACATACATCTCATAAATATCGCGTGTTCTATGTACATTATTTACATTCTAAAACTTTATTGAACACTGCATCACGCTCCAAAGTTAATCTTTCTTACTTAGTAAATGTTAATAAAACGCTGAAAAATGAATTAAGGAACGCAATTGAGACAGAGAAAGGGGAACCACCAGAATCAGGAAATATGGGCACATGTAAGAAAACTTTTTCTTGTGATAACATTTAGATGGCGTGTGACCATGTGTCTCACTAGAAGAAGAATATGATGACGGGGAAAAAACGGTCTTATCTCGCCACCGTGGGCTGCCACCGTGGCTATGAGATGTTTACCTCGCCTGGTATATAGGAGGTCGTCAACTGAGCATTGTCAGTTGTCAACGTGATACATTTTTTACTTAATGGTCGTGTCGGGTGGTGGAGGGTTGCGACACATTTATAAATAACGCGATTTGGGGGGTAATGTATGCATGGATATCTATTATTGGCTGGGGTATTCACAGTTAATCAACACACATTGTATGTACAAATTATCTACATTATGTATCTACATTCTGCTGTTTTTGGGCCCAAAGCTCGCAATACTTCTTCTTGGCTGCTCACAGTTAATCAACATCGACGTATGGTTATCTGTATAGGCATGCAACTAGACCGTGTAATGCTTGATAATTTACTTTCAATCAGCACTGGGCCTGTAGCTATCAAAACGGTTAAAACACATTTTATTTCTCTCAATTTCAATATAGCCTGTAATTATTCTTGGACAGTAGTTACTAGTTTTGCATAAAATTCAACATCAAAATCAATTGAGTGTCCTTATTGACAGGCATGTTCTGCAACTGCTGACAGTTGTGTTTGGGAGTATTTCATATTTCTTTGGTGTTCTTTTAGTATCATGCTCACCAATGATTCCGTCTGACCAACATAGCATTTTCCACAGGAGCCATTAATCCGGAACACACCTTCTGTTGACAACTTCGGGTATACATCTTTAGTACCAGATTTTAGCTTTTCAATTTTTTATGTACCATGACACATCTCACTCGGATGTTTTGTTTTTCCAAGAATCTGGCTATTTTATCAGTTACTCACGCAATGTACGGTATTTTAATAATTGTAATTGCTTGATAAATTTTACACCTTGTGCTATTTGATTTGGTTTTGGCATGCAGTGCCCTGATGATGTGTGCATCATTGCAACCGTTCAATTGCAGCGTTTATTTCCCATGTTTAATCTTTACTCTTTGGTTCTTTCAGTAAAGTCACGTAGGTATAAAATAAAATAGATCATCTTCATGAGAGAAGATTTCTGCGCGGGGTAATGGTGTGACTCTGCATTCAGATCGACGTCATTGTGCTTTTTCTTTTGGTAAATGCTGTGTTATTTTACAGTTTCGGTCATGCACGAGCAGAATATCCAGAAAATGGAAAGTTTTTTCCAATTCCACTTCCATGGTGAACTAGATGGATGGGTTTTGCGAGTTGAGATGATTGATGAAATTCATTAAGTGTATATGTAAGTGTATCTTTACATCGCTAAGTGGAACGACAGATGGCGCAATAGTCACATGCATGATATGCATCGCACCTTCGGTTTTCAATGGCATCTTTACCATGGTGACACGTAAAGGCCGCCTATCTTGTGATGTCACTTTCTGAGACAGATGCTAAAGACAATATGATGTTACGCTGCTCAGTGTGCGACGTCCCTTACAGGAATTCTCTTGTCTGATGATGCTGATTAGTACAATTGGATTCTGTCTTCCAATCGTGTCGGCTGGCTTTATTGTTTCTCCAAGCTTTATGCAAACCATTGGATAAACCCCTAAACGTAAGATGGAAAGACAATACTTAAGGATGGATCATCTTTACGAGCATAATCATTCCTTTCGCCCATTACAAACAGACGGACAGAGATATAGAATTTACCACGTTCAACCTTATTTTGAGATCGTTAAAAAACGAGAAAAATTACAGCTTAATCTCGAATAAAAGTCACAACCCTGGTGGAGACAATTCATCAAATCGCTTCGTATGCTGAAATTTTCCGCCCGTATTCTTCTGACCAACCCCACCAGGCAAGCGCATCTCTTGAGCAATGTTTTCCGTGTCTCCCTGGTTAATGAGTGACCAGTGTTTATCGATTAAGGAGGTGCGTGCTTAATCACACAGTCTCAAGTCCACGGCGCTGCCATGAGTCCGAGTGAGCTCGGGTGGTGCGCGTCGTGAAAACCAGTCGACCTCCAGGCAGGCCGGATGAGTGGAAATTCAAGAACTTGGTGCTGCCCGTGTGAAATATGAAAGGGCCGTTTCGACTATTGGTGCTTTACGGTAAGCCTGCTTTTATAAACTCACGACTCCATAGGATTTTCATTTCGCGTGGCTCTACAGTTTTGGCCCTCCAGCAGATATCGTTCATTGTTTTAGCGAACTTATTGTACTGGAGTGATGGGGCTTTCTTCAGTGCAGCTCCCGAACTTTGGAACGGTTTGTTTTTGCTAGTAAGACAATCATAGTCGTGAAATATATTTGTTTATATTTAAGTCTGTCTTGAAATCTCACCTCTTTCAACTCGCCTCTTCTCTACCGCCTAGTCCTGGCAGTTTACCCTGACCGTTCTGTTTATTTCCTGCTTTCCATACACGGTGGTGGCGCATTGGGATTTATGGATGAAATGCGCCACTTTACAAATGTATATAATTATTACTTAGCTTTTCTAAAATAGATCCCGACCCCAACTTTGCAACCTTCTTTACTGAGTTTTATTTTTAATTTATTCTGTAGTTCACATCCCATCGGCCATTGTAGTGTTATAACGTGTGTACCTGGTTAATCTATTGAAGGTGGGTAGTTACATCTCTGGACCGTGACAGATGGTGGTGGCTTGGGGAGGCGTTCATCCAGAAGTGGATTAAATATAGCTGATTATGTTAAGATTTTATTGAGTAGCAATTACTGAGTGTGATGGAGCATGACTAATCCAGCGCACAATACAGTCTGTTCTATTTAACGCTGCATGTTTTCAAAAGACAAATAGTATATAACGAGATAAATGTATTTGGGAACAACATTTTTATAACACGTGTAGTGACTAACTCGGAGACAGTAAAACTTGGAGGCACTTCTCTTATTTAGCAAGCACCATCGGGATAACACACTATTATTAAGACCGTCTATTGTCGGCGGCACTACTTAGTTAGAACAGTTTGTAGGCTGTCTGACTAGCGGCGCCCCGGGATGGTGAAGACGGAGACGACTACGAGAAGAATGGTGACGATGGACGTGAGCAGCACGACGGCAATCCCACTTCCAACAACAGCTACGATGTCCCCAACAGAGGCCCCCCTTATACTCTCATCGTGGCCTTGCGCTGCCCAGTCCACGCCCCCTTTATGGAACCTACTAGCGGGTTTCCGAGACTTCTGTTGGGCCCCTTCTGTGACCTTTCCCATAAATCCCCCTCTCGTGGCCTGTTGACGTCAGTGCTGCCGTACAACACAGATCCCCTTTTTCTCCAGCAGCCAGCGCTATACCACTGCACACGGATGGGAATTAGATATATAACGCCACAGGAAGCAATGGGATGCTGCTGGATGCTTATAGATGCTAACCACGCGCCTCAGTGTTACGTCAGCCTGCATACGCATCTCACGTGTTATCGTGGACTGTGCTTTACCCCCTATATTATATATTAAAACACATTTTTTTCCATGACGCAGTTTTCTTCAGGAACGCAACTACCGCGTTATAGGAGAACACAGCTATATTTAAATCACACAAAGATTACAGATCATCCTGAGCGTGCGAGTAACTCCACCCCCCCCGCCCCCTCCCCTAGATTATGAGGTGGATAGTAGCCGTTAGTAAAGGATGATGTTGGTTTATGACCCAGCTGTACATATTCTTAGTGTCGTCCCCTGATAATGTGCAATGGGGCTCATTTCTTGGTTCTCTCGTTGCTGCCGCATGAAGCCACTACACTGGCTCGCTAGAAACTAAACTACTAAACTACTTAACAGTAGCAGGTAAGGCATACTGCGCTATATAACTCATTTTCATAAGTGATCTGTGTTGGACTTCTTGTATGTTGAACTTCTTTCACACAGTACATAGCCAGCAATGCTAATCGGAGGTGCGGGGGAAGGACAATTAAATCTGAAAGCGCGGGATGCGGTGTGCTTTCCGGGAAAAGGGACAACAGTCCCATGTTTGTAGGAGTTCACTTAAAACCTGTTTCTCAATCCACTACTGAATGAGGATCTTCCTACGCCATGCGGGTCGTGATGGTTATTTGACCATACTTCACCATGCTGGTCAATACACGTTGATGGTGGGGTGGAGTACAAAAACAATGCACTTACTGCATTGCCCTCTGATAACTACTGCCTTCAACACGATTGTCATGCATGGTACAACTAAACTGTTTATATTTTACAAGGCCCTACTGAGCATTGCACCAGAGGTAAAATCCACGCGACGGCAGGGAGAGAGACATGCAAATTCCAAATATAAAGCAGGCGTAAGGGTCAGGATCGAACTCACGACCTCCTATATACCACGCAATGTAGTTAAGATCTCGCCATCATGATGCCCACGACGGCGAGATAGTGATCACCCATCCGAGCACTTATCCAGGCTCTAATTTGCTTGCCTTTCGTGATCTGATAGGGTCAGGCGCATGCCGTGTTATATGCTCATATGCCTATATTAGCTCATTCTAGTGTCCTACTGTATTAAAACAGGTCGACGACAAGCGACTGTTTATTTCTTCGTTATCTGGACAGCTCGCATTCCGCTCCCTCGGTCATTCCGTGGCGCGGCGCGGGAGCTGGCGTCCCGCTCTCGCGCTGCTCTCTCGCTCTCGGTGCGTCGCGTGAGCTGGCGTCCCACTTTCGCGCTGCCCTCTCGCTCCCGCTTCTCCGCTCCCGCGCACCACTGGCAGACGGCGCGCTGGGAGCCGTCTCCGCGTCGCCACGTGGCCGATGGCTCGCGGAGACCCGCGACGTGGCCCAGCTTCCAGCTCTCACCAACTGACCCCAATCCCCTTCCGGCTCTCCCTTATATCCCCTTCCCTCGTCACCCAGACTCCGCCCTTCACCACACCCCTTAAGAACTTTCCAGATAAGACCACCCCCTAGCGCACGAGGGCTCCGCCCCTGAACCCTGCCCCCGATGGTTCGTGTCGCCTGGTGGGCTTAGGGGCTGGGGCGGCGAAGCCCCAGCATACGCTCGCATTACACTACTGTCATGCTAACTATGATATATGATATGAACTTTTAAAATTGCATTACGAAGGAAAGTTTCCTTTAGGTACAAGTTTGCTCATGGCTGTGTAGAAGGGATGAGCAGATGCTACAAATTGCCACTTTTGCACAGGACAATGGTGCAATATTGATTTTACCACCAATTACTCTTAAGCTTCAAATTAATGCGATGTTTTTACCAAAAAAAATTGCACGGTATACAATTTTAAATATTTAACTGTACAAAACTGAGATATGCATACAGTACAGTTACTTATTGGGGGTCTCTAGACAACAGTCTGATGGACCGGTCTCTCATTGGGTTTCTAGACAACAAAATTATAGACTGCTGTGTACTTCATAACTGTTTAAAATCGACTCTGCTGTCTCTGTTCTATCCCTGCAGGTCTGGTGACCTTGGGAACCTCCCAAGTGGAGGTGGATCGGTTTGTGAATGGGAGCAGGGGGAAAGAGGTCATCCTGAGATGCCTCTACACGGGGCCACAAACATCCTGGACTATAACCTGGCAGAAAGGAAACGGAGAGTCCTCAGTGAGAATAGCCTTTGCCAGTCCTGATGGTTACACAATTGACAATGACACCAACTTCTATGGGCGACTGAACTTCACGAATTTCGCCTCTGAACTGAAGGACGGATCCATCCGCATTGAAGATCTGCGTCTGGAGGATGAGGGAGACTTCAACTGTGGCTTTGGCACTCAAAATAACGCTGGAGCAACAATCAGCCTCACTGTGCATGGTGAGGGTTTTTTTGTTTTTTTAACAATACTACACTACGTATCAGTTCCACATTTTAAAACAATGACTCTGTTTACTGCAAGCGTATTTGTGTTTCCCAGTAAGAAAGTTCAGTCAAAAGTTAATTTGATATGCCGGTGCCGTTCTAAATGGATCTTTATCAATTCTGAGTCTGTCGCTGTTCCCACGAGCATGACAGTGAAACCAGTGTTCCGACCCAAGGGACGTGGGCTATCGCTCCTCCCCCGTCCCTCACTCTTGATTCTGAAAACTGGTAGGGACAGTCATCACTTAATGCATGGTGGTGTTCACACTATAATGCGTTTTCGCTACGACGCAGTTCTTTTAATAGGGAACACTTTTGCACAATGCAGTTGTAACGCGATTTCTGAGTGGTCTACAACAAACTTCTTTCTTGATCTGCGCAGATGAGCCATACAGTGATACGGCATGTGCAATGATACAGTAACGTGGCCACGTACCCTCAGTTCTGTTCTGCCATCTCACTGCATATGTGTAGTACATCGTAGATCGCAAAAGTTTATCCTTACATTTGTAGTGTAATAGCGCCGGCTGTTGGACAGCAGCGGCAGCTGTGGTGAACAGACAGTACACACGCCGGTGAGCGTGAGCACAGGTGTGTTGACAGAGCAGGGGATCTTGGGTAAGGGTCACGGAGGACCCCATCTGGAGGCCCCTGGAACCTGCTAGTAGGTTCAAGAAGGGAAACGTGGTCAGGGCGGAGCCAGGCTGAGCTGGTAGCATAAAAGGAGCCGAAAGCGGGGGCCCGAGGCTGCCGGTTCTGGGAATGGACTCATCTCGTCATTGCTGTCGTCTCGTCACCATCGTCGCTAAACGTCTCTGCTATGAAGGATAGTAGTTGGCTATCTCAGTCAGCGCCATCAGTGTTAGACGGCTAGTGTAATGTACAGGCTAGGCTAAGCTACTGTGAAGAGTGTGCAAACGAGACCGTGAAAGTTGTTAATAAAGAAAGTGCTCCCTAGAAACTCTGTCTCTGAATCGTTGACACTACACATTTATGGGGAAATATTTTCTGCCAATCTTTATCTACTACCGTGTTATACAAGTGTTGAGAGGCCAAAGACGACTCGGAGGCAGATCTTCTCAGGGGCTTTCGCCAAGGGTTTATTATTGGCTTACGCCTAAGTTGAACGGGCTATTATATATCTCCCCAGGGGAAGGGTACTGGGAGTCCCTAACACACACACAGAGTACCCGGGCTCTTCCCACTGCACCGACGGAGGGATCAGCCAACTCGGCCGGCCGGGTGAAGCAGCCACTCTAGCCTGGCGCTAATTTCCCCTTACCCTGGGTCCCGACTTCCACCCTTCACGTTCCCGGGCTCCCACGACGACCTCATTCACGTCACGGGCCCCAGCCTAAATACCCCAGGGGGACATGACGTCACCGTTCCGCCCGCCGTGCATGACGTCACTCTCTGACGTCACTGCACCGGAGGGTGAGCGTGACGTAACGTCATTAACTACTACTCTACACAAGGACTCGTATTTTTCTCCAATGCCACCGTCCACAGGAGCTCTTATTATTTTTTACATTCAGCATCCTCTGACATGGTCACGGAACATGCAGCGGAATTGGCTTTTACAGGTAGGAACAACAGGTTCCACACAGCCCACCAGGGATTATTTGTCTGTCTGTCGTGCATATTTGTCAGTCGTGCACGAATCAGAGGTCGCAATCGGGTACCCGATACCCGTACCCTACCCGATACTCGGCTACCCGTACCCAGCCGGGTACGGGTACGGGTACCCGTTTGCGACCCTGGTGCGGCCAGGTATGGGTACGGGTAGCCGCACGTGACTCACCCCAACCAATGAGTGAGAAGGCCGTGAGTCACTGGTGAGTAACCGTTTGTCACTCATTTCCCAACGTCTTGTCTCTTCTCACAATTCAAGTTTCTAGAATCAACCCATCCGCGCCTGCAACATGGCTTCATCCCAGAGGTCGCAATCGGGTACCCGATACCCGTACCCTACCCAATACCCGGCTACCCGTACCCGGCCGGCTACCCGTACCCGGCCGGCTACCCGTACCCGGCCGGGTACGGGTACCCGTTTGCGACCCTGGTGTGGCCGGGTACGGGTAAGGAATCAAAACCTGTTTGCGACCTCTGGCACGAATGCGCTGTCCAACCAAGTTCCTACCTGCCCACTCCGAAGGAACGTGTTTAGGGTTGGCACCAAGTGCCTGCCACTGCCTCCCACCTGACTTGCCTCGCCTTCTACCCACAATGCCTAACTTGTTACTCTGCAAAAAGTGAGGAATTGTCATCAATGAGGCCCTATTTTCAAAATCTTCAAATTTTGAGACCTCCACCCTCTTGAAGTTTGCAGATCTGCTTCTACCTGGTACCCAAAAAACAAGTGAACATTTTACATATCTCTGGTGTGGAACTAATTGTGACTTCAGAAAAAGTGATACCTATACACCAAGCCCACCCGCACACTATCTGAGGTTAACTGCTCCATCTCCATGGCGGAGGAACTCTCGGACACTTTCTCTCCCTTGGTTACCACTCCACCATTAGTCTATGATTGTTGCGTCACGAGATTGTGAGGGTGGATTCACTTGCGGAGCCAGTGGGAGGGGGGGGCGGGGAGTTGGCACGTGCCCTCCAAATGATCTGATCGAAATCCCGAATTTAGATCAGATCAGTGGGCTTTATTAGTAATAAATCGGCATTTTTTCGACCCTCACTGCCACTGTGTAGCATATTATTAGGTGCCAGGGACTCTATGAGATGATAGGACAATAGTCTGAGTCGATAATTGGCAATACCTAATGGCAAAGCAGTTATAAGTGACTCACAGAATTGTGCACAGTTGCGTATACAGTACAGCAAGCGCGATGCCGATCACACACGATTCGAATTCGACCCTCGATCGATTGCTGGGCCATCGCCGCACATGCGTCGAATAAAAAGAAAGGGACAAGCCCTTACTTACTAACAACTCCGATAATTTTTCATTGCTGGAGGGGTTGCCCCCCTACCTGAAAATCCTGGCTCCGCCATTTCATGGATTGACCACGGCTAATAAGGTTGAGGATGACCTCAAGTCCAAGGTTATGAATTCTAGATTTGAAGCTTTCGTGACTGCAATGATTTATACTCTTAGTTCTTTCGGTGAAGTCACGTAGGTTAAAAATGAAATAAAAATTAATATAAATAAAAAACTAAAAGAATAAAATCACGACGTTTTGGAAGCAAAACAAGCTTCCGTCTTCAGGTGAAACTGTCACAGCAAAATATCTGTATCAAGATATTTTGCTGTGACAGTTTAACCTGAAGACGGAAGCTTGTGTTGCCTCCGAAACGTCGTGATTTTATTGTTTTTTATTTTTTATTAATTTTGATTCCAGAGTTATGAGTTTGAGTCCATCTCCAACCACTATTTAAACTCACAACCTTCCAACTGTGAGTCAGGATAACTGCATACAACTCCACCCAGTTAAATCAAATGTTACATGGATGAAATGTTGCACAGAATCAGCCACCCCAAACATGATCTTCATCTATATATTCGTTTCCCCCCTCGAAATGTTATCTCAATTGTGTGATCAGTGTCATGAGATGGATCAGTTTGAATTTCCCACAGTTAAGCCTTTTCCGTTCCGAGACGTCTGCAAGTTGCAGGGTGGGGTCCCGTTCACTACTGAATCTCGGAACGCGCAAGCAGTTCAGTGCTCATATTACTTACATAGGCATAGTGCAGTTGTTTTTAAATATTGTACTCACTGCAGAGAACCGTTTGCTAGTTCGTACCAAACTGTGCCACACACCCTCCCGTATGACCTTGTCGGAGCCTCGGTACTGATTAAGTTATTTTATTTTTCTTCAGATTTGGACCGTATACGTCATCATAATATAACCATTCCATGATGACGTACACGTACAACATCAGAATGGGAAAGGGTCGTGTGTTCCTTCTTGTTGGATAACAGCCAACAGAAGCAGATAACAGAGCTACCTCTGAGATCCTTTTTAGTAACTTCTGCTCCACAAAGTAGAGGCCAACACTTAACTGCTATTTAACCTTCTCTGTGTTTCTGTTTTTCTGTGCCCCAGCTCCCCCGAACGTCTTCCTGGAGTTGAACCCATCCCAGTTGGTAGACGGCATGGGGCTGGTGACCGTGGCCACGTGCATCGCTCAGGAAGGAAAACCCGCAGCCTCCATCACCTGGAGTGGCCTCAATCAGGGCAGCTCCAATGAGACCACAGAGGTGAAGCCCGACGGCATGGTCACCGTGAAGAGCCGCTACTGGATGGAGCCCAAATACGAGAGCCACGGGCGGACGCTCACCTGCTGGGTGGAGCACCCAGCATTTGAGTTTCCAATGAATCTCTCCACCACCCTCGACATCTACTGTGAGTAGTGTTCATGAATGAGCTTCGATTAGTGGTCATCTCTATTGGCAACCATGAGTCCATTCTAAACATTCCACGTTGTTACTATAGATTGAAAACTCAATTCTTTAGAACAAATTTTTGTGTTTAGTTTGTTGTCCTTCCCCCGCACCTCCAATTGGCATGGTTGGCTACATATGGTGCGAAAGAAGTTAAACTTACAGACATCGTGCAAGAGTAACAGTGCCCATTATTTACCCGGAAAAGTGTCTGATTCTAAGGTGTCAGTTTAGGGAGGTGCCTGTGTAGGGATATTTGGCTATTTTCCGTAGTGAGTGTTTGGATTTGTGTGGGAGGACGCCAGAGTACCCGAGGAATACCCACACATATGAAGAGGATAATGCTCGAGGTTCCACACAGATAGATTCAGTAATCCATCTGTCCATGGGTCTTTCTGTACTGTTGGGGCGTGACATCTCTCGCTAAGGTGATCCATTCTATAGTTTTTAAGAATCAGTTTGTATCTCCCACACTTATTGTGTCCTTTCTTGGAGAACAGGCCACAGAAGCGGATAACACAGAGCTACCTCCAATATCATTTTAAGTGACCACTGCTCCACACAATAGAGGGCAGCACTTATCGGTCATTTAACCATCTGTGTGTCTGTCTCTCTGTCTACATCTCTATGTGTCTCTGTGTCTCTGTGGCCTAGTTCCCCCGAACGTCTCCCTGGAGTTGAACCCATCCCAGTTGGTCGAGGGCATGGGGCTGGTGACCGTGGCCACGTGCGTTGCTCGGGAAGGACATCCCGCAGCCTCCATCACCTGGAGTGGCCTCGATCAGGGCAGCTCCAATGAGACCACAGAGTCGGAGCCGGACAGCACGGTGACTGTGAGGAGCGAGTACCGGATGGAGCCCACGCACGAGAGCCAGGGGCGGACCCTCACCTGCAGGGTGGAGCACACGGCCCTGGAGCCACCTCTAGTGGAGCTCTCTACCACCCTCGACATACACTGTGAGTGGTGGGCATTATAAATAAATGAGTCAGAAAGTCCAGTTGTCGTGACTGTTTAAATGAACTTAAATTGGTGGTCACCTCCATTGGCAGCCCTGAGTCAATTCGAGACATTCCACGTTATTACAGATTGAACACGAATTTCTTTCGAATAATGCCCACCACTCATAATGGATGTCGAGGGTGGTCGAGAGCTCCACTAGAGGTGGCTCCAGGGCCGGGTGCTCCACCCTGCAGGTGAGGGTCCGCCCCTGACTCTCGTGCGTGGGCTCCATCTGGTACTCGCTCCTCACAGTCACCGTGCCGTCCGGCTCCATCTCTGTGGTCTCATTTGAGCTGCCCTGATCGAGGCCACTCCAGGTGATGGAGGCTGCGGGATGTCCTTCCCGAGCAACGCACGTGGCCACGGTCACCAGTTTGCGTTTAGTCTGTTGGCTTTTCCTCCACATCTCAGATTAGCACGGTTGCTATGTACGGTGAGAAAGAAATTCAACACACATAGCAGTGACGTGCGGTGAGGTCAATAGCTGGGGAGGCACTGCCTCGTGTCAGAGCCAGATTCACACACTGAAGAAGCGTGGCCTCACTGAGGAGGTCGTGGCCTCACTGAGGGGGCGTATCCTCACTGAGGGGGGCGTGTTAGACACGTCTCCCTCAATTGATTTTTCGCCACTCTTATAACTGAAGTTTGCTCGTGAATGCGACCAGGGCAATGTGTACGGTCTTATGCATGTGCCCCCATTCACAGACAAACCAAGTGTGAGTATCTCTGGCTACGATGGCGATTGGTACGTGGATAAGGAAGGCGCCTCGTTAACTTGTAAAGCAGACGCGAACCCTAACATCACGCACTACCTGTGGGACAGGTAAGGGACCACAAGAAACTGCCAATACAGCTACCGCTTGTTTTATGTCGCGTAACTCAAAATCGGTTGGAGTTAAGGATAGAGCAGACTATCGAACCACATTCTCACATCCACACATTTCACTGGTTACCATACATTATATTTGCAATACTACCATACATGTATTAAAGATAGTGACATCCTATTTAATTGCAAATTTTCAAGCAAAACTAAAATATTTGTAAACATAGTGAGATGTTTGAATGTGGAGGCGTAACTGGGGCTTGTGGAGGGGAGGAGTGGAGAGAATTGGTTGGATTACTGTAGAGGGGGGGGGGGGTAATGGAGATGATGGCGCATTCGAATGTGTGCACAAGGAAAAGTTCACTTCGACAAGATCATGAAAATAGCACGCGAGAATGAGATGCTGACGCCGCTTCCCATGCTTGTGGTTGTTGTCATACTGCTGCACCTCAGGCAGCATTGCTACTGAACTTTGCTGCCTGACTAACGATGAGCTCGCAGCGTATTCTGTACACCATAGCCAACGCGGTAAAGCATGTTATTTCAATGATAGTGCGCGAAAATAAAAATAAGTGTAAATTAATCAAACGCGCTCTTTCACAATCACGTTACATAAACGCACATACAACGCGAGGCGACTGTCGTTGCCATTGTTACAGCCCTTTCTCAAACAATGACTAGATGTAGGTCTTCCCCCCCATTCCATGGCTGTTATGCAACATGTGTTGCCATACTACTAGATTGAAAACTAATTTCTTTAGACCTGCCTGTGTTTAGTTTGTTCTCCTTTCCCTGCACCTCACATTACCACGGTTGGCTGCATATACGGTCCAAAAAAAGTTCAACATACATACATCTAATTACATTTCTCTTCGCAGTTTTTGCAGTAAGTGCAATCACGCGATAATGACCACGTGTCGTGCTCCCTGTGTTGTGGTGTGATTGCTCGTAGGCGAGACAGCTCCCTGCCCCACGGGACGGTTGTGAACGGCAACTCCCTGTCCTTTGAGCGGCCGCTAGTGGAGTCGGACTCTGGGTCGTTCTCCTGCTGGGCCAATAACTCGGTGGGCTGGGGCGAGGCGGTGGTTCTCATTACCATCCGGCCAGGTACAACCACCGCTGCTACAACCACCGCTACTACAACTACATCCACTGCTACTACAACTACATCCACTACGCCCATCGCAGCCACAACACCAGGTATCAGCGCAGATACATCAGCAGCTGCTTTCCTTTGTTGACTTCCCACCGGGCCCCCACTGTGACAAAAGATGCGTTGATAACCAAAGAAACGAATTGCTGCCCAAAAACGGATGTCACCGTTCGATGACGTAAACAACATGCACTACCAAACTCTGCAGCCATAGTTGAAACAACAGGGGAGCAAATTCCTTAAATCCCTGCCTCCCCGCCCACCTCTGTCCACCCAGCAGCAGCAGTACAAATGGCTATCTGATTGGCAACGTCACGTGCGGTGAGGTAAAGTGTGGGTACTCCCCACCTCTCCACCAAGACGTCTCACCGGCACCGAAGACTAGGCCAACGTACTTACCGGAAGGGGCTCTTAAGTGGCAGGGGGGGGGGAGGCGCTTCTGCCAGCAGTGGCGTGGGCGAGCAAATTGCATGGCTGCACCATTACCCAATTTAACCTTCAGGCAATATTAACACTTGCCCGCAAATGTGTGTGTCTTTTGTAGGTGTTGCTGATAATGGTGGTGGTGTTGACACCGGGATCATAGCTGTCGCCGTCATTGTGCCACTGTTGGTTTTGGCTGCAGTGGCTGGATCAGTCTTCTTCTTCTGCAAGAAGAAGGGGACTCAGGCAACGTGAGTTCCCAATGATCGATTTAGATCTAGGCGATGCGTATGCTACTGCTCATAGACAAGAGGGGTTGGTTGGGCCAGTGTTGCCAACTCCTTGAAGCAGAATGTAGCAAAAACGAACCCGACAAAGGTCCCGGATGGTCGCCTGAGCAGTGTTGCCACCTATTTATTGTATTTTACAAGGTAAGCCCCACTGAGCTATATAGCTCTTTTTCTGAAGCAACCTGGATATCACAAATGAAGTGGCTTGTCACGTTGAAATTTACAGCAGCCAAATACTCTAAACGCGTGATATTGATTTTAAAATGTGGAAGGAAAAACCGGAGGACACGGAAAAAAATTGCACGCAACCACGGGGTGATGGAGAGAATGCAAACTCCAAATATACAGCAGGCATCAGGGTCGGGATTGAACCTACAACCTCCTGGTATACAGGAGGTCAAAAAGGCTTTCTAAAGTAAGAAGAAGAGTTCACAATATCAAAGACGTCATCAATGTTGACATCTGCACCCATTGGTGCACATCCGTCAATTATGCTATGGGCAGCGATGTGTTGTCCCAGCAGGTAGCGAATTCGCCGCTTCCTATTGCGGAGGTTCACAGTTCGAATCCAGCGGCCGCCCATATTTTTTATACCTTGGCAGGTGTGAGTGTATTAACCATGACGATACCGCACGCCGCTAAGCTTCACTGTGGACGGATCAGCTCGAGCTATTGTTGTCATCGATGTCTAATGTTTATCCGCAGGAAGAAGCGAAAACATGGCCAGGACGCTCCAGTAGGTTCCGCACACCAACCGGTAAGCGGCCGTCCACGCTCGGCACAAACTACGATGAGCCGGAGTGAATCCCAGCCACGATGATTCCCAGCCAGAGAGATTCCCAGCCTCAGCGATTCCCAGTCGCTGAAAACGAGCGTCGAAATGTCGCGATGCTTGTCGCCCGTTTTTACAGCCCTGCTGGAAATTCGAGACTATAAAATTTAATAAATAACCTAACGGATATTCTCCTTCCAATATTTCTCTCACCATAATATAAATAAAAAATGAAAGTGTCTTTGTTACAAGCCCCATTGACCGCAAGGCCTTCGATGCATGTTTGTATATTGAACTACTTTCTCACATACGCAGCCAACCGTGCTAATCGGTTGGTTAAGCCAGGGGTCTGCAACAAAAATAACAATCAGAGACGATTTTTTTCAAATTTGGTAAAGAAAAACTCCATATTTCAAGAGCTGCAATGCATTTGGTGAAATCGAAACGGTGATCCTTAATAAATAATGTCACGAAGCAGCAGTTCTTAAATATCCACATGTTGTTGACCCCTGGGTTCGAAAAATCCAGAGACAGACCCAGTTTGGCGCTGGCTATGTATAGACTGCCAGTGCACTCGGATACAGAATCATAATCATTATTCATCTTGGAAAAATCCGATGATCTATGAAGCTCTTTTTCACAGATGTCCAGTGGGGTGGGTGATGTCAACCTTCTCGTGGCCCACCCTGTTGTGTGAATGAAGTTTACAGGAAGTTCATCATGAATGATATCGCTAAGGAAACCATATGTCACCAGTCCACCTCTGGGTTACCGCATAAATAACAAGCCTGGCAACAAAGGCCCTCCTCAGGGCCAGATGAGCCGATCCATCGGCCCCTCGGTTCGTCTATGCCAACTAAATGTTGAGGGCTTATCCCGAGCGAAGACAGATTTCCTGGCAAAGAGCCTTCAGCAAGAAAACATCGAAATCCATAATATCCAAGAGACGTATGTAGAGGAAAGCAGCTGTCTACGATTGAAGATTCCAGGGCACATCATCGCTGCTTCCAAGGCCCACGCTAAACACGGTCTGGATACTTACATCGCGCATCACATCAAAGACAAAATTGAAGTCATTCAGACAGACGACTTCACAATTGGTACAAGAATCGCTGATATCGTCGTATACGATCTCTACAATCTGCCAACAATAACCTAGCACCTACCACCATTGCCAGCAGTATAACATCATGCAATCTACATAGGCGACTTTATTAGCCATCACACGATGTGTGGCTATCCTGTTAATAAACTGGCAGGTGAACAAATCCTTGATTTGGCATCTGCGCAAAGAGATTTTCCTCGTTTTTTACGCCAAGCAACAAGGCAAATTCCACTTTGCATGGTGGAATAGGGAATACATCTCAGACCTGTGCTTTGTAACCACAGATGAAGAATGGCTCAGCCTTTGCCCACTACGTGCAAAGTCCTGCCTCACTTCCCACACAGCCAGCACAAGCCCGTGGTCATCCATGTTGGCCATGTAGTTTTTTTTAAGGCTGCTGTGGATAAAAATATCCACCACATATTACTAACCCTGAAAGTTTTGAGCAGTTCATCATGCTCGTGAAGAAAGCCATCTGTGGGGCTATTGGGGGTCCTACACCCCTGGCTGGACTGCGGAAAGTGAAAATCTTCTCCGAGAACATCAAAATACTAGTGACCCAGAGATTGTAACAGCCCTTCTGGAGTGGCTAGATTCTGCCAGACGAGCAAAGTGGGCAGTGTTGATGGAGCATTTTGACTTCACGCACTCCAGCCGCAGAGAATGGGGGTTACTGCAGAAGCTCGGAGCGGCACCCTCAGAATACCGGACTCCTCAGGAAACAGCTAATGTGATAGATGTGCGCTTCTCGACAATGCAAAAACAATCGAAAGTCAAATACAAGAATGCGCCATAAAACAAGCCACAAAAGATACACTCTCTGCCTGTGACCAAAACTCTCCGGTGTCTGCAGCTGTACTTCCAGAATAAATAGATGCCGCACTAGTGGCAGGTAAAGCCAATATGGTATTTACCCGGAATTCCTAAAACACCTCAGCAGCAAAGGAAGAACCTGGCCGGCGAAACTTTTTTCAAAAATCATCGCCACCAGCAGGCTACCAATACTTAGGAGAAAAGCAAAAGTAATTGTTCTCCTTAAGCAAGGAAAACCTGATGATGACCCGCACAACTACAGGCCAATCTCTCTTCTTTATACACCAGCGACATGCCGGTCACATTAAGCAGCAAGTTCACTTACACTGATGATCTAGCACTGGCCAGCCAAGCTAAGACACTCAAGACATCTTGAACATTGACCTAAAGAAATTGGAAAATTATTTCTACTCCTGGCGACTTAAGCGAAACCCAAACAGGACAGCATCCTCAGCATTCCATCTCAACAACGCGGAGGCAAATGGTACACTGAAGATCGAGTTTTGTGCTAAAATCATCCCCCGTGATGCACTCTCAATATACCTTGGTGTGGTGCTCGATCAAAGTCTCACTTTCAGGGGACACATTAAGCAGTGGAGCAACAAGATAAAACCGGCACGAACATCATCCATAAACTGGTGGGAAATAGGTTGGGGCTGTGACGCACGAACACCATAAGGAAGCCACTGGGAGCTATGAAACTTGTAAATAATCTAGATTGACAAACTCATTTCTTTGGGACTTCTTATTGTGTGTAGTTTGTTGTCCTTCCCTCGCACCTCCGATTAGCATGGTTGGCTATGTATGGTGCGAAAGAAGTTCAACATACATACATGAATAAGTACCTGCAAAATGTTCTGGTGACATTCAATCAGTATACTTGACGAGCATTACTCAAACGTACACCACCACCTTCATCATCATAAACTTTTCCTTTCCTATATTAGTTTAACATTTGTAAGGTTTGAGGGTTGCCGAGAAGAAAATCCTATTCAGGAATAAATAAATAAACATCTACTTATCTAGTTTAACAGCTCCGTATGAGTTCAAATAGCACGCTCGACTATGAACTAACTAAACTTTTTATATTACCAGGTAAGGTCCACTGAGCTTTTCGCTTTTTTCATCTCAAAGAAGTGACTTAACATCATTGTGTAAATTTATAGCAGCCAAATACTCTAAACGCACGTTTATAACTGTGGAGGGAAAAACCAGAGAACCCGGAGAAAAGTCCATGCAAACTCCAAATACACAGCAGGTGTCAGGGTCCAGATCGAACCCATGACCTCCTGTATACCAGGCGAGGTAGTTAACATCTCGCCACTGCAAATGCTAAACTCTCATTGGAGAGGAAATGTCAGAGGGGGGAGGAGCTGACTTAGAGCATGCCCAATGGAATTTGAAGGTGGAGAACGTTCAAATCGGATTGGTTGTCAGTGAAGACTGAATGGAATTTTTTGGGGGTTCGGTTGGTGACCGTCTTCGAGTAGATTAATGGGATGAAACGATTGGCTTACACCAGAGACGAACTCCTTCATGGTGTCGTCTCACCAGTGTTAGGCCAGAGAACACAAAAAGGCGAAATGGCACGAAGGAATGCCAATATCAAAGTATCAATATGCTTGGGTTGAACAGTTATAGATAGGTACAACAAATGTTTATTGTACAGATTTCATCCGTCGCAAACGAAGTGAATCAACATCGTTGGGAAAGAATGTTAAAATGTTTAAACTATGTTTTCCTTTTAATGCTGACCCTTCTAACCCCACCCCCCATGACTACTCTGAGCAGCAGCAGCAACATCAGCAGCAGGACGAGCATCATCAGTACGAATACATCGATGGGAAATTCCCATCCCACAATCTGGAGTCACAACAGCCGCCCCCTGGCAGTGCCGAATTCGACAATGCGCATGCAGAAATCACTTCCAACTGGTATGTCCAAGCATTCCAAATAGTGTTATGTCGAATGAAATATCAGACTTTTATCTAAGATAGAGGTTTTTTGGGGGTTATATTGCGTAAAGATAAATGTGTCGTTAAACCCGCCACCACCGACACAGCCAATTAGGTAAGTTTTGTCACGTAAACAAAACATGCCAATTCGTTACTAGTTCGGCCCTAACCGTTTGTGTGTTAGAGAATAAACCCACTACAACATTTACAATTCGAGTACCATCATCAGTATAATTCGAGTACCGTTTTGCTGGTAATTACAACAACAACAACCAGCATCATCAGGGGACAGTCAGAGGTGCGGAGAAATCCTGTTATGGGTTTACTCTGATCTATTATTGTTATTATTCTTTTTTATTTTACGTTCTAATTTTTTAAGAGGCGCAGTAGATCCAACAAAAAAGGGGCTCCTGATTGCAGTACAAATAATAAACAAAAATGTCTAAGTTTATCTTAACGTATAGCGAAGTGAGTAGGTTTACTTAAAGGTTTTCCATTTTTGTGCATTAATCTTCGAAAAAATTATATCAACTCTTTTTAGGAACAACGACAGAGAACGTCTGAATGAGAATAACCTGAATTCTACTCAATCGGTGAGTACATTTATAAGCTAAACCTACTACCTGCCTCGGCCATGAACAGTGTCTGAGCAATGTGATATCCGTGTGTGTGTGTGTTCGTACATACAGTAGACTCGATTATCCGCGTGCTGTTTATCTGATTTGCGGATTAACCACGCCCCTGAGATTTTGACATAAATTAATAACTCATGGATTTCCCATTAATGCCTACATTCATAATCTAAAAACCAGTTATACATTGTGATTCTTGGAAATGTTTATTACATGTCACTGCTTAAACGGAATAAAAATATCTGCTCTGGTTAATCCGAAATCCATGTACTCGCACCAACACTACAGTAGTTGCATATCTTGACAAAAGTGGGCGGAGTTTGATTGATGTTGATTGGCGTGGTTCTGCTGTCACTTAGTGGGTGTTATTACTGAGCACGCGCTCAGTCATTCGTTCTAAATTGAAAGAGTATTTTCTTAACTTTACCTATATTAATGTATTTTAGCATACAGATCCGCAGAAAATTGTATATATTTTTTGGATTAATCTCGATTTTGAATTATCGGCGGCCATCTACTGAACACACACCTATCGTGTGGCGGTTAGCGTGCTACGCTACGAACCCGGCCAATCGATCCCTGCTCACAGAGAACACCAGTAACGATTATCTGTACCAGTCCTCGGCCTCCTCTAGGTTGACTAAGTGTCAAATGAGTACCTGGTGCAGTGGTGTGTGAACATCACCGCTAGGGAGTAAAAGGCGGCCGAGTGTGGTGCTGGCCACCCATCCGCTCGTGTGCTGTGCTGACCTTCATAGGTGCTGCTCGCTAACAGAACTTGCCACAACAATCTGTGAAGCCCACACGGGGGAATCTTTGTCCTTTTACATGCATCAAAATTCCCCGCTTAGTAATAATAGGCTGCTATGGATAAAGCTGTAAAGTGAGAATCTATTTGGAATGAGGTGCAGTGGTGGTCAGCACCACAATCAGCTCCCCAGTGGTAAAATTTAAATATGCCATAATTTTTTTACGGCAGCGTTGACCTCGGGGAGGTCCAGCACAGTTTCAGATTTCACCGCGAACAATTGAACCATGGCCAAACAGATTGCAGTGCTGCAAACTATTTGCACCACCGGCACAGACACACACGGAGAAAATAATAATCCACTCGTAACATTTCAGTAATTTGTACCGACATTCAACATCTAATTGCGTGAGTTTTGCCACCTAATTCCTACCCCATTGCAGAACCCACAAAACCAAGAGGGCGTTCACTACCAGGTAAGCCTCACGCTCAATTGGCAACACTAAGGGTGCCTTCGCTGAATATTATTTCGTTCATGTCTCAATCCGTTTGTCCTGGTGAGGGTCCCGTAGGCAGCGTGTTAAGTAAGGTTGGACCAGACCTCCTTTTCCCTGGGGACTGACTCGACCAATACATTACTATACACTACTACACTATACACTACACTATACAATACTACACACTACACTACTATACATTAACATACACTACTCCACTATACACTACTATACATTACTATTCACTACTACACTATACACTAACATACACGACTACACTACTATACATTACAAAACACTACTACACTACACTATGGGGACCTCATTTGCCAGTAAAAATACTACTACTACACTATACACTAATATACACTACTATACACAGCATCTAGCTCTTCCTGGAGAATTTCCAGGTGTTCCCAGGCCAGCCGAGCTACAATCTCGCCAGAGTGTCCTGGGCCGGCCTCGGGGTCTTCACCCAGTGAATACACTATGTAACACGATTTTTGTCCCTGGGTAGTAAGTGTAATTTTTTATTGCTTATGCCTATAAAGTATAGAAAATGGCTATTATTCCCCACAAACTTTGCTTTTGTGTGGAATAATAGCCATGGTTCAGGACAAACCAATGCAGAAGAGTAGTACCGTGCCATGCACATTTGAGCTGGGAGAAAATGGGTCTTGATTTAAGTACGAAATTGTACATTATACCTGTAGCGATGAACTCAAATGAATCAACACAAATACAATTTTCTTTGCTTTTCATTTCACAGCCTCTGAAGCCGACCACAGAGAAAACTTATGATAAATTAAACCATCCCACGTACGAGAATGTATGAGATTGAGCACTTTCAGCACATTGCACTAAAACGACACGGTTAAAACCAATGTACACGAGTTTAATTAGAAGTTTAATTTATTCGGGAATTGTGATGCGCACACGTAATAAGCACTTTGGAGGTGGAGTTAGTGGATACGATAGGATCGTGTTCGGTGATGGTTTTATCTTTAAGTCGTCCAAAGTGAGGTGCGGGGGAAGGACAATAAAATAAAAACACGAAAGCAGTTCTAAAGAAATTAGTTTAAAATCTAGGCTTATCCGTGTGGACTTTGGGCATGGATCTCCTTGTATATGTGGTGGGTTAATTCTGGCTCTCCAATTTATTGCCCATATCATGAAAATAACAGAAAATGTACTCAATAAATTTGCCAAACATCTCAAGCAGAACTATGCGAGCATCATTTCTAAGCAGTTTGAGATGCAGGTAGACCAGCACAGCGCGTGTTACAACTTTAATGACTTTCGGACAACACTAAATAGAGGGTTGCTATATTTTGCTTCACGCAGATAACTTGCTCAGGGATGACACGCATATAACTTGGGCCAGGGGTGGCACGCAAGTGGCGACGACGCGAAGACATCAAGGACAGCGACAACACGAAGACAACGTAGACGCGAAGAAAGCGACGAAAGTGATGACGTGAAGACAGAGACGATGCGAAGACAGCGACGGCGTAAAGACAGTCGACTCCGATCCCACGGCAGCCCCGAACTTCGCCGATCTCCCCGTTTTATCCAAGGCGTGGCCCTCACTCCGCGCCCGGCCACGCCCCCATTCTCGAACTCTCTAGAACTTTCCAGATGGTTCCCTTCTTCTCATAACTCCCCTCTGTTAATATTCAGCCCTGTAAATACTCCCCGTAACCACTGGGCGATGCACTGTCCCTGTACCCGCACTATCTCTACACAAGCACTGTCTCCAAACACACATTGTCTCTACACATGCACTATTTCTACACAACCAATAATACATTCTATCACAAAAAGACAAGAGGTTCTACAGAACTTGCTGAATCAATTTGAATGGACATGGCCGTCCATCCATCAGTCCCCCCACTATCTGTTTTATCGAGCCAGCCAAACGAACCCAGAAAGAACAGCTGCAAAACACATGTTCCTCACATCGGGTGCAATGGCAACGTCATCGTCAGTCAGAGGCAACGTCACAATGACACAGGTACGAGCCAATCCGGAGGCTCGAATATCCCGCCCAATCAGGAGGTGGGAGGTTTTTTAAGTGTGTCAACAGGGTTACATGCTGACAGCAGAGGTCTCACTCCGAATCGGTCGAGCGGCATTATCTTTTCATCGGTTGCGTAACGCTGTGTGGAAGCTACCTGGTCTGTCGCTCTGCACGAAGCTTCAGGTTTTTTAAGCTACGGTCATTCCCTCCCTTCTCTATGCTTGCAAAACGTGGACCCCCCTAATGGAACATCTTCGCCGGTTAGAAACATTTAGGCTGGCCTGCCTACAATCCATATTGGGTTTAACCAGGCTAGGATTGCGTGAAAAGCTCACATATCCTTGAAAGATCTGGACAAATTCCCATCGGTGAGCTCCTTTGGCAGGCAAAGCTGCGTTGGCTGGACCATGTAGCCCGCATGCCCAGCCACCGCATGCCTAAACAACTTTTGTTCGGCCGGATTGAGGGGGCTAAACGGGCACGGCATGGGCTAGAGAAGAGATGGAGTGATGTGTTAAAGGATGATGTGGAGCTGAGTGGACTTGTCGATGACTGGTACCAGCGGTGTCAAGAGGCTCGTGAACGATGCTGTCTACTGGACAGTTGGAGGTAGTCGCCATCCAGCAATAACGGAGGGCAGAGGAGCGACACTCACAACGAGACAGAACAGCAAGTTGGCACAGTAAGGAGTACAGCTGCCATCTGCTGGGTCTGTCCCGTGACCTGAGTCGAGCCTTCGACACTTCACGTGGCCTCAACGTGCACATAGACTGGCACAGGCACTGTTGTAACGTCACAGCCACTTAGCGGCTAATGGCAGCTGTTGTGAACACGTGTGGATGTGAGTGAACGCGATTGTGTGGTGTCTGTGCTGGGAGAGGGGGTACGACCTAAGCGTTCCCTTGATCGCGTCGAGCCCTTCTCTCTCGCAGGTTTAGCTATCGCGGTTTTGCATAAAATGTTTTATTGACATGCTCGACGATTCGCAGTTGACCACGGGATTACTTGTACAGTATGCATCGTAAGGAAGCACTGTACATGTACTCTAACTGCACTCTGCTTGCGATGATGCTCTGTCTCATCTCCATCTTGTCTCCATCTCTTGGGAAGATATTAAATGTCTTGGAGTTTAATTTTAACATTGACACCTGTCCCACATTAAAGTGGGACAGTTGTTTTGCAGATGTTACACTCCTGATTTCATGTTTGTCAGTAAAATACGATTAATCTAATTAACAGTTTTGTTTTTTATTTGAGATAATTTTTGTAAATGAAAAAGTGCGTATTTGGTTTGTGCAGTATTAGGACATGTTGGAGGCACTACAGATTTTTTTGGGCAGGTGTGTTTTGTTAAATATTAAAATATTTCTTATTAAATGTTAGTGAAATATTCTGTATGTTAAATGTTGTTAGAAATTATAAGTGGCTGTTATCACAATTGAGATTTGGGCAGACTTGGCACCTGAGGAATTCAGCTGCGGTGTTGTGACATGGAGGGTGTTTCTGATTCGCAATTTCTGATATGCCACTGCCCTTCTGAAGAAGACTTTTGAAAAAAGTTTTACGTTTCACAAACTCTTGATGCTGAGCTGTTGTGGAGTCGCACATTTCTCCGGAGGACAGAATACAATGCAGAGTCCTCTACTCATTGTCTCAGAACTGTATTACTTTTATTGTTGTTGCTGTGGGGGTGGGCTGTGATGTGCCTCGCTATAGCCTCTCGCTGCAAAATATGTATACAGACTTCCTTTCGTGGTCTCCTCTGTTCATCACAAATCTGGTAACATGGGCACATTTAGATGGCGTGTGACCATGTATCTCGCTAAAAAGATGACCATGCGTCACGGCCAGAATAATAAAGGTCACGGGATAGCAGCCAATAGAGAAAGAAGCGCCCTCGATAGTATAACTGCCATAATAATACCACGGCAGCATCCTCGCAACGAAAATGAACAATCTGCGTACATTTTCTGTAACCATTTGGCAGAAAACGACTTCGGTGAAGACAGGACTGCTTTGTCGAAAATATAGGTAAGGGACAACTGGAACAAATCTTCTCTAGATAAAAGATGCAGATCATCAGTAAGTAGCTCCTGTTAACACTTCTCGTGCGATGAGAACTAATCAGTGGACGGACAAAGACAGCCAGGAATGGTGCTGACCTCAGCAAATTGTCCACTGTGCCGAACCACCTCTCCTGGTATAAAGGAGTTCCTGGGTTCAATCGCAAGGTGGCGAGATGTGAACTATCTCGACTGGTATATAGGTCGTAAGTTTGATCCCGACGCTGATGCCTGCTGCATATTTGGAGTTTGCATATCTCTCTTCCTGTGGTCGCATGTATTTTTCTCCAGCTCTTCTGGTAAGTCACTTCATTGAGCCTTCATTTGTGGCCAGTTGACTTTGAAAAAAAGCTATATAGCTCAACGGGCCTTACTTGATAAAATTAAAAAAGAGTTTAGTATAATGGGTGCTCTCTGGCAGCACTGTTCCAGTCAGTCTGTATACGGTAGAGACGGGGGAATTTTGCATATATATGTAAATAAGTGTATATCTCAAGTGGGCTTTGCCTGGTAGGATGGGGATGGTTTAGTTTTATTTGTATGTATTGGGGTGATTTGTTTGCCTTTATTGTACTGTGCAATACTATTCAGTTTTAGTATTGTAATGTTCTTACCCCATGCCCCTACTAGAGATCTGAGCTGTATGGCTCATCGGTTTTCTCCAGTACATTCTTATTCTAATATACATCTCATAAACATATCATGTGCCTGTAACGGTACGTCCTTTTGCGACTTGAAATTTTGCGGGTTTCGGTCCACAGCCGACCCTAGCTCTCGTACCCACACCGCTGTGGTTTAGTTCATGGTGGGACCCCTGGTTTCATGTGACACATCCAATGACCGTGTGCGGAGTATAACGAGGATCACTGCCAGTATACTGCATAATAACGGTGTTTATTTTGAATTCCAAAATTTAATAGTTATTAAATTGGTTAATGGTGACAAGATTGCTACTTCCCCAGGGGAGTGAAAATATCTGCAAATTATAGCACCGAAATCACCATCATAACAACAGCAACAACAAACAACACAATCCTATGATCCGACAATACCGGTTTCTCGGATTGCTTCAACTATGAACGCCGTCTGGTGACATCTGCGGAGCAACCATCCAGGGTACGTATTAAGTGTTCCCCCAGTTCTTGAACAGATTAAATAAAACGTTCCAACGACAACTTCACAGCTCTCAGGAGATCACCTCCCTTCTTCCCCGTGAGTGTCCCTAGCTGTCGAAGCCTCGCAGTTTTCAGCATTCGGGAGGGCTACTTTGCTGGCAGCGGCGAGTGGTTTTCTGTGGCGATCCACTCCTGAGTGGCGGATAGGTGAACAGAACCACTGTCCACAGCAGGACTCCAGGTGGTTGCGCTCGCAAGCCAGCAATCTGCCATCACCAACAATCCTGGCCCCAAGACAACGCTTGCGTACACGGCACATAGGTGAGCAGAGCAGTAGCCCATTGTAGAACTCACAGTTGATAGTGCTTACGAGCCAGTGACCTGCCATCACCAACACGCCTGGCTCCAAGACGATGCTTGCTGGGATGACACACTGGTGAGCAGACCAGATGTCAACAGAACCCCAGTCGATCGCGCTCACAGGCCAGCAAGTTGTCGTCACCACCACTCCCGGCTCCAACTTCAGACTGTACTCTTTAAGATGGTCGCAACATCCAAAAATGACACAGCGAAAATTTACCTCCATAACAAAATGGCCGCCTCACCAATACACCTTGGCGCACCACGGCCATGACGCGATTTGAATATCTGACACCCTACGCTATGTTTCTTTTCCACCTGACACTTTGCTCCGCCCCCAAAATTTTCCTCTGCCACTACTTAGCTTATACCAGGCCCCTATAGTCCTAACTACAGCAAACCCAAATGTTTTAACTCGTAATCTCTATGCCACACGGTCGCCACACAGTTGCCCCACGCGTCCCTCGCTTCTCCTCTCACTCGTCTCTCCCATGTCACTTGATTCCCCTTACTCAAGCTCCACCGACTCCTGTCAATCTGAACCCCTCACTGATCAAGAGACACCCTGCTCCCAAAGCCATCCCTCTCTGACTGTTACAGTGCCAATGTTAATTTTGTGAATCGAAATCACGAATTTAAATATTCGTCAGTGAAAAGGGTATTTATTTTAAATACGAGTCGACAATGATGATGATGAGCGGATAAAAACATAATCAGGAATGATGGACCCATCAGGCCATCACTAACGGCTGTTGCCCTCCAGGGACCCAACCAAGTGTGAGCACCCAACGAATTTGCAGCATTTTAAATGGAGACGCAGATTGATGTGGTTTGTCTCGTTTGTAGAGATTGCAGCGTGCTGAGGAACATGCATTTCCATATATATGTAGGAGTATATCAAACGATATGTTTAAAAATGAGTTCACCAATTGGGCTTACCTGCTAATATTGTGATGTGGTTCGGAGAATTGCACGTCTCTCACACTAGCATTTGCTGTAGTGGCGAGATGTTAACTACCTCATCTGGTATACAGGAGATAGTGGATTCAATCCCGACCCTGACGCCTATTGTATATTTGGAGTATGCGTGTCTCTCTTTCCCTCTCCTTGGTCAAGTGGAATTTTCTCTGGGCCCTCCTGTTTTTCCCTCCACATTGGGTATTAACATGCGTTTATAGTATTTGGTTGCTATAAATTTCAACATCAGCCACTCTGTTGAGCTATGTGGCCAGATCGCTTCTGAAAAAAATGCTCTATAGCTCAGTGGGCCTTACCTGATGAAATAAAAGTTTAGTTTAATGGGTGGTCGCTGACAGCACTGTTTATTTAATAACTAAGAGTATGACTAAACATTTGATTGCTTTAGGACAAATTATGAAATCCCCTGCCTTTGTCATCGCACCTCCACCACCGGTTCCCCATCTTACCTCGCTTCACCACTCTCGCCTTGCAGTGAAGCTCACGGTAGAGCCCTGCACAGCAGCGTCACTCAAAATCTGCTTCAGGACACCGAGGTCTCGAACTGGTACAGCCTCACGTCACTATACACTACACTAAACTTTCACAGCCTCTCGTCGGTTCTCTGCTGTCGCCCCCTCGGTGTGGAACTCTATCCCTTTGTCAAGCTCAGGGCTTTAGAACACCCCTGAGCTTGGCTCCACGCCTCTGAGTTGTTGACTTGTCTGCAAAATCTGGCGCGTTATAAATGCCATTATTAGCCAGCTAGACTGAGATAATTAATACATGAAATCCAATGACTTCGGCCACGATTAATAATCCAGAGCTTGCAGTCAACGAAGATGAAATAAAAAAACGTGCCAATGCAAAACCATACTTTACCTGTGATGAATCGCACGTGTAAATTGAGCACTCGGGGAAACACGTTGCAGTGCAAAGGTGGCAAGTTAACAGTTTTGTTCTGCATCTTGTTGAAGCATGCCACATGTTCAGCATGACGTTTCCTCGAGTAGTGACGCGTCTTGTAGGTCACGGTTTACTCCAGGCATGGTAACGGTGGTGCACGTGATGCAATAGCGGCTCAAGGATTGGACTCGAAGTCACAGCAAGTGTATTTTACAAAACATCGCGTTGGAGGGCCCCTATTCCATAGCTGTGGGCGGTTACACATATACGATAGACTCGATTATCCGCGTGCGGTTGATCCAATTTGCCGATTTACCGCGCACCTGAGATTTTGACGTAAATCAATAAGGAATGAATTTTCCCTTATAGCGAAATTAATATGTAAAAACAGGTAACCACTAGGGGGCATGATCTTACATGTACATTATCACGTCCACTTCTACACACCTGTTATGCAAGTGACACCTTTGTCTCTGGCTTCAGCAGCAGCATTGGCAGCACTCTCATCCAACACTTTATCCCTGTTGAGTGTCGAGTTGGCTCTGGTTGAGGCGATCTGCTGATTTTGGTCTACCGCATTATGATTCCAAAGACCAGACGTTCTATGAGAGCCAGATATTTTTTTCGTGGAATTCCTTTCCCCCTTGACCCATGACGGAATATAAAGGCGTTAAACTTTTATAATTGTGCTTTAAAACTCACGTGTTTTTACAAAAAGGCTTTCCATAATTTTACGTGAAGTGCTTTAAAAAGCCGAGTTTATTAAGATTATTTAGAGGCCAGGCCATTCCAGTCTCAACCTTGAAACACAGCCGCCTCACACACAAAATGGCCGCTCTCTAACAAGATGGCAGGACACCTCATGGCCTCATCCATCCGATGGCTTGTCACCAGAATCCACTGTCTCGGCCTCGCTGTGCGCTACGTTGCACCACTTTCCGAGTAGATAACCTCGAATTCAATAAACCTTCAGAGCCAGGGTGAACATCCGACTCCAAACGTATTTAATTAATTGAACGAGGTAAAACTGATGGAAAAACACAGCATCTGTTAATACTTGGAATATCAATACAATGAACACTGCAGCATCATAACATTGTCTTAGATAACATGAAACTCCACATTAGGTACTGGATGGACCTGACATCTACATTAGCACTGAATAGCTATACAAGAGAATAAGCTACTCTGTTGAATAAGGGCACATTG